TGGGGGATCGAACAGGAATCCGGAATGGGGGATCATACGTTTGTCCCCGGTTTCTCATGCAATGTCGTGCGAGGCAAGTGTCTAGGCTTCCATGGAACTCCAACTAGCTCAATCGCAAATTGAGCAGCGTAACTGGGCAAAGCCCCAAGCTGCCGTGTAGCTCCCTGGATGCTGGACCAGCATTGGATGAAGGGTGTGTTGACTGACGGATTGTCCGGAACTGGGCCTGAACTCAATAGAAGTCACGACGTTTCCTTGGATGAGGGGTTTTAGGCGACAGAGACAACTTGAAATAATTCATCGCTGCTCCACCACCATCTCGTTCGTCTGACTGTCGCCGTCTGGCCTGACCGGAGCTGCCGCTATGACGCATGGTGATCGCTGGGAAGTTCTCACTAGTTGGAGGATTGACTCTGAGACTTGGTGACTTGACTGTGTATTGATACCGTACACGAGTCCTCTTGTCTTAGAATAACTTACTCCTCCCAATTGCTACTTTCTTTGATCGCCAGAACTATTACAGAGGTGAAACTACCTTTGGGATCAATCTACATGTGTTTGTTCCTTCTTTTTTCTCGTTTCTTTTCCCTCTTGATTGCATCTTCCTTTCTACAGAGTACAGCTCTTTCAATCTAACCGTCCGCCGCAGCTCAGTCCTCCGGGTCCAGTCCATCTCCGGCCTCATCCCCACCCCCGCACTGCAACCTTCCTGTCCGATCGGCGGGTCATCAACGTCCTGCCCATCCATCATCTCATTCGAGCGCTAGGATCGACGGTCTGAGCTCGAAGAACTCCGCGCGAGCCATGCGTTTCCCATGACCCTCGCACGGTGCAAGCCCTCTCCAATGTCCCCTTGATTGGCTCCATGAACTAACTAAAGGAACCAACATGAGCGGCGCTCGTAGGTTTGCATACCTACACACGCCCGGTAAACAGCGCTGCGACTTGCCTGGCCCACTTCTAACCACCGGCTAAGACGGTGGTTGTACCTGAAGGCATTGGCCATGACTGGGCCTTTGCCTAGATATGCTCGCCTTTTTGGGCGGGTAAGAGAACGTCAAAGGAAGCAGCACCGACTCCAAGACAGTAAGCAGCACGCATTACAGCATCATCTGATGGAACCACTCCTCTCGCGATGGGCAATATCGCTGTACAAAGGGCACGGTGGCACTTCATGGGTAAGAGATCAATTGCATGCATAGGATCGCTACAACAAGCTGCGTGGTATAGACGGGACGAGAGCAACGAGGAAAGTAAAATGCCGAGCAATAGCATAAAAGATTAGGATAGTGTGTAAAGAGAGATCGCCATTAGATGCAGAGTCAAAGATCATGGGGAAAGAAACGAAAAGGGTTGTAGGAAATCCCCGAGGCATGAGACAGGATATCAAAAGGCTTTGCGCAGTCCACGTGCAAAGAAAGTAGTGCCAAGGCCAGTAGCTTGCTGTTCCTGGTCTTGAAGATGTTGAGCTTATGGATTGATGGTCAGCCCGAGAAGTTGGACGTGGACTGTTATGGCCGATGCAGATAGAAAAGCCCCAAGAAACATATCATCCTGAAATGATCACAAATGAAAAAGAAAAAGAAAATTGACACCATGCCACAAATTCCAATGACCATGAACCAACCCAGCGCCAGGCACATTGAACTGTGAGGTCAACTTAGCACCGTAACGCCGATGCCTACCGACTGAACACAATGTGGTGAAACAAATGAACAAAGAAAATCGAAAGATAACGAACGCCAAAGCTGCGAATAGGGTGCAAATCGGAAGGGTCGAGGTTTCAGAGAGAAATGAGGTTCGTCAGTAAGACCGGGGCCGGAAATTTGGACTAGTGAGAGGGCAGATAGGTCGGCCTCTACACAACATAGGCAATCGCCAAAGTGGAGAATCTCGGTAATGAGCGGACATTGTCATCGAGATGGAAGCCGCCTAAACCGGGTCTGGTTGCTCATCGAACGATGGCTATTTCACAGAATACCCGAATCCTTGAGGGCATTTTGCAGTATTGTTTCCTTTACAGCGGCAAATACTAGACGGATATTCGTCGTGTCGGTGGCCTGAGTCAGACTTGGTGGAGAATTAGTGATCTATACAACACGAACAAGATTGATCAATACTTACTGAGGGTAGAGATTCAGATGCGCTCTGTTGACTTGATTGAATCTCCAAAGAAGGTACTTGGCCGCCCGATTTACGTCATTACCGCCTGAATAGTCCGGAAAGTAATGGTTCAATGGAGACCGAGGAAGCTTTTGTTTGAAAAGATCGACCTTATTCAGGAATAGAATTATGCTCGTTCGCATAAACCATCGAGAATTAACCACAGAATCGAACAGGACTAAGCTTTCCATCATGCGATTCTGAAACCGAGATCAGCAGGGCGCATAGGCAAGGCGATTTGGAGTGCTCAGAGACATACCTGGTTGCTCTCCTCCAGTAATACTTGGTCATACTCACTCAGCGCCACGCAGAAGATGATGGATGTTACGTTTTCAAAGCAATGGATCCACTTCTTCCGCTCGCTCCGCTGGCCGCCAACATCAAACATACTATGTGACAAGTCAGAAAGTGGTCGGTGAAACAGGGGTCGACCCTTCAAAGAGAGGACAGATCATACTGTATGCTAAGTTGGCCCATTGTGAATCGCGTCTCATATATACCTGTCGTTTTTGTTCGCGCGCGGAGTACATCATTCACGTTAGGTATGTAATCCGGGGAAGCTATCCGCTTAGCTTCCTGAAAGAAACTAGAAGGACTCGGTCAGCGGCTGCGCTTGTGGAAGGACTCGATTGACGCAAGCACTTACTATGGCGCAGAATCCATCAGATAGAATTCGTTCTGATGCTCCAGCACATTGGAAGTACAAGGGTCGTTCCAGAGATACGTTATCGCATCGCCGACCTTGGAATCCAGGGGTATATTGGGATCAGGGTCAATGTTGTAATCGGAAAGGAATTGGATGTAGTCGCGGACTTTTTGACTCGAGGGTTCTAGTGAGAACTGATGATAAGCTGCTATGAGAGATTTGGTACAATCGAGGAGGTTCTTGTAAACCGTCAGGCGATATAAAGCCAGCTCTTCGACTGTGTAGCCATTTTGGTGGATGATTTTCATTTGCTTCACGATGGTCGACTTGCCGCTCTCTCCAGAACCTACGATCAAAACAAGAGATCACAGTTAGCGAGAGTTGACCTTGAAAGCCCATCGACTCCTGTATAGCCGGATGAGCGGATTGCAACCAACCAAGTAATAGGATCTTGCACTCTCGCCGTAGTCGCCTAGAGTCCTCTTCTAGTTTTCGGTCGATTGCTTGGCTCCTCCGCTTCGACTCCGCATCTCCTGTCGCCTCCGTACTCACACACGAACCCATGTTCTCGGTATGATTCCCAGACAGCGGAAAGCTAACCCATTAGCTGCCTGCGGAAGGATACGGCATCAACCTGTCAGGACGCTGAGACCCGACGCCGACGGGAGAAGCGAATTCCCAGACTAGTGGCAGCTCCAACGACCAAAACAGACAGATGTGATTGCGGACGGAGGTTTATGAGCGGCGCAATGGGGGGAGAGGATATCGCTGCTGCGGTCGGGTTGGGAGAGCAAAAGAGAGACAGTCGTATATGCGATCGACAATGGGGTTCGATCAGGGATCGAGGCTTGCGCGCGTAGTGGCCGGAGGCAGAGCCACAACAGACGGCTCGAGGTCGAAACGGGGAAGGCCGGAGCGACGACAACTGCAAGCTCCCGGGGGACGGAGGTGTTGGCTCGTGACGCAGGAGGTGGAAAGAAAGCAGGGGAGACAGCGAAGCAACGAAAAGACGCCGAGCCCAAGCGCGGAGTAGGATGGTTTAGCTGGAGGTTTGATCGAGTGGTGAGGGGTGTCAAGAGGTCTAACTGCGGAGCAGGAAAGCGAGCGAGAATGACGACCTGACGCTAAAAAGGGTAGTTAAAGTCGATCGGGGGGGGGATGATGTGGGAGAGTGGATGAGAGCGCGGATCTCGAGTGAGATAATGTAAGCAATGGGGATCAGTCGTCGGTCGGGTCGATCAATCAGGCGGGTAGTTAAGGGAGGAAGGAGATGAGATGGGATGGGATGGGATGGGATGGGGGGGCAGAATGCGCGGGCGTGAATATGAAAGGGAATTAGGTATTATTACTGGTCATTATAAAGGAGAATAAGTTCGTGTGCGTTAAATGGTAGAAAAAGGGAAAATGAGGGGGTGGAGGGAGGAAGAGGAGGAGGTGAATGGTAGGATGTGATTGATTGATGGATGGTTAATTCGTAGTGGTTGGTAGAGAGAGGATGGGATGGGGATGGGATGGGATGGATGGGCCAGTTGTGGATGTTTCCCAATCGTCATCTAGACAGGTGGAAGTGGAGATGGCAGAAAGACGGAGGAGGATTACATACTCGCTCGATCGGTAGGGGCGCGGGTGGGTATTTGGGAAAAACGTGGACCGGGCGACCCAAGCTTACCGCAAGTGAAAGGCATAAAGGGAGAGCAAGTGAGAGCGAGACAGAAGCCTGGAAAGAGAGAGAGAGAGAAAGAGACAGAGAAAAAAAAAAAAAGAGGAGAAAGACACTGGCGCTAAATGGGGGTTTGAATGGATGAATGGATCTGATCGATCTGGGGGTTGTAAGTATAATAGTCACTCGAAATAATAATAATAATAAATAACAATAATAATAATACCCTCTACTATTCCGATCTTTTATGTCAATGGCCGGGTTCACTTGATGGCCAAAGTTCTCTCTCCAAAGGATGTCTGAAATACTCCTACTTCTTTGAGACCCCCTCTAATTTGCCCCTAAAAAAATAATAACCCACGCTTTGCCTACTACTACAGTACGTACTATTCTTGTGGTCAAATTTGTGGGCAGGCCGGGGGAGGCAAAAAAAGGGACTAACTTACTAGTAGCTCAAAACGCCAGTGGCAGCGGTTACAACAAGTCAGCCCAGACAGGGCACACTTCAATTTGCCTAGCTAGGCTTTCTCTGTCGCTCGTAATATTTTAGCGTGTGTCTTTTATTCTTCCCTTCCTCCAACCAACTCTACTCTACTACTGTGTGCGTCCATAAACCCCAAGTGAAGGGTTTGACTCTCCCTCTTGATGGTATTGTGTCACATCTGGTCTAGAGCCGATTCGGTGGTACCCCGTGCTCCTGATGATCCAAACAAACATTTTTCGCATATTTTCTTGACGCAGGGAGTGAGTGTCGATCCCCTTTTATACTTAGATCTTCGATATGATACATTTCTTCTTTTGTTAATTATTGTGTTTTTTCTTCTTCGTATAGATGGTGTCTTTTCTCATTCCGTTTACCCTTCAGAGCATCATCTCGTCCAGCAGCACATGAAGTGAGGCTGTGGCTAACAACAGCACCCGAGTGGAACACTGTGCTTAGAAGATCATCAGACTAACCGGGCAATTCATGAGGCTACCTGGTCACTTGTTGCTACATCCAATAGCATTAATCCCTATCAACCTACTTTGCACTTGAGCATATAGAACCCAGTATTCTCTGGCCTGTCGATATGAATTGGTTTAGCCCCCAATTTACTACAAAGTACCTACTTATCTTATGACCATGCTTTCTTCGACCGTATCGAGAGTATTAGTGTAGGGGTGCCCCTTGTAGAGCATCCCGTCCTGGATGATCGTTTTGGACGTGTCCGAAAATGAATGGCTTGATTCTAAGTTTTCTCGTTTTCTCACTATGGAGTACACTAGTATCCGTCTTGAAGTCGTCTTTCCCCCCCCCCCCCCCCGCTGCCCTCGAATCCTGCGTTAATAATAGGTACTTGGTTCGGAGAAATGTTTTGAGACAACAACCATGTGGACATGAAACACTGGCTGAAGCTACCACAGCTAAAGACACCCCTAGCCCTCTTTCTTCCCCTCACCATAGTTACATGGTCATGGCTCCCTATTCTCGTACCCATCAGAGTTTTATGCTGTAGTAACAGAAGAGGGCGGGTTAAAACCCAAACATTTCTTTACACAACAGCAAAATCCACCACGAGAGCGTCGGTATGCGGCTGAAAGAAGGCTGAGGGTGGACTCCAACATCAATGCGATCAGACTGCTTATAACCATAGCACGTCAGCAATTCGCGCTCGGATCTACTAGCATTGCCCGTCGATTACGGACATCTTCGTTTCTCGACTTTGAAGACGTGGACAGGTGACAGTAGGCTTCGACTCAAATTTTATTACGCCTGACTTGTAATGGTGTATATATATCAACAACAACAATTTGCAGCTTGTATATGCTGATTGATTTTCAGTCTCAGAAGCATACACATTGTCCAACACCGCTGGTCGCGTTCAATGGCTACGATCAAGGTTACATAGAACGCGGCTTCATGAACCTACCTGGCTTAAACGTTACCTCGTGTAGTAGTAGCATGCCAACGAATCTCCCGCTCGTCCCATTCCCAACGGAGCTAACTTATGTTGACTGCAGCATCCATACTAGTATTAACTGTTACTTAGAAAATCAGACATGCAGAAGACCATATATCTAGGAATGTAGAAGCAGCCAATAAATCGGTTTAGACACTGTCAACATTGAAATCTACGACAGGAACTCTTCATCCAATGTTTTGGCATCAGCCTTGCAGCCCCTCACATAGAACGGTCATGCTGTAGGACGTTACTTTTCTTCATGCCAACATGAAACCAGTTTATTGTAGTTCAGCAGGGATGGCCGTGTCAAAGCGGGTGTCATGTGGTATTTCCCACATTGTCGAAACGTACCGCCATTGTGCAACAACTCCTTGCAGATATGAGAGCTGGACTTTGACCGGCTGCTCTGAACTTGATGTCTTGTGTACTAAGCATTTTATGTTTGGAAGAAACAGCTTTTAAGGTCAGAGCGCAGGTGATGATGGGGTTGGACCATCTCGGGTAAATTAGGTGGTATCGGCATATAGTAATCATCCTAAGACCTCTCCCCTCCTGTCAGGCAGCATGGCCTCTGCCGAGCACTAGCTGCGTTGGCACCCCGTGCAAATTTCCTGTGCTGAAACTCCTCGATGCTAATATTGGCATAGGAGGGAAATCTGTCAAACAGTCATCATGACAGCCTGAACAGCCTTACACAAACCCGGATATAGTTTCCATACATAGCACGGATTACTGTACTAATGTTAGTATCACCTAATTGCCCATCTTCCGTTTTTTTTTGCCCCAGGTCCCCCCTTAGACAGAATTAGAAGCTTTGGCGGATACTAAGTTGAGTGTATGAGACGATCGTTGTTCGGCCGACATGTAGATATAATTATATCAGTGGACAGAATAATATGATGGGTTGTTCGTCACGAAATTGGTGGAATTGATTGGAACCGGCTGAGCCCCACCGAGGGGGTATGATGACATTGAGGAGCACAGCTTGATGCTAACTACGACTAGTAGGACTGATGGTATGGTTCGCCCCGGTTGGGCATTACGTAGTAGACGCCTTCTTGGAATCATACTCAGTAGTATTCGGATCGATCGCGATGGTAGTCCAATCCATCGATCATCAGTTAGTTAGTGACCGTTTGAATGGGCTGACTTGGGACCTTGAGGTATACTGCACAAGCTCATAAGTATCTGTTTCACACAATAGAATCTCGCCAGCCTCTGGATACCTAACATATGTTTTATACCCATAGAGCAGGAGTCAGCTTCATGGTCAGAAGTTTTACCCATTGACCGTTGCTGGCGCTTGAGCAACGATCCTGGTAGATCCCGCAGGGCATTGATAATTCTTTATATACAGAGAATCGTAAGGAGATCCATCAGAGAAGACTTCAATGTAAGAACTAGATATCAATTACATGCCGACCATAATAGTAGTGCCCCTCTGGGGAGAAATTCTCCCATCGCCTGTTAGGTAAGCGTGACGGGCCTCTTCCCTGAAATTTGGAACCCTCTTCCAACCAATCCAACCAATGGGTATGACTCAAGAGTCTAGACAGGACCGCGTCACAGTCGCAGTGGCACTAGTCGATCGGTAGTAGGCGAGAGAGAAAAGAATTAAGAATTGCAAAGCTGCTCTTAGTAGTTGTGCCCACACTCAGCCGGACCTTTCTGCGATACCCTGCTTCCGTCGCGGACGTCATCGGTCTTGTTTTGGGCGTTCCGGAGACTGACTGAGAACTCAACGGACTAGTAGGAATTACTAGAGAGAGACTCGTTTTCCCCACACACCCTGCTGGGCGCCACCTACGGTCTTTTGCTGCCTCTTTCTTTTCTCCAACACCACCAACAACCAGTCGTACCTCGTTCCTACATCCCGCATTTCATTCTTGCTCTTGTCGTTGTTCACTTTAGCCTCTCCTGCTACTGCCCTCACTTTTTTTTCTTCAACTCTACTACCTCTCTCACCTCACTCCCCTCGGTCACTTGTCTCTTTTTTCGGCTTCCACACTTAATCTCCAGATCTCCTGAGAAAGAGCTTCCGAGGCTCCCACTTCCCCCCTCTTTGAGTGCGGTGTACCGTCATCCTTGCTCCAAAATGGCGGAATTCGTGCGTGCCCAGATCTTCGGCACAACCTTCGAAATTACAAGCAGGTGCGACTCTTTTTGACGATTTAAAGAAGATCAGTATGATCTATCGACCATTTACTCATTCTCTCGCAGGTACACAGACCTGCAGCCTGTGGGAATGGGCGCTTTTGGTCTTGTCTGGTAAGTTCGACAACCCCTCTTCTGGATTTCGCCCGCCACGCGGATGGCTTCTGTGGCCCGCCCGAACAGCACATGGACTGACGCCTGTCATGGTATAATTCAGCTCTGCGAGGGATCAATTGACAGGACAGCCAGTCGCCGTCAAGAAGATTATGAAGCCGTTTAGCACACCAGTTCTGTCCAAGAGAACGTACCGCGAGTTGAAACTGTTGAAGCATCTACGACACGAAAATGTCAGCCAAAATCCCCCCACCAAAAGGCGGTCCGCCATCCGCCGTACCGCGATGCTGACTATGAGCAGATAATCAGTCTCAGTGATATCTTCATTTCTCCGCTCGAAGATATGTAAGAAACTTTGCCTGCTTCGAGCTGTCACTGAGTTGCCTTATTTTTCTGACGATCGCCGCAGCTATTTCGTCACGGAACTCCTGGGAACCGACCTCCATAGACTCCTCACTTCCCGACCTCTGGAAAAGCAGTTCATTCAGTATTTCCTCTACCAGATTTTGGTACGCCATTCTGTCATTTATTTCCGCGTTTTGTCTATCGTGGATCTTTCGCCTGGCGTACGCTGACCATTCGCAGCGAGGACTTAAATATGTCCACTCGGCCGGTGTCGTTCATCGCGATCTTAAGCCGAGCAACATCCTCATCAACGAGAACTGTGATTTGAAAATCTGCGACTTTGGCCTTGCCCGTATTCAAGACCCCCAAATGACAGGCTATGTCTCGACCCGGTATTATCGCGCTCCCGAGATCATGCTCACATGGCAAAAATACGATGTGGAAGTCGATATCTGGAGTGCAGCCTGCATCTTTGCGGAGATGCTGGAGGGAAAGCCACTGTTTCCAGGAAAGGATCATGTCAACCAATTCTCGATTATTACAGAGCTTTTGGGCACCCCGCCGGACGACGTTATTCAGACCATCTGCAGTGAGAACGTGAGCATCCACTCTCCGCTACTGTGAATCCTGCTCTTTCGATGAGATATCGCTAATATTTTACCGTGTTAGACTTTGCGATTTGTTAAGTCGCTGCCGAAACGCGAACGGCAACCTTTGGCTAGCAAGTTCAAGAATGCCGACCCCGACGGTATGTATATTGCCAATAGTCAAATTAGTCGACGCTGGGCCAATCTCTAACATCATCATAGCTGTTGATCTTCTCGAGAGAATGCTAGTTTTCGACCCCAAGAAGCGGATCCGTGCCGGCGAAGCGCTTGCACATGAGTATCTCGCCCCCTACCACGACCCCACCGACGAACCCGTGGCGGAAGAGAAGTTCGATTGGTCCTTTAATGACGCCGACCTGCCGGTGGATACTTGGAAGATCATGATGTGGGTTTTTGCGAGTTAGAGCTGTTAGAGTGTTGAATGCTAACCTAGTGTAGGTACTCGGAGATCCTTGACTTCCACAACATTGATCAAGCCAACGATGCTGGCCAAGTGCTTGTTGAAGGAGCAGTCGCAGATGGACAACAGGCCTTCGCATGAGGAGGTTCCACAATATAATGCCATGGACAAGGCGCAGGCAGCGATGCGATATGATAATGACGTCGTCAATTCCTTCGATTTCTCTTGGTATGTAGACTGGAAGCGGGGACTGTGATATGGTGTTTTTTGCCCGAAACGGGTCTTTCTTGTGACTCCTTTCCCAAATTTTCTTTTTACTCTTTCGCCAATCTTACTTCCAGGCGTTCACACACGATCCGCGCTTTGGAAAATTTTCACCCGCGCTGAGAGTCGGACGAAATGGAGATTGGACCCGTCTGTAACACGACTGAATTATTTTTGTTACCCATTCTTGATGCTATATATACACTTCTTCTTGGTCCACGATTGATGAGCATGCGTGTTATAAATCTCTTTTTGATTAAATTGAGTGTATTGGGGTGTGATGTGTCTGTTCCTCTCTCTTTACTGTGAGAGATTGTGTGTGTGTGTCCCTTGAGGAAACTTGTTGGATTTTCGTATGTGCGCCATAGAATCGAATACGAAAAACATATTAATGTTCTGACGGTTGATTGTTGAGGTCTTTCTGGTTCCTTTGTGGGCCTAAAGAGGAAGAAGAGGGCTTCAATTCCTTATCCTATATAGAAGCCATCAGCACCTTAAATAGCCAACCTTAATCCCGAGAGAGCCTTTCCAGCGGGGCGTATGGGGCCCTCCTTTTCCAAGGAGTCGGTCTCTTCCCCCCAACTTCCCCTCACCGCCCGACCGGGGGAACCAATCTGCAGCGGATCTGGATCAATCTGCCAACAGCTGGCTTCCCCCCTGGTCGGGGTCCAGTTTAATTCCAAGACTACCGACTGACTCGGACTAGTGATCGCTTCCTCCAGTCTTGCATTAATTGTTTGTCGTCCCTCTCGTCCCACGTGAGGCCTCGTCCGTTTTATTGGGTTCTCTTCTAGACAGGAGGGGCTTCCTCCTATTTTTTTAAAAGGTGGAAATTGGCTTGGAACGTGTCACTTCCCAGTCCCCGTTTTCTATGACCGTCCCCACGCCATGTCTTGCATCCGCAGTGGTCAGGATCCCATTGTCATGGTCATAGACTTTCACCATGCAAGGTGAGTGACTCGTCGTCGGCTGAAGCAAGCCCAGGAGGGGCAGGAAACATGTTCCAGAAGGGAGGCTACGGAGTGGCTTGGACCCAAACCACTATCAACATTCCTCGATTGCACGCCCATTACTACTAGTAGTGCTCGTCCCCCCGCTATAGCGGTTACTGGGTCGGCGTCAAGCACCAGCACCTGTACCTCATCTCTGTTCCCTGTGTTTCACTCTATTTTTCTCATATGATCCACCGCGGCACGAGCTAATTTGCTAACCATACATTCATTTACTCTGCCAGGGGTCCCGAAATAGAGTTATGCGTTGGAGACGATGGAAGCGATCCTGCAGCGGAGAATGACTGGTCATTGTTACCATTTATGGCCTTATCTGATGGAGCGCATATGTACGACCCGAATTGTCTTATCCCTCCCTCGTGAATCCATACGACTACCGAGGAATCGCTCTGAGCTGCGTTGACACACGCTGTGCCTTCTAGGTCCACCGAAGAGTTCTCGTACTTCACCGTGCGGCGGAAGGAGGCTCCTACCGAACCGGCGACTTCGCTCTTTGGCATCTCCTGTTCTAGACAGATCGATTCGAACCTTCTCCTATATAGGCCCCCGGATGTTACGAGATCGACGGTTCAAAAAGCGGTGGTTGTGGTGACGGATAACCCTCGAAGCCTGGGACAACTGAGGGAGAAACTGTCTGTTGTGACTTCGGCTTGGTTTGCGCAGCGGTATGTCTATCAACCGACGCCAATTCTTGGGGCCATTTGCTCTCCCTTGCTATTGGACAATAGTCCACCGGATAATATCCTGGGGTGGCTTAGCTGACACAGCATTAACAGTGATTTTTCGGATATCGATATTCTAAAGGTGCGTTCCTAAATAGAAGTCTGCCTCGACCGTTACTCACACCCTGGTAGAAATTCAGAGAAGGTCTCGTGATCAGTCTGAGGAAGGATGAGGGGTCAAAAGACCAAAATCTAGGTATGACTGACCTGCAATCTGGTTGCGCGTTCCTATGATTGACGTTTTGTATCAAGGTCTTTCCCTGCGGGAGATGATTCATGAATTCAAATATCAAACTTTGGTTCTTTTCAAGGCTCTGCTTCTACAGCCGAAGGTAAGCGCGTGCCCGACACAGTGGCCTACATCACACACTAATGTTACGCAGATGCTCTTCTTCGGCTCCCGATGCGAGCGGCTGTGCATGATTCAGTTCTCTCTCGTTTCTCTAATTCCTGGGCTCTTGAATAAGCTACAGGACTGTGCCGATCCAGCGTTTGACACCTATGCACAGACTGTTGAACAGCCAACGTCCCTCAAGACGAGCGATAGGAATTCATGTAGGTCATCTGATTTCTTCATCTTCTTCTCCACCACTTTTATACTAATAGTGTTACAGTATTGGCATATATGGGCCTACCTCTGCAGATTTTCGGCAAGGTTTGTTAAACACCACTTGTAGAGCTTAGGCGCTTCTAACATTATCTAGGGGAGCATGTTCGGGCCCTACACGCCATTGCAGCAGCTGGATCTGCTAGCGGATTATGGAACAAAGTCGTATGTCGTCGGCTCGACAAATTCATTACTGTTACAGCAAAAAGATCGCTATAGCGACATACTAGTTAATGTGAGAATAATTTCGACGCTTCTACAATTTCTCTGCTAATATCTTGTCTCCTTAGCTTGACGAAGATACCATTAATATCTCATCCCCCACCCTCCGGAATGCCTTGGCACTTTCTGTCGCAGACCGGCGCTGGATCGACCTTCTCACCCAAATCATCAACGACACATGGGATGAGGCCCATCCAGAGCAGCCTAAGACCCACGGATACATGGGGTCGGAGGAATTCATCAGACTGCAATTCGAAGAATACCTTTTGGCGCTCCTCGCTTGCATGCAGTATCACGAAGAGCTCAACTCCTTGAATGCCGACGAGTTAGGTCGGAGGAGCCGTGCTCATCTAGAAGCATTCAATATCGAGGGAGACCCGGCTTTGGAATTTAATTCCGAATTCTTGGCACAGTGGAGGAATACGCCGAATTATTCGCTGTTCAAGCGTCTGACCTCTGATGCGCTTCTTTTTTCGATCGTTGAGCCTCGCCATCCATGCGCAGGAGGGCTCACCATTGATGACGTCCAACGACGTTTGTCTCAACAAGTCGCGGAGCTTCACTTAGACGAAAGGGTTCGCGAAAGCCGCGAGGCTCTGAGCAGGCACATTTCCACAGGACAGAAGAAAGTGAGCGCGGCATTCAACAGCTTCTGGGCGGACATTGAATCCATGAGGGAGGCCCAACGCAAAAAGAATGAAGAAAAAGCCTCCCAGTCGCAACGTTCATCCTTGGATAAAGGCTCGCGAAATTCTCCTCCATTTTCACCTTCCGATACCGCATCGGTACACTCCACCAGCGGTGCTTCCTGGTTCTCTGCGCGTAAAGCTCCTGCTGTCGACCTTACCCAAGCACAGGCATCCGTCAGTGCAGCAAGCCAGAAGGCAGGTGCTTATCTCAGCTCCTGGGGTTCTTGGGCCAGTGAGAAGCGGAAGGAATGGCAAGAGAAGAAGAACACGCCGGCATCACCAACTTCCGTCAATTCGCCATCTGCTCCGGCTCTAAATAGCATCACAGAAGCCAGCGAGGCGGACAGAGGAAGGCGGCGGTCCATGCAGTCTCGTCGCAGTGAAGACTCCACTATCTCTCGCAGTGGAAGCAGAAGAAAGCGGTGGAGCAATATCCTCCTGCGGCGGGAGAGCGGGGAGTTCAGCTCCGCCTACCGAAAGGACGACGAGAGCAGCAACAATGGCGAACAAGACACGTATTCGAGATCACCCTTGTCTCGCACAGCTTCGTCGGTGCACGATGACGAGGTCCCGGCGATAGAATCAACCCAACTGCCTATTGAGCCCACAACTCACTCCGCACCAGAAATTAACGAGTCAACACCCACCACTGCAGCGGAAGGTACGAACAAGTCGCCATCTTCCGATGAACCCGAAACCTCTAAATCAAAGTCACCGGAAGACCAAGCGGAGGCTCCTACTACACTTTTGCAACCATCTCCTGACATTAAGGAAGTGTCTCCGGAACAAATCGAGCCACATGCCGAGAAATAAGACATTCAATTCGTCGATGTGCTCCCGTGCTTGTGTCTACTCGATTTTGATAACACGGGAGCAAACCTCCACCTCCCTCTCTCTCTCCCCCTTGTTCTAATCCTGTATGTACGCCTTCCGCTTTATGTCACGACAGGCTTCTTTCTCTTGGGAACCCACCCTCTCACCCGCTCTTGTCTATTATCATCGAGAGCTCCTGATACCCGAAGAGGACACAAATAATGCCTGTATATATGACATGCCATCTATCACACTGTCGTGTATGCTCTCTCCCCATCATGTGAACTGATACATAGTAATAGCATAGGAGCTAGATAACGCTCATAGTGTTTTGATACCAAATCATACATAATATCATTGTCGCATTACACACTCAGAGGTTACTCCTTGGTAGTACGGTCTATATAATGAATGGCAGTCTTTAACATACTATGAAATCTAATGTATAGAATCTACTGATCACTACGCAATTGCTGCCCAGCTCGGTTTCGATTGCAATCTAGATGATTTTAGACTTGGAAAAGAAAAGTGGGAAGTGGGATCCAGTCTAATTGTATGTCTGGGTTATCATTTGTCGTAGCAGCGCTGTGAAAGAAAAGAAAAACACGACGTTTCCCATCCGCCGCTCCTTGATGTGCCATTGGGACAATATGAGTCAAGATGAAAGAAGACTAGTATAAGAATAAGGAAGCTACCGCGCTAACAGGACATTTGAGATGATGGTTGATGTGGTGTGATGTTGATCCATGATGAGGAGGGAACCGCCAGAGAAAGAGAAGGATGGGGGGGAGGAAATGGAGAAACTGGGTTGTATGGGGGATCATGCGATGTAGGCGATCTCATCACCGTCCAGCCGCTCTATGTAATCCTTCTCCATAAGTGCTTCGATGTTCTTCTTGATGTCGGGAACCTTGGGAGGGAAACGTGACTTGACTTGTTGGATCACTTCTTGGACAAGCTGCACGTGCTTCATCTTCTTGCGAGATTTCATGATACGGACAATGGCGGACTAATACCCACATATTAGCGACATTGGAGGTTCTTTAATGGGACGAGGTTGCCGGGGACATACCTGAAGCAGCAGCTTCCGATCCTCCTCAATCGTCTTGTGCGTATCATCGGACTCTACCTTCTGCTCAGACTTGATCTGGATGTTAAGGTTGACTTTGATCTTCTTGTTCTTGAAGTTGTAGTTCAGTGAGAAGGATGTACCAGGTTCTGGCTTCGATCCCTCAGGGTTTATAGTGAGCACCTTGGCTTTCAGGAAGATGCTGAGGTTCGGGTCAAGGATCTCGGGAGCAAGGGATGTGGCCTTCTGAATGTCCTCGTAGGACAGAGTGTCATGCTCGTTGAACAGCAAGAGAATACCCATCTGGAAGGTTGACACCTGGAACGTGTATGGAACCTTGGTGTTCTTGATATAGTTGGTTTTGATTTCACCTTTGCATAGCTGCCAGAGCCATGTCAACTTACGGCCGTTGTGCTTGTCAAAGTAGAAACTCTGGAACCGCTCAGCAGTCTTGACGATTTCCGGTGGCGCGAGGAAGTCAGTCGAAGGCGCACTAAGGGGCCAGAACCCAGTTCCCAGGATCTGGAAGTGTGAATCTACCAGTTTCCTCCGATCGTCATCGTCGAGGATCTTCTCCTGCCAGTCTCTGTAGCTGGCGTTGAGATCCTTTGAGATCTGGATATCTTGGAACATACGCTGCAGCTTGTTGGTGTATTCGAATCCACACGCCTCCTTAAGCTTGCTAATCATACTGGTCTCCGCATCGTCAGAGACCGAGCTGACGTGAACGAGACGTTTAGCCAGCATCTTGGAGTAGAACTTCTGGAATACATCCTTGTCTTCAATGTACTTGAAGACGGTCATGATCTGCACCAGCATTTCTTCGAGTTCAGACTCCTCCGCTGCCTTAGAGCCCTTCTTGAGAAGTGAATCGGTGTACCGGGCCAGTAGTTCTGGGGTCTTCGTCGAACCAGATTTGCAGATCTTATTGCGGTTTACAAACTCACGGCAAGCATTATCTAGAGACCGGACGAACTCCGACTCGCCGTTGAAGGCTTCGCTTACCAGACTCTGATACCGGGTGTGCACCTGCAATAGTGCATCGACGTAAAGCTTGGGCTCAAAGGATTCGCCATCGGCGGCAACCTTTTCCACGGCAGCCAAGCCTGCTTTCCTGACGTGGGCCTCAAACTTCGTGCGGAGAGGATCCAGGCCGTCTTTGATGCGAGACAAGAGTCGGTACATCCGAGCCAGATCCTCTTGGCGTTCATTATCCAGCAAGACCTGGAACTCGTCCCGCAAGAGTTCTGAGTGAGCGGTAACAAGCACATCCAGGCATGTGTCAGTGAGGTGCTTAGAAATATCGGGGTGCAGATACAAGCCCACGCGGGCCTTTTCTTCGTCCAGACGAGCCTCCGCCTTCTTCATGTACTCAACAACACTGTTCTCTGCGACAAACTGGCGTGATTCATTCTCATAATAAACCCTGGTGGCGTCAATGAAGGGCTTCTCGAAGTAGTACCGATAGACCTCCAGGGTTGATTTGCTGGAATCGCTCTCGTCCAAGCCAAGGGAGACGAAGGAGTCAACAATGCTCTTGATCTGAGACTGCTCGATAGTTTCGCCGTTTCTCTGCTTCTCGACCAAGTTTAGCACCGCTTCCATGACCTTCTCATGGACCTTCATGAAAAAGTCATCCTTCCACTTGACCAAGTGCAAGGTATACACATCGTATACATTCTTCTTGCCTTCGTCAATTTCCCGCTTGACCCAGTGACGGTTCAAATACCGGAAAAGATGATTGATGTACTTAGCCGCCGTCGTGTAACGGAGCCACTCGCGGATGTAAAATCCTAGCAGGGCTTCTTCCGCATGGCCCTCGGATTCCTTGTATACCGCGTCAAGGTGACGAGAGAGGTACTCCCCGAGCAACTTGTACAGTTCCTCTCCTAGCAGGTGTGCTGGTGATGGCGTCAGCTGTGGGTTTCTGAGACTCAAGAATCTATATGGCTGTGACCGACCGCCATGATGCGCTTTTATGTTTTGACTACTGCCGATAGCCTTTTGTGACGTGCAAAAGTTGTGGACCGCGCTTGTTTCTGCAGGTTAGCCAATACATAAAGGCACGAGAGAGACGCCTTCGGACATGGACATACGTATACAGGGCCATGTACTAGAACGAAAATGATATATGTCAGCAAACCATCCAGCTCGACAGGACCTGGTGGGGAAGCCAGGAAAGGAGCACTGAACAGCATACAGTTTTCATGTCCACACCTTCCTCCAACTTGAGCATCACGCTGTCGATGCCCTTCTCTAGGAACGTCCATCTGCGCACGTCAGCCATGACCCCGACCGAAGCCGCTATGGGATCCCTCTGACAAGAGCGGTCGCCCAGTGGGGAAGGACTCACGTTTCATCCAGATCATCCTTGTGAGGGGTTTGAGGGATAAGAGCGGGCATTCTGCGAGCTATAGATAATCGTGTTCGAGCCTTGAGCACAGGTCTATGAAGTAAACGGGACAGCATTAGCCTGTGCGAATTATAACCGACTCCTTTTAAACAAGAGAGTCAGGGCGGATGGGAGGGTTCGTTATGGGACAAAATAACGGACAAGGAGGCGACAGCGACCAGACACAAAGACATGTGAGGTTGAAAGGGAACACGGAGCTTACCTCAACGTCCCACGGATAGAATGAGTGACCGCACGATGAGCGGTGGGCGGCTAAGTTTTAAGGCAGCGGTGATGAGTCTAAATATCAGCTTCGGGACCTCAGCCTAGCAGTTAAGGCAGAAGAGAAGCTGGCGCGCTGTGGGAGACTACCCAAAGGGACAGTTCGGGGAACGAGCCACGAGGATTGCACTGCAAATGCCCGGGACTAGAGTACTAGGTAGTGACGCGCCTTAGGGGGGGGAGAGAGGGAAGAGGGTGGGGAGGGCAGAGAAGCGAAGGCGGGAGGAGATCTGATTTGAGCAAGAGAACTGAAGCAGGCAGAGGGCGTGGCGGTTGGGCGGAAGAACTAAGATGGGGGAAGATGATGATGGCTGGTGGTTGGCGGTTAGTTACTAAGTAAGTTAGTTGGTGGAGGTTCCTCCAACAGAGGAGGGGGGTTTACTCGCTGTTTGCGGCAGGCGGTCAAGATTTCACGATCTAGATTTAGATTCCCCAGGCCGCCCTGCTGATGATCGAGACTAGTACTTGTGAGTAATTCTTTCTTTTTGGCTACTTGAAGGTTCATTCCAGGTGTCTTCAGCATCGTGTTACATTCTGGTCTCGTCCAGCTTAATATCTTTCCCCAAGATCTCCCCCAAATGCAATCACAATACCCCTTTGGGTAGGCTGGCACGGGACCCGACCCTTGGATCAACCGCTACGTAACCGCCTACCTTTTTTTTTTTACCTGACCACCCCCGAAAGATGTCCATCTGTCACACAGTCAACGTTGATCTGACTGGACACATCTTCCCGCCGTTAGAAAGACGTATCTAGGATCTCCTGGAAGCAATGACACGTTTGAATGCGAGACAATCAGCTCATTGCGTGACGAAATGCTAACTGTCATGCATTCTTCGTCCCTCGCAGGGGGCAAAGCAGTACCAATGACGTCACATATACTCATTACGGACGAACTGATCTTGAGGCCTTAGAAAACAAAACCACCATAACTCCGGTTGCTTGTGCACTAATTTAGAGAAGATAAGACAGAACATATGGTCGTGATTAGACTCGATCAACCATGTCGTTCACTCCTCCTTCAGAAATTTCCGTGACCTCTCGTCAGATCCCCAAATGCGGTGGCATCCCCAACACCTCGATCCAGTCTAAGCCACTCCTGATCTACCACAAAGCTTTTAACGCGTCCGCTAGCGATCTCGCAACGCACCTGGAGGAAATTGGCGAGGTCAGACCACAGTGGGTCTATTCCATGTACAGTCAAACGCACTTCCACAGCACCACTCACGAGGTACTGGGGGTGGTTTCCGGCCGTGCACGGCTTTGCTTCGGTGGGGAAGCGAACCCCGAACGCTTTGAGCCGACCGTCGAAAAAGGAGATCTGATTATCGTGCCCGCCGGCGTCGGACACCGGCTGCTGGAGGAGCTCGGCTCTGACCAGGGTGACCCTTTCCAGATGGTTGGCGCTTATCCGCCCCAGAAACAATGGGACATGTGCTATGGTGACTCAAGGGAGGAAGACAAGGTTTCCCGGAATATCCATGCCTTGAGTTGGTTCCACAGCGACCCCTTGTGTGGGCAGGATGGGCCGGTGCTGCACGTCTGAAAAATTCCTTGGGATGGATTTCGAACGATAATAGCGGCCGTGGATTCTTTACCATAAAGTCTCATATGTACATAATGTTCTTCTCGTATATGCACAGTGATCGTGTAATCCAAAAAACAAAGAAATCAGATTTTCCCTTTCCGACCCAATGCTTTGAAACTCCAACCGACCACCACAAGAGACACAAACTCCTTAATTAAGCTCACGAAGCAAGGATATAGCGCCTAGTCAAAGTAAACGGGGGAATGCGAAGAAATTGAAAGATGTTGAAAGGGGTAAGCCAAGAAAGGAGAAGGAAAAGAACTACTGGAAAAGCAACTTGGGTATTAATGTGGTGAAAGGGGGGAAATAAAAATGCCCCAGAGGGACTATAATAGAGAAATGAAGAAGGGAGATATAGGTATACTGTAGAGCTGCAACTTCATGAAGCAACTCGTTCGACAAGTCTAGATCGAAGCTGTCAGTATCGACATCTGTGTAGCATGGCAGATTCTCGTACCTGAGGACACTGATAGAAAAGGTGGTGAGCCAGGCTAGCAGCGCAATCAGCAGCACACAAGCTAGGGCGATCTGCCGGTCGCATATTGCGTCGTTTTTCGGCGCAACTTCTTGGTTCACTTCAGCCATTGTACATGCGCCCCTCACGGTCGAGAGTGATTCGAACGCCAAACTGAGATTGGCGGAGTCGAACACAATGAAAAAGATATCCAGAAGAATGAGTCGTGCCTTGGCGGATGGAGAGCGAAGACCCAACGGCTTGGATGTGTATTCGTCAAATGTAATGTAAACGAGGTAGACCAAGGCAACCGCATCGACGATAATCGCCATTAGCGCAGAGGGGCCTTGGGGATGCTGGTACTTCCCTGAGAGATGTTGGATAGAGCCCCCAAGAGCCAATGCAGTGAGGGAAAAACACCACACCGTAAGTCGAAAGATCAATGGGACCATAGGACTCTTGAGAAGCGTGTTGTGGAAGCGCTTGAACCAGATTTCTCGTCGTCGTCTCATCCTCAAGGGGTCTTCGGTATCTTCATCCGGTTCGCCCTGACCTCGCCAAGGTTCAGAATAATCACCGAGATTCTCATTCAACCAGTCCGGCGTGACGGGTTTCTCTTCAACTCCTTGTTCTCGGGGATATGCGATGTCCCTGGAAAAGTTCTTCCAGCGCGACTCGCGCTCTCGTCCGACGATACCTCTGCTACTTTCGCCCTGTCCACTCGAAAGGGTAGGTCTTGATGCCGCATACGGCGAATGGTTGTGCTGGGCGACAACGGCTTCTCCGGGCTGTGATGGAAGCAGCCGATCTGTGACAGCTGCATCTGCCTCGTCCTCCGTATACTCGACCGAACGGATCCATGCTATACAGGTTATCGTTGGTTAGCTGACTTCACCCGGTGGATCCGAGATCGATCAGGACACAAAGGGAAACTCACCTGGTAAAGTCCGAGGTTTCTTCCCCATTGCCGGGATGTTGTCGAATTCGCCCACGACTGTACTCTCTGGCGAACGTGAGTGTCCAGCCGAGTAGTCTACTGCATCATGTGGGTGAACGATATCGTTGTCGCTGTGGAGCGCGCCAGTCGAATGGTTCGATTGCGCCGACATCCATTCGGTAGCGGATGGTTGCTCCGACAGCTGTTCGTCGGAGAGCGGAGCGGCATCCGGAGGCTGCAAATGTGAGTCGCGCACATCGTGTGCCATTGCCGTACAGTTCAGCGGTAGTTCCAGGCGAAGGTGCGTCGGCGGGTCGGAAGCTGGGGGCAAGCCGCGGATCTAGTCTGCATCGCCTCAATGTCCCTCGGAAGATTAGCGGGCACCGGGCTTGACTGAAATTTGAGAAGCCTTGGCCCTTGGGAGAGATAGGCTCATCGAGAGAAGAGCAGGACGGGTGAAACAGAGCGACAATGAACTGAAGTCAGCCGCCGCGCGCAGAAGGAGGGGAAAAGAGAGCGAAAGGCTGGGAGGCTGGTTTCAAGAAATTTGGATGATGGAAGCCTACGTAGTAATTCGTCCGGGCTGTAATCTTAGCTGGGGGAGCTAAAGCCCCAACCGGTTAGCTGCGTAACTTACAGCCAGGTACACCTAGCACTTACCTTACCGTACAGCCTGGAGTCAACGATTCTCCATAAATTTGGCAGATGCAGTGTCACGCATACCGTCACAACAGTAAGCTGAATGACGTCTGAGATGCAATTAAGCAAAGCATCATCATCATCACCGCCGCCAATCAATGGTCCGGCTACCTCCACGCATCCATCTCCCGCTACCTTTATTCATTTTCTGATATCAACTCACAGAACGGTAACAACTACTTACCACTCAAAAAAGCCAATTCAGGCCCCGTGACCTTCGCATATCCTCAACAGACAGGAAAGGCATGCCACTTTCATATACGCCCTTGAATCGGTTATTTTCTCTAGTCGATCGCTAGCTCTCCCTGGCTGCCTCCCAAATTTGCCCAAATCAGCCATTGTCGCTGATCCTTGGAAACACGCCACGGCATTCATAATAATCACACAAAACGCATCCCTTCCTCAGTTGCTATGCGACTCTTCGTCATCCCTATCTCGACGCGACAAGCTCTAATCTACGCTCGACCCCTCCGCCGTGGTCCGTCGCAGAAGCCTTCGATACATGATCGGGTCATACAAAAGGCTGCAGAAACGTGGGCGAAATGGGAGGAGGCCGATAAGGGGTGGAAGAAGCATTTAGTATCCTGGGGTAATCGGGTGCAGCAACGCATCCCGTATCAAGAATGGGGTCTGAAAAGTATCCCATCCCTCGCAGCGGTGCGGCGACTTGATGAATCCTACGGGACCAAGAAAGTGGACGTACTTTTCCCAGGAAATGCTATTCGACCGGAAAAGCTTCAAAAGATGCTGCAAGCAATCGCGACGGAGAGACAGGACCTGCATCGCCGAAGGATGTGGTTGAGCTTGCTTGCGACGCCCTTGACCGCTCCCGTTGGGCTTATTCCTCTGTAAGGAGCCCTCTTGGATTACGTTAATCTCACGGACTTGCTTTACCCACATATGCTAATCACATAACCATACTTGTGATATAGTATACCTAATGTCCCTTTCTTCTATCTCGTATACCGAGCATGGTCTCATGGACGAGGTAGGCTGATTTCCCCCGGTTCTTTCCTACCCGTGATAGTTCGAGGACTGACTATTCCAAGCACTCAACGGCTCCAAACATTTAGAGTTTCTTCTAGAGAAGGATATCCTGAATCCGATATCATACCCTGGGCTTGAAGAACTGTACGCAAAGCGCGTATCCTACGCACTGGAGAATACGGGGGTGGATAAACCCATTTCGGAGATGGTAGAGGACGTTGAGAAGAGCGATGACAGATTACTTCTCCGCATGACAGATGCGAAGAAACTAGCTTCGATACTCGAGGCGCCGGATCTTGCGTTGGAAGCTGAGAGGGCCATTATACAGGTGGAGGAAAAGCTGAAGGCGGAAGCGAAGAAAGATGGTGAGGATGGGGCTTCCGAAAAGAAAGATACATGAGTAATGGGAATGTGCATGAGATTTGTGACTCCCAGAAGTGGGATTCCTACATGGCATCCATCAGGGCCCCCATGGCTGCCCCAGGTCCTCCGAGGTCGAGTCAGTACATAGTGTTTTGTAAATGGTGCATGGCGAATGGGGCTTGGAAGCACACGCCCGATTAGAGTGATAGGAAGTATTTAGACGTTTTTGCAAAATAATGAAAAGCACGCGACTCGGGAAGCACTTCATAAATATCAATTTTGAAGCTATTCACTGTCTATCTAGATAACTCGATAAAGTCGATAACTGGAGTACCTGAACGGAACTAACTTGTTCCGGCAATACCAGCGGAGCCATTGCGGGACGCCCGAACCGGATGACGCCCAGCAATCCAGCCAAACATCTTCCCCCCCATTGATTCCCCCCATCCTGTTCACTTCCTTCACTCTTACCTCTTGTCTCCCATTGCTCGGTGTCCTGCTCAATCCCCAAGTCGACAAGCGACTCTGTCTCCAATCATGTCAACCAAGAAGATCGAGCAGTGGGAAATCGAACGGTACTGGGAGATCTTCGCATCGCTGGCAGGCGGCCAGCCGCGTCTGAACAACTCCCAAGCGGCCTCGGTACTCAGGAACAGTCGGCTTCGTGATGACCAACTGGAAAAGGTCTGGGACCTGGCAGATGTCGACGGCGATGGCGAACTTGACTTTGAGGAGTTCTGTGTTGCCATGCGATTGGTGTTCGACCTTGTGAACGGGGTATGTGAGCTCCCCTACTGCGGCGCCTCCCGGCCCTCCTGGTGCTGCATGTCTCCTTTCCCGCCCGCTTCTGCAGTTCAATGATCCCCCACACCATTACGTTCCATGCTAATGTATCCAACCCCCAAAGGAATTACAAGCAGTCCCAAACGTCCTGCCGGACTGGCTCGTGCCCGAATCCAAAGCTCATTTAGTCCATGCGACCCGAGCCCTGAGCGGTCGTCCGGAGCAATTCGAGCGGATAGAAGACGAGGACGATACTCCCGGCTTGAAAGATGGGTTTGAATGGTACATGAACCCGTCTGATAAGTCTAAATATGAAGAAATCTATCTCGCGAACAAAAACCGCCGCGGGGAAATCTCATGTATGTCCGGATTCAAGCTACCCCCCAACTTCTACCTCCCGAGCCTTGAAACTGACATGATGCGGTCTTGTATAGTCGAATCATTACAGCCTCTTTACGACTCCCTCGACGTCCCGGACACGGACATCCGCTCTGCATGGAACCTGGTCAACCCTTCTGCATCCCCGACCATCAACAAAGACGCTACCCTTGCATTTCTGCATATGCTCAACTACCGCCACGAGGGCTTCCGCATTCCCCGCGCCATTCCTGCGTCTCTGCGCGCTTCATTCGAGAACAACCATATTGACTACCAAGTCGACAATGCCCGTCCCGCCCAGAAATGGGGCGCAAGCGGCGATACGGAGACCCTCACAGGCCGGAAGGCCAAGTTCGGAGATACCTATCTGAGTCGGTTGGGTGCTGGAGGAAAGACCTCCTATACACCCAAGGGAACGGATTTCAGCGACACCATCCAGGATGAAGAGTGGGAGAAGGTCCGGTTGAGGCGCGAGCTGGCGGAGATGGAGTCTAAGCTGGATTCCGCTAGGAAGGCCTCCGAAGGCCGACGCGATCGACCTCGAAACGACGGTCGGCCCAACTGGGTGTTGATCAAGAAAGAAGCACTCCAGCTGCTGGAGTACAAGGAGCGGGAGCTACGGGAGCTGCGTGAAGGCGCAGGCCGATCTAAAGACGGCCAGAACGTAGAACGTCTCAGAGATGATGTCAAGACCGTTGGCGAGCAGGTCGAGGGATTGAAGAGCCATCTGGCGCAACGGAAGGAAGTGCTCTCTGATCTGCGGGCACAGGTCGAAGAGGCAAAGTTGTCCCGATAATCATCTAATCTATTCCTCGCCCGACCTACCTTCTCCCGTCCTTGATCCATTTTCTTGAATATACTTTCACCTGGGTTGTTTCCGGTATTTTCTTCACTCGCCGTGAGGCAATGTTCGCTTACGAGCTTTTCTATTGTGTTGTTGTCGTTGTATAGCCATTTTCTTGGCGAGGAGCATCAGGCGCTTAATGGATCGATTCGTGTCTCGTGTGTTTACTATTCTTCTTCATACATGCTTCGCTTTCACTAGAGGTGTGATTTGCTCCCAACCCATTAAGTCCCTCGGTTTGGACTTGCTCTCGCATTACCCGCCTATTACTCCTCTTCCTCTTCTAGTCACCCCCTCTATCTAATGTACAGTACATAATAAGAACGCCCTATAGGCCTAGCCTAGGTTCCGTTTTTCCTCGACCTGACGCCCACCCCATAGTAAGTAGGTCAAAATGTTTGATGATGATAGGCACAAACCGCCTAAACGCCCGCCTTGATGAGAAATGAAAAATAAAGAGAAATCGAGGAGAACCAACATACGGGAAAAGAAAAAGAGGAAAAAAGAATTACTTCCCAATGATCTGCGCCATCAAACCATCCCCATCCCTCTTCGTCTCGACAGCCATAAAAGCCCGTCCAGTAGTATCCAACCCCTTCTCAGCACGAACATACGCCTCCTCACTCCGGTCCGTCAGAATATCCAAATCCTTCTTCGAAAGCAAAGTGGCTGGATCCGCTCCAGCCTCAAAACTCTCATATTCATCCTGCCCCAGCGCCTTCTTCAAGTCATCAACATCATTGGAGCTCAGGCTACCCGGATCCAACAGACTCCGGAACTTGCCCTTCTGGATAACTAGACGTTCGAGACGACGCTTCGAGTCCGCTTTCTCGAGCAGCGTCTGCTCCACAGTTCCCTTTGTCGCGAGCCGATAGACAATGACCGGTTTCGTTTGGCCGATGCGGTGGGCCCGGTCCTGCGCCTGGAGATCCTGCTGCGGGTTCCAGTCAGAGTCGAAGAGGATGACGGTGTCGGCGGCCATGAGGTTGATTCCTTGGCCACCGGCGCGGGTGCTGAGGAGGAAGAGCTTGTAGTTTTTGTCGGTGTTGAAGGCTTTGATTTGGGCACGGCGGTCTTCTTGGCTGACGGCGCCGTCGATGCGGCAGCAGTTCCAGGAGCGGAGTTGCGTGGCCCAGTCTTGGAGGATGTCGAGTTGGGTTTTAAATTGGGAGAAGATGAGGATTTTGTGGCCCTTGTTGAGAAGGCAGGGAACTAGTCGGTCGAGGAGGAGCATTTTGCCTGAGGCTGTGACGAGGGTTTCGTCGATGGAGGTCGGGTCGTCCATCCACGGCCAGTAGAAGTTGTGCGGAGAGTTGCAGGCAAGTCGGGCTTGCATGATGGGGTTTTGCATCTTCTTTTGAGCGATTTCTTTCTCTGGGGGGGTGGGAGGGGGAGGTTAGCTTTTGGGTGTGGGATGAAGGGGGGCAGGGGGAAGGGGAATGCTTACTGGCAAGCCGGATGGTTTTGGCTCTCTCTTGCTCTTCCTGTTCTGTCTCGCTGGGCTTTTCGGCAATGTCCAGGTCTTCTTCTAGCCCTTGCTCGAGTCTGCGAAGTCTAGAGTTGAATTCGCGGTCGCTCAGCTCCTTGTAACTCGACACCTTGCCGCGTCTCCGGGATGTGGGCAATGCTGTACTGGCTGGTGTGGATGAGCGGCTGGATTTGAGACTCTTGTTCGGTGATGAAGCTCCGCTAGTGTCGGCGCTGCGTTTCAGGCTCTGAGATCGTGACGGTCTTCCGCTCTTGGCCATAAGACGCTCTGTGGCTTTTTCCTCGAGGTACTGGCGGCCAGTGCCGTTGAGAATTTCACGGTAGAGGTCCTTCTGTTCTGCTGTTAACGGCGCGTACAGGATGTATTCCCGCTTCTTGGGAAGGGATGTCTCAACGTCGGTCTTCACACGTCTGAGGAGGAAAGGCTTCAAGATCGAGTGCATCGTGGAGACCAGCGTGCGCTTTCGGCGTTCCATGACATCCGTCTGGCCATTGTTGTCCAGCATGGACGAGAAGTCAAACCAGCTCTGGAAGCTGTTGAGATCATTGAAGATCTCAGGTAGAAGGAAGTGTAGCAGTGACCAAAGTTCCGTGATGTTGTTCTGCAATGGCGTGCCCGTGATGAGGAGTCTGTTGGCCGAATTGTAGGTGAGCAGTTCTTTGATCAATTTGCAATTCATGTTCTTCAAGCGATGTCCTTCATCCTGCAGACATGTTAGAGAATCAAATTATCCCAGATGGACTTGCGACGGGGAGTAGAACATACCACAATGATATACCGCCACTGATATTGCGCGAGGAATTTTCGATCGTTCATGCAGATCTCATAGGAAGTGCAGACGACAGGAAAATCCGCACTTCTCTGGTCCTTCATATTCATAAACTTCCTCCTGATCGTTGCACGTTCGTCCCTTGTCCCATGGTACAAGACTGTCTTGATTTCCGGTGTCCACTTTGCGAACTCGTCCACCCAATTGCTCACCGTGCTCAAAGGAGCAGCGATCAGGAAAGGGCCAGATATATTCTTCTCCTTGAAGAAAGCAATTAGAGAGATCGCCTGAACAGTCTTCCCAAGGCCCATCTCATCGGCCAGAATGCCACACAGTCCGTTCATCCAAAGGGACTTGAGCCACTCCAGCCCCTCCAATTGATACTTCTTCATCGTTCCTCCGGTCACCAACTCCGGCTGCTGGGTAGCAACCAGTTCCTGACCACCCAGTGCGGTTGGATTCGCTTCATACTCATCTGCAGCATGTTCCAAAGCTTCCTGGACCGTTGGCTTATCCTCGTCGACCTTCACATCCGCCTTCTTGAAGTAGCTGGAGATGGTGTTACCATTCGCAGCCGCAGAAGAAGTAGGCTTCCTTCCCCGGCCCCTCCTGGTCTTACTGGTCTCCTGTTCTTCCTCCTTCTTCCCTTCTCCAGCAGTAGCTTCCGTTGACGTGGCAGCTGACTGCCTTGCACTTGTGCGCGTCTGTCGCCGTCCCACCGGCTCGCTAGCACCCTTGGGTTTGGTTTCGGTCTTTTTCACTTGCTTTTGTTGCTGTTGTTGCTGCTTGGCTGCTTCAAGTCTCGCCTCCTCCTGCTGTTTCTTCATTTTGTCCGCCATGATCGCAACGAAGACCTATCAGGAGATAGCAAACACATCAGCAATAGTTCTGCGCCACCCAGATTTTCTCCAGGCCCAAGATCGAACAATCGCACCTCACTAGTGTTCAGAAGGTGCATCAGCGCCTTCGCCTTTACATCCATCCCCTCAATGTCCTCCGATATATCCATCTTGTCCTGCGGCGCTGTTTTCTGATCTTGTCCGGGTTCGTCTGTCATCGGCGTGGACGCATGCGAAGAGCCTGATCGGGGGGCGAATTCATCCAGGGAGTCGGTCCCGGTAATGGGAGTATCTGGATTCGACATCTTTCCACTTCGATTTTGCGTGTTTCACGTGTATCGCTTATAAGCCCTGTCGTTCAGCTAGGACTTCCTTCTGCGCAGTCGATCGATGTCGCAATCGCCTCCCACAGCGAAAACCGGAGCAGAGTTGAACCTGTCCAATTGCAGGCTCACTAAAAAAGCTTATGGTGACTTTCTTTCCCGGTGTCCTGCAACTCCGTAAAACAAGAGACGATAATGATGCCCTGTGAATGGGACCAGAGCATCAACACTGGGCACAGCCTGCACGCATGACGGACGGGCGGCGCGCCTTTGTTCTCCCACGCGGATTTTCGCGTCAGCGCACGGACCATCTTTAAATGGGCTTTTTGCCTTTGACATGAACGACCACTTCTTTCACATGAAAGCACGCTGCTTGGTGTAGTAATGCCAAGGATGTTTCATAGTCCAGGTACTTGTGGGCCTCACTGATCATTCTAACAATGAATCGTTATTTGACAATGCATCGTGGTGCTGTTGTATGCAAAATTAGTTCTGGAGGGCCCGAAAGAGCAGTGCATATCTGTGAATTTTCCCGGCACATAAACAATCTAAATCATGCATGGCTGTGTGAAGTGCAAGTTGCTTTCAAAGCACAGCCAACATACCCTATACCCTCTTTCCTTCCCCCAGTGACGCCTTCGTTGCCTTGCATCGGAACATTCCAAGCATCAAAATGTCTTCTTTGTCCTGATGCAGAAAGAAATCCACGCCGTGGTGCTGACGTTCTTCGACGCCCTTTGCTAAGCTCTAAATCGCTTCTCTTAGAAGGGACTACACCTGTCACTTCCTAAGATAGGAGCGGGAGATGTCTTCCATGGGGAACTCCAAAGGATTTGCCACCATGGCTGAAAGCCGGTATCCTCAACATACAAATGAAGAACACCACCGGACCATGAAAGGAGTTCTTAGGTCTCCTTTGTATATCTTTGAGACTGATTTGTTCTCTGTCATAAATGGAAGTTCTGTAGCACCATGAGTGCTGGGATACTATCAGGGATATTCCAATCTGCTCTTTATGGCGGCATGATGCCCTTCTGAGATGTCACTGCATTGAATGACAGTTTCCTACTAATCCAATAGAATCCTCTAGGGGCCTTCCAATCAATATTGCATACCACATACAAAGGACTCCTGTGGACTTTGATACCTGAGCTTCCTCCACATATCCATGCTACAACATATAAGATACTGAGGGACAACATTAAACCCTTCAACTTCCGGCTCGCTCATTTCAGTGCAGGCCCCGCTGAAATCAAGCTAAGCAAGAAATAACAACTCTTCGCAAGATAGACTACGCTCAGGCATCATGGATCGATTGCCCCTCGAACTGCATATACGAATCGGCCGACATCTGCGCACCCAAGATTTATACCAGCTGGTTCTCGTCTCAAAATCATATCATTCCACTTTCACCCCGGAGCTTTACCGCGAGATCATGATTTCGGGAGAATACCAGGAGTCTAACACCAATTTCTACTGGCCATCTGCCCCGGTAACGCGCAAGAGCCGCCCTCCTGGCCGATGTCTCCCTTATGCCCTTAGTGAACACCCAGTCCTTGCTGGTTTCGTCCGCTCACTGGTGTTGCTCCCACTCGCACACCAGGGTTCTCCACAACTCAAGCCGTCACGAGCTCTTCAAGAAACAGATTGGCTAGACTCCTTGCTCCCCATCCGGTGACCAGACAGACAATCCTGTGTTGGCAAAAGGCCCTTGATTCTGACGAAAAACTCGATTCTCGCCAGCCCCTGAGAAATCCCTGGTTCGCCCTGCTATTGCTTCAGCTCAAGAATCTACGGCGTCTTTCTGTTTATTTGCCATGCGAGGAACGCGTGTCTGGACTAAACTACACCTCTGCGACGCCTTATTTTGGCAGCGTCATCCATGGGGCAGCAAAACCCGGATCAGGGATCCTCCCCCGCTTGACCCATCTCACTATCAACGAAGCTCACTTACAGTGGCATCATAAGCGGTCAGGTATACCCCTGAGTCAGCTAACACCATTTCTTCGGATCCCTTCCCTGAGATGTATACGTGTTAGGCAGCTCACTGAGAATAATAAGCAAGCTCTCCCTCGCGACTTCAGCTGCGGAATAACCCATATTGATATCGAACAGTGTGATAAAACCATCACTCAATTGCCACGCCTCCTCTCGGGGTGTTCAAAGCTCGAATCCTTCACATGGGCGCTCGAGGAGTCAACACATCATTTCTATAATGACCCGCACAGTCCTGCTTACCACTGGAATCCTAACTGCGTGTATGCTCCTCTTTACGAAGCCCGCTCCACGCTGCGGCACCTTACTATGATATCTTATGAGTGCAGTGGCAACATGGCCCTCTTTCACGATCTGGAGTATCCCCAGCCAGCATACTTCGGGCCCCTGTGTGACTTTCCTGTCCTGGAAACCCTAAAAATGCCGATGGTTAATCTAATGCCTTTTCATCCCGGCACACATGTCCCGGTTTCTCCTCTGTGGGAGACTCTCCCAAGCTCGCTCAAGTCCCTATCCATATACGGGTGTCTTTTGCAGAGTTCGCATATGCTGTGCGACGAGCTGGAAGACTTGGCAGCACATTGCCAGACACATTTCTCTCTGCTTAATATGGTGTACATCGTGTATTCCAGTTTTGAGAAGATCAATGGGCAGCAATGTAGTGCCTGTCGCGGCGAACGTTCTACTAAGTACGATATGGTCAAGCGAGACCCAGTGATCGATGGGTGGCTTGAAGCATTGAAAGTCAGGTTTAAAATGCTCGGGGTCATTTTGGCCGTCAATGAATCCATGAATTGGTTCTGAACTTAAATTGGTGGTGGTAGCTGGGTATTATATAGAGCTGTCCGAACATAGCTTGTAATTATGATTAGAGCCTGAATCTCAATACCACTTCGCTGTTTTTTAGGTCAATATTAACTACCCGTATATTATAAAGTTGACTGTACTAGGCAAATGTCCATCTCTGTAAGTGGGTGATCTTCATACTATCCCCATAAGTCCTCTAACTCTAAGAGGCAAAAACTAAAACCTCGTAAAATCTAACTCGGACTGCTCACGGCAAAACGCACTGCGCCCTCTCTTCAAAAACTTCCCGTAGCCCTTCCTGCCTACAACGCCTCCATTATCTCGATCCCAGACGACCTCCCCACGCAGCAGTGTATATCGCGGCCACTGGGTTATCATGTGCCCTTCATACGGCGTATAGTCCACATTGTGATGTAAAGCAGAATTCGTAATAGGGAATGGCTCCTGAGCAGAAGGATACCAGATCGTGAGATCCGCATCGGATATACCCGGGATGATCGAGCCTTTCTGCGGATAAAGTCCGTACAATTTGGCCGGATTGGTGCTCGCGACTTCAACGAACTTCTGAGGTGTGAGTCGGTTGGAGTTCCAAACTAAGGGCAGGCGCGTTTCAACTCCCGGGCAGCCATTAGGGACGTTTCGGAAACGGCCTAGAGGTTCCTCGCCGGTGACGGCTATCTTCTTTCCGTTGACATCGTCGTCGTAAACGTATGGGCTGTGGTCAGAAGAGAGGATCGTGAATGTCCCATTCTGCAGCCCTGTCCAGATATTTTCTAGGTCGTCTTCACCCTCGCGTGGTGGAGGTGAACATATGCATTTGGCGCCCTCGAAACCGAGCTTTTCGAGGTCTTTCCTGGTCAGAAATAGATATTGCGGGCATGTCTCAGCGAAAATAGGCCATCCGCTTGTCTGGGCGGTGCGGATGGTGCTTGCGGCTACTGGGGAGGAAACGTGGACGATAAGAATTGGTGTTTCGATGAGTTGGCTCAGAGATATGGCTCGGCTGGTAGCTTCACATTCTAGGATTTGGGGTCGCGAGGCGGCATGGTATTTTGGTTCAGTTAACATGCGTCTCTCAAGCTGCTCGGTCATCCAGGTGAGCATGTCGCCGTTTTCAGCATGGACTAGTATGGTTACTCCATCGATGCGGCCTTGCATCAAGACATCCATGACCTGGCTGTCACGTAGTTGTAGAGACTCGTAGGTCATGAAAATTTTGGCTGAGGACACGCCGCGTTCGCGAAGTATGGAAAACTCGTCGAGAACCTCTCTGCTTGGGTTTGAAATCATAAGGTGAAGAGAATAATCACAGTATGCAGCATTGTCGGCTTTCTTTTGCGCCTTTTCCAGCGCCTTGACTAAAGATGGATCAGATTTATCCTGGGGAGCAAATGCGATAATGCTTGTTGTACCACCAGCAATGGCGGAGCGGCTTCCTGTTGTGAAAGTATCGGACGCTTGACCCTGGCCTCGCGGTTCAGCCAAGTGGACATGGGCATCAATGCCGCCTGGCTAGTAGTGAATTGTCAGCAAATCGAAATCATCGCTGCGCAAACTGTTTGGATCGAACATACCATAACATATGCACCCTCGGCGTCAATAACTCGAGATGCGCGAGCTATAGCCAGGGACCGCGCAGGAGCAAGTATAGCAATCTTGCCATCCTTAATTCCGATGTCATACCGACCAACATCGGCGGCCGTCACGACGGTGCCATCCAGCACAACACAATCAAACGAAGTGGTGAGCATTCTGGGTGCCAACGCGGCTATTTCAGCTTATGCAACCCTCTAGGGAGTGGACTAAGGTATTGGAATCGTAGAGAAGCAGATGAATGTCCTTATGTATGGTGCAGTGATTTATCGTTCAAGTCGAAAACAACGTGATACCATTAAGGATACCAGGCAAACAATGGCCGGGCACTCAACGTAAACCGCACAACTCGATCTTGACAGACCCACCTATCTCGATTTTGATCAGTAGGGGATGACCTTATGCCCACTATGGACCCGTTTTCTCGGTGCTTTAAACTACCTTTATAGGCCTCCCAAAAGTATCCAGAAACTGGGAGACTATCGCCAGATCTATCTCCGAACTGAGATCATAGGTGCTGGTGGCTGTTAGATCCTAGGGTGGAGGGCTCCAGCGTACGTAGGCCACCACTGTTGTCGAATAACCAAGTCGTCCAGCCGAGCAAAACAGGTTTATTGCCCGTTGCAGATAATATCCCCATTGTTAGGCCAGCGTCATGTGGCGTCGCGGTGATTAAGGTTATCGGTTCAAGTACCATCAACTTTCTTGTGGATACAAGTACCTTCGTACACACTCTTACTTGAAACTGAGCACCTGATCATCTGGGCCTTGTAGGTATTATGTACGCTCAGTAAGTTTGCCGAGAAGTGAACCCACAGAGAAGGGCACAGCCAGCCTAACAACTCAGGTATGACACCGCCGAGAAGAATCCTCTGATTCTGCGAGGGCTCTGGTGGATACACGATTTCAGAGGAATTGTGCATACTCCGGTAGCATCTCGCCTCTCTCCTGGCAGGCTATTATCACGGTGCAATACTCCTTTAATCAGGCCTCGGTCACAAGCCCCAATTGGCTATCCTTCCTCCTGTCTCAATAGCATTCGGGGCTAGATAAATTTTTGGCTGGGCTCAGTTGGAGGCCTGTTGTCAGCTCGGCACTTCGAAGTAGTGGCTCTTGTCGACTGCATCTCTCGCTTGATGTCAATGACCCGTTCATCCGCTTGTAGGAGTGGGCCATGATTGCTGGCTCAAATGGCTTGAAATCAAGTAATGGTTCCACCCCAGCTCCTGCCTTTCACGTATTGGATTCTTTGCCACCTGTAAACTGATTAGGTATGCTTTTTCGAATTGAGAAGAGTTGCCCTTGTGCCGACCATATCCGAAGAAATAAACCTAGCAGGCCGAGGACAAGGTCAGCAGGCCTCTTCGAAGTGAAGAGTAATGGCAGTACCCGATGAGCAAGGTTTTGTCCTCGAGACGCTCTTACCTGGAGGTCATTGAGGGGTCGCTGACATGGATCATGAATCCTGAACCTAATGGGCTATAGGCCGCATACCTAGATAAATGAGATGGGGAGTGCAAAGATGAAGAAGTGAAGAGACGGAGAATGAGCAAGGAGATCTCCCGTGAGTCGTGGAATAAAACCACGCGGCGTGTCCTGGCTTTGTCTTGCGCACCCCAGATCCACAATTATTTTGAAGTGAGTGCTGTCCTGGGCTCTCCTTGACCTCGCGTGCTTCTGGCTACTTGTAGTTGCCAATCTTGGACTTCCATCGCCAACAATATCACTCTCGATGGGCTCGCAGTCGTCGGCTTAAAAATGTGAAAGCCTTAATCCGCTGGGAGCGGCTACAAACCTAAGAAAACCAGTAATAGAGATATGTCCTTTCGGACGGAGAAATTCAAAGATCTAGGTTGTATGATGTAGCTCAGATCCATTTTTGCGGCCAGTTATTCACTACGGTCGATAATACTCTTTGCTGCGTGCAAATTACATTTGATGATGAAGGAGCACACCGGGAAATATGGGCAAGGTAAGTGGTGAGGAGTCTTCATCAGCAAGGGTCTACTCCTAGCAAATTCTAGATCTTCTGGTCAGTCTGATTCAGGTACCATTGCTCTGGGGACGGGCACACTCGATCTTCCGTCGTAATTTGCGTCCTCACTAGAAATTCTTATGAGCGGCTATACAGGTAGAAGTACGACCTCATCATAGTCGTCGTCGTCGTGGCTATCCTCACTGTTGTCATCCCCATCGCTCGTTTTATCCGGTGCGTGCACTATGTCTTCTTTGGAGACTGATGGTTCAACTGAACGTTTCGGGGGTGTTCCAGGCCTCGGGTCTTCGCTTGGCACCTCATGACCAGAATCCTCGTCGACTGATTCTCTGAGGTCCTTCCTTGCTTCCAGTGGGGGCTGCAATGCTCTGCTTACACGTGGTGATTGTTTGTTCTCATCTGTGGGAAGACACTCTGAGCTTGTGGTAGATACTGCTGTGTCTGGGGTGGCTTTGGGGGTCCAGATAATGGGGCTAGAGGCTCTCCCTGAATCGGATAATGTAATATACGTGTTGTCACTGCTTGGCTTGGGAGGTATCCCTTTACGTACTTCCGATGCTGAAGTTCCGTGTCGTGGGTCAAGCCTCGAAGAAAAGGCGGTTTCGGCTGCACGCCTGTCGGTTATGTTTTCATAAGAAAACCTGGTCGGAGGAACGAAGGCTGCATTATGAGAATTCCTGGCGTTGGTTTTGTTGCCGTGGCTATTATAAAACGTTCCAAGGAGTGGTCGTGGCTCGTTAATGGAGAGACTCGTCAGAGGCATCTCCCAGGGTTTCAATGCCAGTTTGGAATATCTCCATCTCATATCACAAACATGAGCAGCTTTCTCCGCGCCAACACTCAGGCGACACGGTTCACTCCCGCGAGGGTCATGATACACTACCTTTTGTCTGGGTTGACTATCTTTGTGGCATTGCCGGGGCTTGTTAAAACGGAACTTGTGTAGGTACTTGTTCCTCTCAGAGTTCGGACAGTATGCCGCCATTATTTCCGCCTGTAACGTGCAGTTATCATTCGGGTCAGGCACATTGATGTTTGTATCCTCCCCTGCCGGTACATCTGCATTAATCGTTGCACTGTCCACAACGCGTTGCTGGGTTCTCTGGTCACCATCTAGACACGGCTCAATGTCATGGTCTTCGAGTGCCTGCCAAGCAGACGTACCATTACCCCATTCTCCTGCATACTTGCGGTCGAGTCCACGCGTGCGCAGAAACAATTCGGCATCTAGCAGCTCACTTGCCTGGCATAATAAAATGTCCGAGTTGAGATTATCCTGTAGTTTGCCGGAAATCTGACGAGAGATTTTGCTGAAGATACCCTGGTGAGGAACACGATTATGTCCACGTATAGTATTGTCGACTCGCAGGAGTGCCCTCAGTTGCCTTTCTCTCATATCTTCCAATTGTAGATCTTCCTTCCTAGCTTGCTGATCCCACTGGCGAATATTCTGCTGAATTTCCTCACGCTCCCCTACCGTTAGCCCCAGTAAATGGCATACGGTTGGCCAGTTGAATTCTTGGAGCATATTGTCGATGATCTCAACTTGAATTCTTGGGGAAAGGTCGCCCCATTCTCGTGGTCGGGAAGGAGGTGGTGCCGAAGAAGTCTATGTAAAATAAAATTTTGTTAGGAGATTGGTGGTTAGAAGATGAAAGAAGGGGGGGAAAGCCGTTTATGCTCGACGTACCTCTATATTCTCCTCGCCAGGGGCATCGGCCATGATCTCATCCACATCGCTGTCCATTAGATATCTTTCAATTGACGACTCCCGGCCAATATCAGCAAGAATGGTCATATTTCTCCTGTAGACTGGGTTAAGGTCCCCATTGCTTAAGAAACAATTTTCTCCTGATTCTAAGGGTCTGATCTGTACGCCTGTATTTGCCTCCCCCACACGCTTGTCCTCGGTCTTTTCATCACCTTTCTCCTGCTTCCTGGGGCGCTTGGAGGGGTCTTCCTCTTGCTCATTCCAATTTTCCGTTTCTTTATTGCGTAGGCTGAGGGGAGACGAATGATCTAGCGTCGGAAACGCTGCCGGAGGTAGGTTGGGATCGAACTGAGTGCTATGAATGCAGTCCTGGTTTTCTTGATTTTGTGGTGCACGTAAAGATTTCTGTGTACATGGACTGTAGAACTGGTCTTGGTTGAAGCGCTTCGGTGGACGAATGCTGCTTCGAAGTTGCATGGTGCTCTTGGGTGAAAATGGAGTAAACATTGCTAGAGATATGTAAAGTCCCTGTGGAATAACGATGAGATGCTAAAGTGTCATCAATCTGATGTATCAGTTCATGGAGTGGGGAGGTGAAGGTGAAGGCAGAAGTAGTGGCATTGAGCAGGGCAGTGAATGCTATTTCATAGTTGACGGGCTGAAGGCGCGCCTTCACTCGGCTTCACAGCAGCTGCTCTGCGTGATGAACTTCTCAGGGAGAAATCCGGAAAAGAAGACGAATAGAAATGAGACATATATATCGATGGCCTTTACATGCGACTTTGTATTTTTCCTTGGATTCTGGGGCCAGATGTTGACTTTACGAGGCAATAAAAGCACGGCGCCTTCCATCTCGGTATGGTATCTGATTACAAGCACATCATGCGTGAAATCGCGAGAAGGAAAAATGGAAGACTGCTATTTCCCACCCTTACTCTCTAACTCATCGCCTGCTACCAGGCTAGATCTGTCTATCTCCTATGGCAACTACTAGCGGATAATAACATTAGATTTCAGTCGGCCGAACGATCCTGAAACGGTGCCAACGGCTTTCTCTCCGGGTCCAAAGTCCCAATCTCATCAATATCCATGTCATCGGTATCTTGGCTATTGGTTCGCTTCTTCGAGGAAGACGATGTATCCAAGATGCTGGCTCGGCGCACTCTTTCGACATCCCGTTTGGCCATGATGATGGCCTCAAATGCCAACAGTAACTGCGACGCCGGCTCGTCCACGATTATGCTTAATCGCTGCGACTGGACCAGGTCCATGGCCTTCATTGGACTGATATTGAGCATCACCATCAAATAGGCCATCACCACCACAGCCGACGAATGGTTGCCTGTTTCACAAAATACGAGAACCTTCTTCTCGGTGCTCTGGCTCAGGCCAAGGGGAGCCGAGGAAGCGATGTGTTCGTTGATGCAGCGAATTACACTAGGAAGCATGCCAATGAGTTCTTGATTGTCTCGATAATCAACAGAAGTTGTCATTATATCAAGCGCCGCGGCTGCCTTGCTGCCGGAGAGAAGACCTGCCTTGGCCAATCGACTATGTCGGATGCCTAGGAGCAGGGTGAATCCCTCCTGATTAAGCCAACCTCTGTCCGCGAGGCAACTCCAGGGTCCCAGGTGTAGGAAGGGAAGTATTTGATGGACCTGTCTGCGCTTCTCGTATCTCCAATCGCCACCTGGAGAGTTTGTATTTTTGAAGAGACTTATGTTGACCTTGTCAAAGAAACCAGACGGAACAAACTCCCCCTCTGGGAATTGATGCACAGCAGGGTTATCAGAGTCACAATGGTGTGAGTTCACATCCTCGAGAGTCGACCACGTGTATACTGAAGGCTGCAGGTGGGATTTCCCCGAGCTGTACTCTTGAGTTGCAGTGTACTGGGCGTTGGCGCTATGGGACATGGGAAGCTCCGCCGGATGACATGGTTGAGCCATTGTTTTCGCGGGGGCTTGCGTGCACAGCACAGCCCAAATTCAGTTATAGAAAACCAATGACTATTTCGGGCTCTGCTAGGGAAATAAAAGCTTGAAGATGTGAAGTGATTCGGGGAGGAGGAGGAGGGGACCGTCCCTTATAAAGTGGGACTGGGTCAAATTTCAGTGAATTGGGCCTAGTCGTTAGGGGAGGCGGAGGGATTCTACTCCAACCATTGTAGGCCATCTCGTCATGTGTTTGTCTTGTTTCTCTTTCACTTTCATTGTGTGACAAGTTGGTTTCTTCCTTATCTCTTTGTAGGCTTCCGAAGCCAGTGCACTTTCTTTGCTCACAATCTCGTATTTTCGGATAATGCCAGCTTACCAGAAGGGGCATAGTCCTCGGACAGGTTCGATATTGGTTCACTCCGCCGGAGATTCTTCCCGACTCGTCCGGCTTTTGTTGCTTCTCGACGTATCTCTATGCCAGAAATGGCGACGCTCTAAGTAGCAGTTGGCTTGCTCGGTTCTATAGTCACAAGGATGTCTCCGACTGGACAATTGCTGGGCTCTTCTGTGAGGCTTAATGTAAACAATACTTTGTGCCTCTTTTGCTTTATGTTCCTGTATCACCCGGAAAGGAGGCTTGGGTGTTGGGAAGGGGGGGAATATCCCGTGGATCGATAGTAAACTTTGCAACCAGCGACTGGGGAACTCCTGAGCTGCTAATGATAAGGTGAGGATTATGTTGTCGAGATGATGTATACACGACCGGGCTCTCGTCTCAGGAAATAGAGGATATGACTACCCATTCTGCCTCGATTTTGACGTTTTCTGGTTAAATACTTGCCCCAGCAGGCATCGAGAATACTAAATTTCAGTCAACTATGACAGTCTGGTCTGCGACTGATCTACGGTGGCTGGATCTCGGTTGGTGCACTCTAATACCACCACCTTGTCACTCGGTAGGATTTTATGGGATTCTTTCAAATTCGTTCTTCTTGTGTGCGACATTGCCATGGGCGGGTTCACTGCGTAGATTCAATCGTAGGTGATACTAGTGGTACTGATATGTTTATTGTCGTGTCATTCAGCGGATGCCATTTGCGGGACATCATTGGAAGGCGTTGCCAGGATATATAATCTGCTGTGCCCGTGTACTGGAGAGACACTGAAACAACGCCGACCCTAGTAGTACTAGCACTGACAGAGCACATATTCATTCAAGCTGTCATCGGGGGTCACAGAAGTTGCCTAGTAGCATTCACTACAATGTGCTGCAAATACTCCGATGATGAGAAACATTTTGGTCCGGTACAACTCTTCCCATGTGTACCCGTCACTACCCGCACCATCAAAATAACCCCATCAGAATGCAACATGGGGAAAGCTATCTCGAAGATATCCATTCCTAACATGATACAAGAATCCTGAACAAAACAACATCACAAGTCAGTGTGGCCGAGTGGTTAAGGCGATAGACTAGAAATCTATTGGGTTCGCCCGCACAGGTTCGAGTCCTGTCGCTGACGATCTTTTTTTGTTCTTTTTTGGTTCCAATCCTTGTCAGCCACAATCACCCGGAGGAGTGGACCTTGCGGGGAATTGACTACGCAGAAGGTAATAATCCACGGAGACAGGACTGCAACTTGTGCATACTGGCAAAGTAATTTTGGTATGAAGATCATGAAGAAACCCCTTTAATAACTGCCAGAAAGTTGCCTTCTTTTTGATGACCTCCACTGTCACTTGAAACACTTATTCCCGACACATCAGACAACGAAACCGGTGAATAATGCTAAACCTGCCACCGAGTACTCTCATATCGCGCTTGGTAGGGGCTATAGCATGGGAGATGTGCAACCTAAGGTCAGTACATGTACAGCTGTGTCATTTTAGACATGTATGAAAATAATGGCGTCCAAAACAAGCAACAGTCAGTGTGGCCGAGTGGTTAAGGCGATAGACTAGAAATCTATTGGGTTCGCCCGCACAGGTTCGAGTCCTGTCGCTGACGTTTATTTTTTGGTTTTTTTTTTTTTTTTTTTTTGGTTCCTCTCGACCCAGATCTATACCCATCGACACAACCAGGCCGCATAGTCGTTTTGTCATCGAAGGAGTTTGCCGATAGCCTGTTCTTCTAGCGGGCAGTTGTCGATGTCGTTCATTCACAGGGAGACCGTACTGTGCGAATGAAGGATGCCACAATCAAGGAGTTTTCATGCTGACTTGTTTCATTGTCCTGCCTTGACTAGCATGCAGAACTCCAGCTCCCCTTCTTTAGGGATCTTCTTCTGTACCCCCCTGGTAATCTGGGGCAAGCAAGACAATTCCAGCGGATCTCAACTCTAACATAGCGTACGTTCTCTGCGTCGGACATCGGAAAATTGCAATCCAATCACTGCCCAATTGTCGGTGGTGGATCTAAGTCCCAAAGAATGCCTGCAATCCTCGGTATCCAGAGCCAACAGACTATGGACTCTTCCCTCAAAACTGCTTGGACACCATTGCCTCACCACCGCGAGAACGACATGAGTGCCAGACGTCGTAGGTTTCAATATAGTTCGGATTACTTTCAGAGCTTTGCCCTAATCAGTCATCGATGTATGACTCTGGATTGCCGGCCCTATGATTGATGCATTCATACCTATCGATCCGTATAAACAACCTGATTAAAGTGACTGGTGCAAGAGGAGTTGCTAAACTACCAACACGTATACCAGAATGATACGGTTGCAGTTGCAGAGAGCAAATCGTTCTCATAGGTACGAATGTTGTTTATCGCACTCGGATGAAAATAATCGATATGTCAACCTTATGATCTCCAGCTGCCGGATAAAAGAAGCAATTACATGCGGCAGGAACGCACGAAGAGCTGCTTCCGGTAGCATGCTGTGGGCAATGCCCGCGCCTTCCCGATCAGGGAGGGATGCCAGCGATTCTTTAACGTATTGCCGTCGTTCTTTCTCCAGATTATTAGGTAGCTTTCGAATCAGGGACATTTGAAGTTTTTGAAGCCTTTCAGAGCTCCTATCCCCTATTTTCCACCCATAGAACAGCCATCGAACCTCAGCCCGAGACGACTGTGCCATAGCAGCCTCCACTAGCACGGCATGAAGTCATACATACTAACAACAACAATACAGACCGCGCAAGACGCGTATAGATGTCAGGATGAGGTGAATACAAAGTTTTTAACGCGTACTTTCGACACGTCCCCATTGGACAGGAGCAAGAAGTGGATTTTCGCGATTGTTTCAACATCTCGCCCAGCTGAGCATTCCCATTGGTCTGCCAGATCATATCAGATCAATCTCTGAGTTACTTGTCCCGTGGACCTGAAGTACAGACCATCGTCATTCACCAGTCGGGCCGTGACGTTGCGGGCGAGTACTATTGACTTCATAGCATAGCGGAAGATAACTACGAGGTCCTTATAAGCTTACGCCCGATCCGGGAGTTACAGGGAAGTCTACCAAGCTCCTACCTATTCCATGCTGAGCTGTGAGCTATAAAGACTTGTAGTATACTGGACTTTCTGTTCTAGCTTATAGCTTCAGCAGAAAGGTCCCGCGCTTGACCTCAAGAGATTGCCTATATCGCGAACACAACAACATGCAAGTCAGATGAACTAACAGCTTTACCAGAAGATATACTGCATACTGTGTGCTTTGCAGCTGACCATATTTACAGGTAATCAAAGCCAGTCATGTGTGTAGAGTCAGCACGCATCGAAGATGTTTTCAGGCCAGAGGCCATACAAGTACCTCTCGTGCAACCTTAGTGCGGTTCAAGGCTGGCCCTTGCAAAGTGACACATACAGATAGGCTTCTCAGGGAGGCTGCCATTATTGTTGATGCATAGGTCACCGAAAATTCCGCGTTAACGCTCTTATTCCGAAACAGCCGGGTTCATAGCAAATCACCAACAAAACAATACAATCCAGATAAACCCTGCACATTACAAGATACCCGCTTCTACAACACAGCCAGACCTGCTAAACGCGCTGACTACCATGGCCCATCGTATCACTGGCGAGATTCTACCCCCAAATAGAAAGCCGATGACTGAGGTTTCATGCCAGACAGAGTTCCCTTCCGCGAAGACCTGGACGACAATGCAGCTATATCTCGTCAAGCTTTGAAGTGAGATATCTAAACATAAGCTAGTCGCTGCTCCCCATCGTACCCACGCGAATATAAGAAAGCAAAAATAAAAGCCAAAAGGTTATATTGGAGGAAACCGAACAATTGATTTCCCCGGCTGAACTTATCGAAAGCAAAAAACGTCAGCGACAGGACTCGAACCTGTGCGGGCGAACCCAATAGATTTCTAGTCTATCGCCTTAACCACTCGGCCACACTGACTAATTGATATAATACGGCTCAGTATTAAAAATAGGAGACAGCAATCATTCACCGCATTACCTAGCTCAACTCGTACTATGTGGTGCTGCCTTCAGCACCAGGCATCCAAAGTCTTGAATATCAGCCTCCTTCTCACCATTGCCATCACATGCTATGGATATATCTAAAGCAATTTACTTTTGCACACGGCCCTCTCAGACCCACCTCTAAGCGCTACCCCAATTTAGTCCCGACCGATACCACCTCAGGATCCCTACGCGCTACCACAGCGCCTATCCCTAACAGTACATAACCGCCGAATCCGGCGCGACATCCATAAGCCATCAGTTCAGCTATCCTTCTACATAGCGCATCTGTCTCATTTTACGGCCGTAGATCCTCAGGTTAATTAAAGCATGCCCTCGTCACCCAGCACCAACACCGCAACACATCGCATCCTCCACAGACCCGACGGAGTATACTACTACTACCCAGCGCATGCATACAACCAATCACCAGTCAGTAATCTATACCCTCACCACAACCGTAGTATACCCCCTACCAGCTAGCTCTCTCACACCAACAACTTACCCCTAAAGTTCAGACATAGTACTATCTCCATCCACAAGGCTAACAACCAACCAACCAACCAAAAACCCAGCAGAGCAACAAGCACATGAAATCCGAGCTACCTCCCTGAGTCATCCCAGATAAGCACCTACCCAACTACCCAGTCAACAAGCTAGTCCAGGAGTAGATATCCACCGAGAGTGAGTGCTTACTACCGAGACCCCAAAAGTATGAGTCACGGAAGAGTCACGCGCAGTAATCTAGACCGGGTACTATAGTGTCTGTGTCCTTCCTGGAAGGGAGCCACGTTGGGGCTGGCTGGACCTTATGTACTATGTAAGGGGGGGGAGATGAGGAAGTGGGTGACGACGACGACTAACTACTGAGACTCACTAGTATGGGGCTTGTTTGTTACCTGGACTACTGCTGTACATGGCTGGCTAGCTAGCTGGTTAGGTGGTGAGAAGGACGAAAGGATGGAAGGAAGGAAGGATGATCGTGAGGTATGTGTCATATGTTATACGTGGTGAGTAATTTTGAGTGCTTATTAGCCTTGCGGTTACTTGCTTGGTAATAATGGAGTCGGGAGTGGGATGGAAGGATGAATGGATGATGGGGGTGGTAGCCTTGGATGCAAGGCCAATAGATACCTGCCTGCCTGTCTGCCTGCCTAGGCTAGACGGAGGAGATCGTGATCGAGTAGAATCTGAGGACCAGGCCATGCATGTGTCCAGGAATGTATGTGCCGGTCTTTATTACAATTTCACTACGAATGGAGCCCTTGGCGGCATCCAGCTTGCCGTCAAGACAGACAGGTAGATAGATGAGAGCCGTATTTTATGATTTCACCCCACTGACGTGGTGGAGGGACTACGCATCCCAGGATCGACAGCTACGTTTGCATCGGAGGATTTAAGGCACAACTGAAGAGACAAGATTATGGAAAGGTCAGAGGCAACAAAAGAAACGGGGTGAAAACGCCTGGGTATATTTCAGGGAATAATAGGTAATAAGGAGATGGAGGAGGAAATGATATAGGGAAAGAGACAAAGGGTAAGAATCACAAGGATAAATCAGAATAAAAAAACACCACCTGGTCTGTATCAACGACCTCGAGCAAACGCCATCATCTTCAGAGCTGCCTGATCTTATCCATGCGTTCCGAGATGTAGACCGACCCATATGAACCACCCGTAGATGTTGTAGACAAATTTCGCGAAATCAACCATGGCCCATAATTTGCATAATTTGAACGCCCTTTGAATGCAAATTTCATACAGCAAACCATGAGAATGAAGTGAAATGACTCTGAACCAGAGAAGAAAAGAAAAGAAGGGGGAGGTAGGCAAAGCGAAAGGGGAGAGCCAAAGTAGCACGAAACAGGGAAAAGCAACAAATGATAAGAAAGTGAAAGAGCGATGAATCAATACCACTCGTCGAAAACTTGATCCTGCGCATCCAGCTAGCCCTGTGACGTCGCGGTCTGAGGAATCGCCTGCTGTAGTCCAGCCACGATGCGTTCCAACTCCTCCAGTCGGCGGTCCTTTTCCTGGACCTCACGACGCAGCCTCTTCAATTCATTGCGAAGATCCACCCCATTCTCTTCCTCCTCAGGAAGCTCGAGAGTGGCCGGATCATCTCCGAGAGATTCGCGCTTCCTCTTCAAGGCTGCGGATGCCGTCGCAAGAGACGTGGTGCCATCCAGATCGGGCGACGGGGCGATGGGCAGCTCGGACGCATGTCCGTTCTCAGTGTGCATGTGGCGGCGGCGAAGGTGCTCCTTCAAGTTTTCCTGACGCGTAAATCCGTTCCCTGTGCTGCGATTGCAGTCGGCGTACGGACACATCAAGGGTTTCTTGGCATTGATGTTCTTCTTATGCACCTCGCGCTGATGCCTCAGCAGACCGCCAGAGTATGTAAAACCTTGAATCTTGTCGCAGCCGGGTTCCATGCACTTGTACGGACGGTCGTGTTTGTCCATGTGTTTGCTGAAGTGGCAAACCGTTAGCTTTTTTTTGATTCGGGGATTTTGTAGATTTGTCTTTTTTCTTTTTTTCTAATTTTTTTTTTTTTTTTAAATCACAATAATGAGGGTGAACTTACTTCCATTCGCACGGACGGCGAAATGTTGGGGGCGAGTGCTGGCACTCGGGATGGTCGCAGTAGATTTGACCGGCAGTGTTCTTGGGCGGATCCCGCGCTCTTCTCACCGACAGTCGCGGGCGCGTCCCTTCCATGAAGTTCGGAGACAGTTGGTCGTTCATCTTAGGAGCTGGAGAAAGCGAGTCTTGAACAGTGACGAGAACAGAGGTAGGTCCACCGGGACCTTCACTTCGTGGACTAGGATAATCAGAGCCGTCACCCATAGCGCAGCTACAACCCCGCCGTCAATTGCGAAGGGGGTTGGCCCTGGTGGCGTTCGGAAAACGAGGCGGAGAATAGAAGATAGGTAGACGGTGGTAAAGATGAAGAAAGGTCAAGTGCAGCAGGTGAGGAGATGGGAGGGAAAGGGAGTTGATATTAGCTTGATCGTCGAGCTCAATGCGCGTCGGGTGGCACTGGGCGATGGATGGTTGTTTGCTCAGTTCGGAAGGACGGATTGCCAAATTTTTCAGGACGGAAAACAAGGCATCTAGCGACACGCGCACGTGATACGATGTGGCCAGTTGGGAAATGTCTTGGCGGATCCGCCACTGAAAAGGGAAGGTCGCAGTGGTTGGGGAGGGCAATTTATCTGTAAAAAGAGGAGAATGACAGAGAAGATCGGTCGATGTTGGTTTATTTATATGACATTAATAATCCCAGTTACTGGTACGTAGAATCCAACAGCAACAGCAACAGCAACAAGCTTCCAATTTATTTTTAAAACCCAGATTAGGACTCTTTTGAAGGACTCCAGTATTCATGCCTGCACACGTGGTGTGATCGGAGACAACGCCGTATGTGTCTTGTACTATGTATCAGTCAAGCCTTGATGGGCGCCGAATCACGATGGATTGACTGCGGCATGGATGGCAAAAACTTTGAAAGGTCTTTAGGCTGCGACTAGTGAGTCATGCTAGGCAGGCAACCAGATAACTTAACTCCTTCCTATGCTATTACTAGGATCTACCAGAGGTCGGCTTCTCTCTTTACTTCCCTTAATTTCTTTGCTCAGCTTCGACAAGGCCCCATCCGCCACAATCCCCGTCGGGTTGCATGCCTCATTGCTGCCTGCCAATCAGGGCTCTCCAGCACGTGGTCTGCCTTTCCCCCCAGCCACATTGCCGGTTTCGGTAATTCCCACTGTGGCGTCTCGGAAGTCATGGGATCTGCCTTACAAACCCCTCGGACATGCCGGTTGTTGCTGTGTTTGGAGGAGGGGGTTTTTGGTTCATTCTTCGGGTTTCTAGTGTATACATCACAACGTAGAGCGTAGTATACCTTCTATCACTCCTGCGTGGCAGGTGGAGGAAAGAGGTATCTACTGGTAGGTGATAGGTACCTTAGGTACCCAGCAAGCATAACTCCGGTAGCGTTTCTTGCCCAATCCCAAGCCCGGCGTTCCGTCAGGCAAAGAACCTGCTTAAGCGCTCTGGGCCCAAGGCAAATGAAATCCTCGGAAAACCAATTCCCAACACGAGGCAATGAGAGAAAAATAATAATAATAATGAAGGCTGAGACGCTTTACCTGCCTTCCACGCTAATGTCAAAAAGCAAAACAGAAAAGGAAAGGAAAAAGAATAGTTCTACTGCTTACTGACAGGGTTGTTTGTACCAAGTATGCCAACCCTGATCCACTCGGACGGGATCTTCCCACGTCTGACAGGCAAGAGATCATACATTCTAACCAGTAGTAATGCTTAAGCTGCATACTGCTGATCGAAGAGATAGATCTTTTCCTCACCCTCCCTCTTGATCCCTGTCGTGACAATCGCCCTTCCCGTGTCAACGTCAAGATATCTGCCGCCCATCCCTTGCATAGGCGACAATTCACGCCCAAGATGCCTGGACGGGGCGAATCGCTCCCTGCCTCGTTTAGTTTGCCAGCAAATTAAAACTACTAACCTAGTTAGCCGGCGCGCATATCAAGCTGAGACTGTTTGTTATTGTTGTTAATTGTTAGTCGGTGTTGGTTATTGTTGGTATTGTTGCCTGCAAAGCACGGCCACAATCGCGAACCACAAAAAAAGGAACTTATCGTCTACGTCACATCTAAACGGGAGTGATTATCATAAAACCAAATCCTTCGATATCAGATCGTCGTAGGCATCTTCATTTCTTAAAAATAGCATCATCAGACGTATGAGGGGAAGGGGTTCTGATCGCCTTTTGTGAGAGGACGGATCTTCCCCAGCCAGTGGCGCAGCGCCCGCCACGATGTATGCAAGACCATCCTTGTCACTCCGAGAGAGATCTGCATGGACCAGTAGTTAAAGCATCCTTCAGTGATCTTGTAACCCCCCCACCCTCTTTCTTTCCTTCTTCTCCACAAACGAGACGGCCGGTGTCTCCGTGAAATGATGGGATGGATGCGCGTGTGGCTTAGAGGTCTTCCTTCAGTGAATGAGTAGTGCCTAAAATGCATCTCCTGCAGCTACCTGGCTCTAATTCGCGCGTGCTGCTCTTGACAGCACCACTAGATGAAGAATGAATGCAGGTTACTACCGGATATTCTAGACAAGATCGTGGCGGAGTCTTCTATCGAATGTGCGGATCCTTCGGCGAAGGTCGACCGGCGGCCGTATCCGCCATCATCAATTTACAAATAACTGCCAGACAGCTGCTAAGGATGCGAGATATGCGGATGCCTACTCATCCTGCAGACGATCCTCAACTTGGCTCGCATACTGAGACGTATCATGGTGAAGCTACGAGGCGGTGTGGTCAACGAACGACAGTAGTTTGATTGGGATGCGGGACTAAACAGCTCGATTCGAGTCGACATACGGCATTGCCATGGCTCACCAAGTCCGAGACATCCGCGTAAACAGACACACTGGGCAGGCGGTGTTCGGGGAATCATCCTCCTGGTCCTCAGTTGCGAAAATCCAGAGAGAATTACTGCTTCGCCATAGCAATGCCACAGAACACGCGAGAAGGACGAAAGTAAGAAATGGGCAAGAAGAACAAAACAGAAAATAGGCAGTCATAGGATTTTAAAATAGTATCGGGTAAACCAGGATTGGCAACAAATAGAAATGTGTAGCATCATCGGTGATGAGCCACCCTCTTCCAGCTGTCCGCGAAAATGCTGGAACTCACCAGCTTCCTCGAATGAAGTCGAACCCGAGTGCAGCCGTAAGCCAGAAAAATTGCCGGGACATACCACTGACTCCTTTCCCATTGGAAATAGTCGATGGCGACAAACCATATCGATAATGGGCCATGTACACGGGATAATCGCTGCCATTGCATGCCATATCGCAGAGCGTTCTATGCTGTCATCTGACTGGAGAGAATCACTTGTCTAGATGATAGGTAACCGTACGTAGCTCCTGTAGACTGGCATCGTTCCATATGGATAAAAGCAATGCGAAAGAATCCGAGGAATGCCTCACTTCCCACCAGATGGTTGAGGGATGGCTCTCGCCAACGCTTCCCTGAATCTTACAGATGTCTCATGCCTAATGGTGACATGGATGACGTCGAGCAGAATCCCCAGGAATCAATTCATGTTGGAGTGACCTGATGATTCGACGGACGGTTGTCCCCCGAGCTTCGGGAAAGGCTGCAAGCAACTGGGCCCGCTCTAAACCGCGAAGGGTACAAGTGCTCCCCGATCAATCATAGTTGCCCCCAACCTGACTGGCGAATGCAGTCGAAACACTGCGCGTATCATCGTCATCGTGAATGTGGCCTGGCACACCACGAGTGACACGAATGCTAGCAGAGCTTCCGCCAAAAATGCTGCCGTTATCGGGAACTCCGGGCTTGTAAGGCTCCCGGCCTCCGGATTCCACGTAGCGCTTCAGCCGATCGGACTGACTGAGACTGGGCTGCTTGCCCATATCGTTGATGCTCAAGCCAGCAAGGCTGACACCACCTTGGTCGACGCTCTTCCCATCAATGATGCTTCCAGTAACATCGGACTCGGTGGCTGCCACAGATTCTCCGGCAATGCTAGGTGCTCCCTTCATACGGTTACCATTGGCCCGACGGGCTCCGGGAAGAGCGGGCCACGCGTCCGCGAAATTCTGGAACATGGGAGGATAACCAGAGGGTATGCCAACCCCACCCAGGGCAGAGGAGTGGACGGAAGAGACATCATCGGGGATGTAACCAACCACTGAGCCAGTGTCATGGAAGTCATTGCGCTGACCGTTCCTTCCATTCATCAACCCGCTGGTAACATTAGAAGCATGGTTGTAGGCCATCTGGAACCGCTGGGGACCCCGGTATGCCTGCTTAGGTCGGCTGAATTGGATCAAAGACTCTTGCAGGTTAGACAAGGGTCCCTCAACCAGGCAGTGCCTTTCCTTGAAATGCTGCAGGAGACAGTTCCACAAAGGATGCTTCGACAAGACCTTCGGGTTTCCAAGGATGGCCAGGCCATACTTGGCACGAGTGAGAGCGACGTTGAGACGGCGAGGATCACTTAAGAAACCAATACCCTGGTGGTCGTTGGAACGCACACAAGAAAGGATAATGAAGTCCTTCTCACGACCCTGGAAGGCATCGACCGAAGCCACCTCGATCTCCTTGTAATGCTCTTTCTTAAAGGTGCCATTAGCTTGCATAGAGCTAACAATGTAGCTGCGCTGACCCTCATAAGGAGTGATGATACCAATGTCCTGGGGCTGCACTCCAGCTTTGAAGAAGCGGGTGACAATTTTCTCCACGTTCGTGGCTTCAGTGCGGTTAAGGTAAGAGGTTCCGGACGCCGAAATCTCCTCGTTACCCAGGTTCGACCAGAACATCATAGGGTTATCGGCAATGGGCCAGGGGAAGTCGACATCACGGCGGAGACGCTCAAACGAAGAGATACCGTTCTGTAGAGAACCTTCATAGAACATGTTCGACGGGAACTCCGACAGGCACGGGTGCATACGGTACTGAACGTTAAGACGAATAGGGGAGCAGCCAAGAATAACGAGACGTTCAAAGAGTGACTGGTTAAGACCAGCCTTGGCTGCCTTCTTGTTCATGATGACAGGTCCCAGCTGCTGGTGATCGCCGACAAGGACTACTTGCTTGCATCCGAGAACCAAGGGAATCATACATTCTGGCTCAGCCGACTGGGTCGATTCGTCAATCAGGACGGTACGGAACTTGAGCTTCGCCAGACGAGGATCACCAGCACCAACGCAAGTACAGCAGATAACGTCGGCGTTATTCAAGATCTCGCGCTCCGCCGAGCGGGTTAGCTGTTTCAGTCGTTTCTCATCTTGACTGGACAACTCTCCAAGCTCGGCCTTGAGCTGATTGAGCTTAATGAGTTCGATGTTGGTATCGTTGATGCGGACTTGTTCGTGCAAGGACAAGAAGCCAACCGGCGATTCAACGTCCTCTCGCGATTTAGCTGTCACACGCACAGTCTTCAGACCTGTCCGATGGATACGCTCACAAAGTTGGTCAACCGCAACGTTCGAGGGGGCGCACACCAACACCTGACCACCGTTGATCTTCGCAAGATGGTAGATGATCGTAGCCGAGGTCACAGTCTTTCCTGTTCCCGGAGGTCCTTGAATCAAACTCAATGGTCTCTGCAGCACGCTCTTCACAGCGTTAATCTGACTACCGTTGAGTTCTGGAAGTCCCGGAACGCTGAACTTCTTCGGCATTTGGGTCTTCATCGGCGCGGCTGCGACTTCGTGTCCGAGAAGGCGATGGAAAATGTAACCAGACACACTCATCTCATCCACGGCAAATGTTTTCATAGCCAGCTGCATACGATCAAATGATGTAGACTTCCAGACGTAGTCAGCTGTGAAATTGTGCGTGCACTCTGTAGGCACAGACTTATGATCACCCTTTGCGCGCAACTCAATCGTCACTTCATCGGACTGGTTGTTCGGAATTTTAATGACATATCCAACTCCTTCCCATTTGGGCCGCAGTTCGCCGGTATACTTGAGGCGCATTTCATCTCCCACGGCCAATTTAACATCGCCAAGTTCAAGCTTAGGCAAAATGAAGCTAGCCAGATGCTTGTTGTTGAGACCAAGGTCCCAGCGCACGATCAGTCCATCCTGCGATTGGGATTCCTTCAACTTGCGGTCATAGTCGGCCTCGATCTTGACCAAAGGCCCAAAAATGTTCTGATACTGGAAAGCATCATCATAACGCAGAAGCACAGGTGCTGGCTCATCGTCCACAGCCGTGGCCTTCTCCAAATCCGAGAAAGTCGCTTGAGAATTTTCCTTCCACATCTCTTCCAGCTTAGCAATCAACTGCGGACTGAGGTGGCGAGCGCGGAGCTGTTCCTGGTCGGACGGCGCAGCAACCAGCCATGGCAAGAACGAACGGTCTTCAATCAACGGTTGCCAGCGGGAGGTATCCCAGTTCATATCCTTAGAAGATGGCATAGCGGCGCATGGTTGACGGCATAGCAATACGACGACCGTGTCAGACTTGGCCGGAATGAATCCAAGCAGGAACACGTTCTTAGTCCCGCAATTGTAGCATTCCAATATCGTATCCCCAAGCGATGAGGCCGGATGCAACTGAACTTCCTTGTGGCGGGCCCGAACGAGGTGATTGACAATATGGGAGGACGAGGTGTTACCGCGGGCGCTGCAGAACCACTTGCTGCAGGCCAGGCACTTGACTACGCTGCTCGGGTTATGAATGCCGCAATACCTGTGGAAGAGCTCCAAGTCAGTCAAGATGTAACAGAGCAAACGCCACGATATACTCACGCGCATGCATGTGGCGGGAGTTCCTTCTCCTCCTCAAAATGCCCCTGATGATTCTTGTTGTCGGCTGCCTGAGCACTAGTTGTGCTCTCTACATCGTCGTCTCCGGAAGCATCATCGTCATCGTCATGTCTCCGCGGGCGAAACTGGGAAGCTGCGTCGTCCATCTCCGGCGGAATCCTGTCATCAACAAGTGCCGCCATAATGAGGTAGGGAAATAAAAATCCGATGCTAAACTCCCAATAATCGCTACCCCAAATCAAGGCAGAAAGAGCGAAATTAGCGGAAGCGAAAGCGAAAGAAGCCCAGGACACCGAAGATTATGCGGTCATACACGAGTCTGAAATATCACGCGAGGCGATTTAGAAGACGAAAAGAGCGTGGAGGAAGAAACAGCCGTGACTGTCCGAGGACAGAGGCAGGGGATGTTGTGTTCTCTTTGTCGGGGGGTCACCAGTGTGCCACAGCAGAGGGGCAACTGTATATGAGATTAGACTAGAATCCAGTCAGATTCACTTCAGTCCGTCAAATTTAGCGAGTCAACCGGGGGAGAAGATGCCTTACCTTCACGCCACAGAGTCCCTGCCGCCACTGAAGAGCTTGACGCAAGTGAATTGGGGCGTGTCCTGGAAGGCAGGGAATGATGGACAATCCACAGGACCGGATGGTGGATGATTTGCGATCGGCTCAGGCCAAGGCATTCGGAGTCGTTGCCGCCAAATCCCACACAACTCCGGTGGCCAAGGCGGACCAGACCGGCAGTTGCCGCAAGAAAAAAAGTTGCCCGCCTTTTGCGTTCCAGACCCTATTTTGATCTACTCATCATTCTTCACATATATACACGATGTTGGTATGTCGCTGCTTGAGAGTCTAAAATTAGCCATTCTCCGTGCTCTCAGACGGTATATCGCTAACTACTTCTGATCCAGCGTCGTCAAGCCCGTGAGCGTCGCGATTATCTCTACCGGAGAGCTCTTACTCTCCGCGATGCCTCCATCGCTGAAAAGCGAGCCCAGCTGAAGGCGTCGCTGGCCTCCGGAAAACCCCTCGATCCCTCAATCGCTGAAGACAAATCGCTGCGCGAAGACTTCAAATACGATGAATCCATTACCCCGGATAACCAGAACAAAGATGGCGACGTCGATCTCGATGATGAATATGCCCTCACCTCCGGCATCGCCGACCCCCGTCCTATCGTGACAACCTCTCGCTCCCCTTCTGTCCGTCTGGGCACATTCGCTAAGGAGATCCGTCTGCTCCTTCCAACTTCCATTCGCCTGAACCGTGGTAACCTCGTTCTTCCGGACTTGGTCTCAAGCGCAAATGCCGCCGCGCTGACCGACATGATTCTCGTGCACGAACACCGTGGTACACCCACTGCGATGACGATCTCTCACCTTCCTCATGGACCGACCGCTAGTTTCTCCCTGCATAACGTCGTTCTCCGTGCGGATATACCCAATGCTGCTCGCGGAACTGTGTCAGAGAGCTACCCTCACCTCATCTTCGAAGGGTTCAAGACCAAGCTGGGTCTTCGTGTGGTTCAGATCTTGAAGCACCTGTTCCCTCCGCGTGAGGCCGGCAAGGTTGGAAACCGTGTCGTCAGCTTTGTGAACAAGGAAGACAGCATTGAGGTCCGTCACCATGTTTTCGTCAAGACCGGATACCGGGATGTTGAGCTGGCGGAAGTTGGTCCTCGTATGACTATGCGACTGTTCGAAATCCGCGGTGGAACTCTGGAGAAAGGCTCTAGTGGTGATGTTGAATGGGCTCTTACCCAGTACACTAGGACGAGCAAGAAGAAGGATTATCTGTGAGCCAGTGTTAAGTCTTGAGGACACCTGTGGCTTTCAGTTGGCTGTGTATAATCATTTACGAAGGCAAAAGAAAAGTCTGATTCGGCGCATGAGGTGTTCAGGAAGGAGCTCAAAGGGGCGGCATTTACATTTGGCATGTCTGATCGCTATTGTATACCCATATGAAAGAACTTATTATATTACTTCTCTTCTTTCTGCCTAGAAACCATGTAGCCATCCAGGTAGCGGTCGCAGTGGTACTACACTGAAAATCTTGTATGCAATTGACTTGAAGTTTTAGCCTCGGAAACAGTTAGGGCTAGCCGACCGGGTATATTTGTCTCGCGGACAGTTCAGAATCTCTACGTCCGAACCAGTCAGATCGTATACGATTATTGACTCGTCGCTTCCTGGCCTCTCATCATTCGCATCCTGCGGTGACTCGTGCTTGATGCCTTGCATTGGTGCATCCAGATGCTCTTGCTTGACAACCATCGAGCCATCGCCGTCGGGTGCATCCATAACTCCCCGAAGGAAATTTGACAACATCCCAGCCCGATCCTCGTAGTAAAACCAGTTCTCGTGAGGAAGCAGTAATTTGCCATCAGCATCCCTCTTACCAGAGGGTAAAACACCGTTCAGTCGCTCTTCCCACTCTTTACCTGTTTTGTCCTTGAAAATCTTCTTGAAAGCCTTCACTGCGGAGTCTTGATCTGCTTTCAGCGGTGTCAGGAGTTGACTCTGCTGCTTGCCAATACGACTGTACTCGAGATGTGTAGCGTAGACATGGGGTTCTTTATTAGACTCATATACCTACATACAGCTACTCGATCAGCCTTCTTCTCGTGATACATATACTCCACCTGTCTGGAGAGACAAAACGAGAGCGAATCCACAGCATTGCAAAGAAGACTAACTCACCCTGACCACATATCTCTCCTTGTAGTTTTTGCCCTGCATCGACCGGACAAGCGTAGCATTGTACGTCACTCTTGCGTCTTGATCTGTATAAATGTGATATCTCGCTAGATCGCCAGCCTGAATCAGCCTTCGTAACACGCAGAACAAGGGGATAGACGATAACATACACACCGCAGTGCCGGCCTTTACGCCCTTTCTCTTCCTGCCAAAGGGATCCTGATTCTTCAGATTACCTAGTTGCACCATGTCAGTCATTACGGTGATATATGTAGTCAAGACCGTCCGAATTCACTTCCTCGGTTGGACCCAACTCCAACGATCACCAACTGGCCCCAAGAGCAAAGAAGCAAACGTACCTTTTTTCCTAGACTTTTCTTTCTCCTTTTTCCTTATCTTGTCTCTATCTTTTTCCCTCTTCTTATTCTCATTCTTCAGTATATTCGCGAGAAGGTATTCCGTCTCACGCTTCGGTCTCCGATTCTTAGATAAGAGAGAGTCTTCCAGCCAGTCGTAGGAGACAATTTTTATAGTCCTTAGTTGCTGAGCTTTGCGGACTGTTGTTCGATGTCTTTGTCAGATATGTATGCATTTCTTGTGTCCAAAAGTTTCAGGGGTATATAGCATGACGAGAGAAGGTGGATCCATGAAGTGCCTACCTGCTTCAGCATTATCCTTGAAGGCTTCCTTGGTGGTGATCAGATGAGTGATCTTTTTGCTAATGTCCTTGGAATATTGGCCTCCGTTGGCCCGTATCCATTGGGGTATTTTGTCCGAGTTACCATCGAACTTGCCAAATGAGCTGGCATATATGCTTTTGAAGGTTTTGCCCATTCTGTGGAGATTGGGAGAGGTAAAGATTCCAGTGGATGCTGATGTAACAGCTGAGATTAAGTCTTTTCAGCTGACCATATGAAGGGTGCCGTGTTGAGTGAATTGAGGAATGCCAGAGCGAGCGCAGAGACTATTATGGTAAGTAGAAAGCTTTGGGGAGAATATGATATATACTATTACGAGGATAGTACGTTTCGATTAGATGGTTGAATGACACTACGAACGGAGCTCAGGGTGACTTTCTCGTCAACGAATAGTGAGGTTACTGTAAGCTGGCAAGCAGAGTGTGATGTCTGAAGTGGCCGTGTCATTGTTGGGCATCATTGCTATGATAGATCCGAAAGGTATCAACGAAGTAGAAAACAATTAAAAACTGAAAGAAAATCAAGTGAAAAGACCAATGATGCCCTTAAATCCCATGCTTGGTAAATTTAAAGACAATACAAAGCTAGAGTCCCCTCACGGCCTGCACAAAGGCGCGAATTTTGCCAACATCCTGAGCGCCGTCTGACTCTACGCCAGAACTGACATCGACGCCAACGACCTTGCGACCGGATTCGCCAAGCTTCTGGACAATGCCAGCAACATTGGTAGGATCTAAGCCACCTGCCAGAATAACGCGCAAACCACTATCCTTATCGAGGACGTTCTGAACGCGGGATTGGTCCAGCAACTCACCAGTTCCCCCAACGCCAGAATCCAGTAATGGTAGGGAGTGATAAGCCCTGCGGGCGATCGCAGGCTCGTCAAGCCCAAACTTGCGGATGACAGGAACTGGGATCAATTTGGCCCATTCAAGCGGCTCAGATCCGTGAAGTTGCACGACATCGAGTCCCAGCTTTTGTTGCTGGCTCAAAATATAATCAAGGGGCTGGTTCTGGAAGACCCCCACGAGAAGCGCCCGGCTAGGATGACGTAGGATTCTGGCTGAGTGGTCAAAATACTCAACAGATGCTGCAGCGGGAGTTCCTTGAGATGTGGGAGGAGTTTGACCAGCAGGCTTCGGGGTGGACTTGACCACTTGAGATATACGGAGGGCCACGTCATCAGGGACGCATCGCGTTCGTCCCTGAACCATGATAATTCCAATTAGGTCTGCTCCAGCCTCGATCGCCGCTCGTGCTGCTTCTTCAGAACGAGTGCCGCAGATCTTTACCAACGGCGAACTCCGGGACTCTTTGGAAACGTTCTGTGAGCTGCCTCCAAGAAGCTCAGCAATGAAAGCAGCCGTGTCTGCTGCCCGCATAAGGGCTTCTCCTACTAGGATAGCTTTGACACCCTCCTTCTTGTAAGCTTCCACATCCTTAGGCCCGGAGATTCCACTGAGGGCACACACAATGGTGCTGCTGGGCACCTGATCCATGAGCCGGCTAGTAGTGCCGAGATCAACCTCGAAACTAGTGAGGTCTCTGTTGTTGACACCGATAACCTCAGCTCCAAGATCGACCGCAATCTTCATCTCTTCGGGTGTGTTCACTTCAACCAAAGGCTCCATGCCAAGGCTACGGGAGTAGTGATACAACCGAGTGAGGAGTTCAACACTAAGCATCTTCACAATGAGCAAGACCGTGTCAGCACCGGCCAAACGGGCCTCTAGGATCTGATATTCGTCGAAAACGAATTCCTTCCGCAGAATGGCGGGCCTGTTCGTCAAGCCCTCCAGACTTTGGCGAACGGCACGCAAGTCGTCAATGCTGCCTTTGAACCATTCAGGCTCTGTGAGCACAGAAATGACACTGGCACCGGCCTTCGCGTATTGCCTGGCCTGAGCGGGCGCACACGCGTTTTCGGCTATCATACCCTTGGAGGGAGAAGCACGCTTGATTTCCGCCATAAGGGACAGTGGATAGGGCGATTGTCTAAGACGAGCCGGAAATGGGACCTGGGGAGGGGCCAGGTTAAGGTCATAGGCAGCCTGGAGGTCTGCTGGCCGCTGGGAGGGAATGGTCTTTTGCACGGCAACAGCGGCTCTCCGATGGTCGTAAATCCTTTCGAGGATGGACAACTTCTTGTCCGTTTTCGGGGCAGTGTTTGAGGAAACGGTGGCCTTGGTCGTGTTGCTCTGCTCATCAAAATGCTTCCCGTTTCCTTCCCAGGTGCCTGCAGTAAGTTTGAGGAAGTTGCGGAACATGGTACGGCCGTACTCAGTGAGGATACTCTCGGGGTGGAACTGGACTCCCTCCACAGCCAATTTCTTGTGCCTCACACCCATGATGACATCCTTGTTGCTATCGTCCGTTAACTGGACGGAAGAGGACACCTCCAGACAGTCGGGAATTGTCGCATGTGTACCAGCTAGCGAGTGGTAACGAGTGACGGCGAGCGAGTCAGGTAGTCCTTCATAGGCGCCCTTACCGTCATGTTTAAGCGCGGACGTCTTGCCGTGAAGAATTTCGCCGGTGACATCAACCTTTCCACCAAAGCAAGTAATAATACATTGCTGGCCCATGCACACACCGAAGATGGGAATCTTGCCACTGAAGTATTGGATGGCCGCACTGCTGATACCAGCGTCAGTCTCGGGGTGACCGGGACCCGGACTGATAACCAGCTGGGTGGGTTTTTTGGCGATCAGTTCCTCCAAAGTGATCTGGTCATTACGAAATACATTGACAGTAGCACCCTCAAGGACTAAGTACTGGTAAACGTTCCAGGTAAACGAGTCGTAGTTATCAATCAAGATGACATTCGATGCCGTGTTCAACTGGGCGGCCTTGGTGGGATGGTGGGGGGAATGATCGACGAGTCCGGAGTCCGCCATGACGAGAATCTGCGCAGGACAGGAATTTCCAATTAGATACGAATCGAAGAGCAATGCGATAAGGAGCGAGGAGCCAGGGCAATGCACATAGAAACACACTCACCTTTTTGAAGTCGAGCTGTCAACTGCCGGAGTAAAGTGAGAGCGGAGCAAACATCGACGGTGGCTGCGGCCTGACTCAGATCCTCGGTGGACCGAGTCGCCCTTCCCGATCGGGGTTGAAAAGCAAACGGCGCAAAATTTCAGCTCACCGCCTGGGACTAAACCCAGATAGGCAGTCATTGTTGACCTCCAGCCAAACCCGCTCCTTGGAATAATATTCTTGGGTTCCCGCCTTTGAGCTTGTGAGCTCTCTGCTTAACACTCTTGACTTGCCTGCCCTTTTGCTCCGGGTCTCTGTCGCCTTGGACCCTCGCGAGCAGCACATCCATTTCGCATCACATCGAGCAACTAGAATGATATAATTGTCTCGCCAATGGCTCCCGTCCCGGAAGCCTATTTCCCGTCCCTGGACAAGTGCTTCTCCGGGGACGTCCAGCTTCTGTATGGGCTTACATTCGTCTCTTCCCAATTGACGAGCAGCCACTGATGGTTTATGCGATCTTAGGTCCTGGAAGAGAGCCTTCCTTCACACATGCAAAATCGATAGCAACGTCGAAGATGTGGAAAGGCTCCATGCCTTTCTATCGCATCCCGACAGCGTCCAAGTCCTCTCGAATTGCCTCAACGGCTTTCCTTCTCCTTCCCCCAAATCGAAATCCGACTTTGAATCTAAGACAGCCGCAATTAATGTCGAGACAAATGCGCAATCTTCGTATGATTTGAAGGAGATCAAAGCGGATGCTTTATGGCTGAGCGAGAAGGCGGGTATTGATGAAATCAGCGCGCTCCGATTAACAGTATTAGAATGGCAAACCCGACCAGCCACGCGCCTTCTCAACCGATTCGCCGATGAGGAAACAACCAGCTTGCAAAGCGCGGCGGGAGGTGACAATCTTCGTGTCTCTCTCGCAGGACCTGCCCTGGCCGAAATTTTCAACCAAAAAGCAGCTCGTGATGACGAGGCTTCCGATTTCTATTCTGAGACCAGCCGCCGCCTGCGGCTGCGCAGCTTATACCTATCGGAGAGAAGCCATGTCGTCAAAGCGGCATGCAAGCTGCTTGCGTTGTATCTTAGAGAAAACCAGGATCCTTCGGACCGTCCCTCTCAGCAGCTGTCCAGACTAGGTGACACGATATTCAAAGAAAAGTCCAAGGGTGAAGGCTGGCGCACGTTTATCAAGAGCTGCATTGAAGCTGTGCGGAGTCGGCTGTCTTCGTTAGACGGTGGTGGTGGCTGGCTAGGCGCCACCGAGAGTAGCCAAGAAGTGGAAGAATTATGGGCCACAATTCTTATCGAAGAGGTGGTACATATTACACAGATGTTGTTCCTGCAACTTCAAGCGGCTACAGAAATCCCTAGTGCGGAGCTTCTGCTTTCTTGGCTTCGTTTGATGGTCGACTACAGTTTTCTGGAGCCGCTCCGAGTCGTGAGTACTGCCTTATCATGTTCACCGCGTGATCTTGTTGCTGACTACAAGAAGCCTTGCCAGGATCCTCTGGAGCTGTTGGTGCCACTTCAAGGCTTTGTCTCTTTAACAACTCTAGCTTTTCTGAAGCTGTCATTGTCGGTCCCATCGATCATCAGCAATTCTTCACGCAAAGGCCCGTCGGTCGAGACACCTTACTACCTCTCAAAGGAAGAGATTGGCCAGATCAACGAGCTTTTCTTGTCGGCTGGTGTAGAATCCAAGATTGCTAATCCAGCTGCATTTTCCTGGGGACTGATAATGCATACTATGAGGGAGCTTGCACTCAGCGACAAGGAAAGCCGAGAGTTGGAGCAATTCCACAGTGCAGTGGATTCTTTCCAGTCAAATACACCGCATTCGAATCCATCCAAAGCCTCGGAGATCACTTTGTATGAAGAGTTGCTCGAGAACGCACGTACTCCAACCTGCACAGCGGATGAGGCGATAACTCTTCTTAGCTCAGATGCGATGAGGGATCTGGTGTTCGAAACTGTCCTTGTTCTGGCGACGAAAGTTGGGGCTACCTCAGCAGTCACTGACATCCTAACAAGCCAATGGATTCAGCTCGTGCTTCTAGATTTTATCCGGACCACCGTCGTGTACCTAGACTATTCTCCGGAGATCGTTGGGTCTACCCTAGCAGTTCTTCAGGGCTCACCGGTAGAGTCGCAATGGTTTCACGGTGCCTCGTTAAGCCCCGTCAGCGACCCGCGTTCGGTCTTCGTCAAGGATGATGCTCTGATGGACAACATTTTCCGCATAGCGCGTTCTCGCTTCCCCTATGAAACAGTGCCTTTCCTGCAGCTGTGCCGTGCATTGGTCAGCAAAGACCTGGTCAACGAGGAAGGCCTTCCGGTTATACTTGGAGAGTTGGAGAACATGGATTCCTTTACGCAGGTCGTACCCCCCGGATTCCAAGGCTACGAAACGATTCGAGAGGATGAGAACGCAAATTTCGTCACACTTGTTCAGTCACTTCCCATGGTCGGCACATCTCCCCGAAGGCAGCTTACTGAGCAGGAAACCAGTAACGCCCTGGTTGTTACGGGCTCTTCGCAGATACCGTCTTCAGCAATCGGACAAGTCGTCTCCGAGTCAAGGCCCGCGGTGGTCATGTGGCACCATCAGTATTCCTGCCTGAGCTATCTCGGCAGCTGGCTAGAAGAGTGGAACGAGAATGGAGGCTTTTCAGCAGGTTATGGAGAAGATTCCGTGGCCGATTCGATCGGCCTTCTGGCCGATCTTCTTCTTGCAGCAAAAGACTCGCAAGTGCAAAGCGGCGATGGCTCGAGTGCTAAGAGAATCTTGGAGCTCGCGAGCGATGGTCTATCCCGCCAAAGCGACATTATCTCGCTTGTTTTTGAGATTTTTGAGCGCGATCTACCCAACATCGGACCCAGAACAGGATCTGATGTGGTGATGGAGTCCACGATTGCCTGCCTGCGATTCATCTGCGTCCTCATCGACGTTCTGCCAGGCAGAGTGTGGCCCCTACTTTCCCGCAGCAGCTTGCTGGGCTCTGATGGTAAGGGTGGCATCCTGACTGCGATTGTCTCAGCTACAGAAGTGACATCGGGAGACTATCCCTTCTTGCTGGGCTGTGTTCGTCTGTTCCAAGCAGTTGTTGACGACGCTGCTTCTCGAGCCGTGTTGAGAAGGAGCCCCAACGGTCCTAATGGGAAGGTAATTCTTCCATCCGATTTCACCGCGGGCGTTCCCTCGCATATGATGAGAGGAACTCTTCTGAATTTTGTGCGGGTGATGGTGGAAGTTTACAATAGCAATGGCAATTGGAGGTTCAATGTTCCGGAACAGAAGCTTGAAATCAGCACGAAACTCGCAACGGTGTTTGAGAGGATACTCTACTACGCTTATGGCACGAATGAAATCACCAAGCTAGACACCAAGATCACGGGCGTCTTTTCCTCGTCGGCAACCTATCTTCTCAGTGTCTTGCGGCCGCAGTCGGCCGCGGATTTGCCCTTCAATTCCATCCTTCGCCTTATTGTCGATGGCCTTCAAACCCCGTCGACATTGTATCTCCGCTACATGATCTTTGTGCAAAAGCAGGTGTTAGCGACCTTGGACCTCTCGATCAGGCTGCTACAGGCGGCTCAGCTCCTCGAACAGCCACTATCCTTGCTGGAAGACCAACTGTTCAAGGCTACACCCGCTCTGATCAAATTATATGCTTTGGATGATGCCTATCGGCTCCCGGTGGCTTCGCTCCTCAATGTTCTCATAACAGGCGCAGCTCTGGACCCGGCAAATGAGCCGCCGTCCTTGGTCGGTCACCTGGGAGCGGAATCCGCATGTCTTTTCCTTGATGTCATGTCGCAGTTTGACAAGCCGCTCAGCGATTCCGACCTGCGTTTGGGTATATGGCACTTGCTAACAACCCTTGTCAGCAAGCGCCAACAGTGGCTGGCCGTCTACATCCTTACGGGCACCTCACCACGCCAGTCGCTGAGGAAAACTGACAATGACAAGGGAGCAGCGATGAGGGGTACCCCGTTCCTGAAGATAGCACTTGATATGCTGTCGCATATTGAGCAGCTTGACCTTCAACTGGCTGTCGCGCTGCTGGAGTTTGTCTCTCATGCTCAGGAAAATTGGCCATGGGCCACCCCAGAATTGAAGAAACATTCCCTTTTCTTCACTAGCCTGGTGAACTATGTCTCAAAGCTGAAAATATCCTCCCTGACCGTCAGAGAACAGATTTCTGCTACCCGTATTGCGGCTGTTGTGGCAGATATCTGTGCCGTGTATCTCCATTCAGCCAAGGAGATGCAGGACCGAGGCTTTTACAAGACTTTGATTCCGCTCGTGTCTTGGTATTCCAAGGACGCAGTTGATGTGGCTGGGTATAATGCCTCGCTACATGCTAATCTAAAGAAGAATTTCGAGATGAGGTATCCCGGGTGCAAGCTCGTGGACTTCAAGCGGACACCCCTGCAGTCTCGCTACCTCGGTCAAGACTATTACTACGACATCCAACTCGGCAAAAAGCTCCTCTCTTATGATTTCGCGTGGACTGGAAGTCGCAACCAGGGATTTGCGGAAGAATTCCAGCGGGCCAACCTAAATTTGTCTTTGGTCGAGGCGCAAGTGGTAAGTACTGACCATATCAATCAACTGAGCTGTTCTAACCGTTGGGGTTTCGCAGAGCCTTCTTCATAGTTGGAAATTCTTCGCCGTCGAACACTCTGCGGACTTCATGGCGGACCGTGAGGTTCAAAAGTCGATGGCCATTGTTGTGCAAAGTTGCCTCGAAGCCAACACCCGAGGCGTGCCGCAGGAAGCGATCTTCGAGAGGATACAACAGACCCGGGTAGAATTTGCCCAAGCTCTACTTCAGCGACTAGTTGCGATCGGAGCCAAGGGTGCCGAATTCTTTGGTCTCCTCAAGGTCGTATGGGATGCTCTACGCACGCGCCGCGCCACCTACGAGGATGCATTGATCAACGATGACACGGAATATTACCGATCCCTTCTGAATGTCCTCTTCCTCGCTCTCCAGTTCCATCTGGATTCACCCTCTCGAACAGCCCCTGAAACAATCACCAAGAAACCCGAGGTATCGTCCGACCTGGGAATTATCGTGGAGATTGTGAAGGTGGTCGTGGCGCAAGGGTTCAAGGCTTTGACAACCTACCTACATGATCAGCCAGACAAGTGCACGCCGAAAGATTTCGCCATCCTGATAGCAATTCTGCAGAGCTCACTTCAAGTGAAGCACGTCGACCGTCTCTTTGAGCACATCGTCTACCATGTCGCTGACAATGACACCGCGAGACTGGCGACATCACTATTTTCGTGGGCTGACCAGCTAGCTGTGGCCGGTGATTCCGTATACGGCGAGCTCAGCATGTCGCTCCTGGTTAAAATGTCTACAATCCCCATGCTGGCGGAACATTTGGCGGTCGAGGTGGTTCTGTCTCGGCTCTCCACCTGCCGTCTCACGAACATCCTGCGCGATTCGAATGGATTCGGGCCTTTCGACCCTGTGCCCCGCCTGTATTCCATCTGGACCGGTGGCATCCTTCCCCTGTGCCTAAACCTTCTTTACCACGTTGTTCGCACTGCGCCCGAGGTTGCGGCATTCCTCAACCAGTTCGAAGGCCAGCTCAAACGTGCCGCTGACTCTTTCGCTGCCGGTCGCACGACAGCGTCGGTCCACCGAATCAGTCTTAGCATGGTCTCCGAGGCATACTCACTGGCGCTTATCTCATACATCCTAACCCGGTTCCGTGAAGCCGGTGCCAGCCTTGGCATCGATGCGCAGTCGATCCAGGAGCTCAAATGGGACAAAGCTCAAGTGAAGGAGGATATTGAAGAACTTCTGGAACGGAAGCAGAATCTGCGGGCGCGGATCGTTGCGACGAGTGACAAGGAGCTGGAGTTGTCGCGTCAGAAGCCGGTCGATGCAGCATCGGGAGCACAGAGTCGGCTGGAGGAGAAGATCGTGAGTGAGCTCAAGGCAACGTTGGCGTGCCTGGGAGGAGATGGTGACGAGGCATAATGACATTTAAGTGACAATGGGTGTTCATAGCTGTTTTCATAAGGGGTGCGGGGGATGGTTCAATCGATTTCCTTACTTCTTTTTCTTCTTGGTTCTCTCTCGTGTACAACGGATGATATTCTGGTCCATGACTACAAAGGGGATGATGCATTTCTTCATTTCCCGTTTTCGTGTTTTCAGTCTACATCTAGCCAGCATGCATATCCAGGTACGGAGGTAAGCGTTTCAGTATGTCTCATAAATCCTAGCTATATACATCCATCATTCCACAAATCTGCATGTAGGGATGTGACTGCACTGCACGTAGCCGCGGACCCCTCCCTCCCCTTTCCCTTCCATCCCTGTCACACCTTGCTCAGTAGTTGTTTTTGTCGGGTTCATTTAATACTCGCACAGAACATAAAAAAAAAAAAAAAAAAAGCAAACTAGTACTTAAGCACCAGTGTTTACTAGTAACAATTCGCCTACCTTAATAGTGACTTATAGTTCCTCCCAACAGTACGACAAATGTGATGTGATAGTAGTGATCTGATCCATCTCACACAAAGGATCCTACTACTACCACTACGTGTACTTCCATTGTTCCCCAAGGTACTCCGTAGACAGACAACTCCTACTTTATTAGGTGCATACATATAGTACCACCTTCACCACCACCACCGTCCGAGCGAGGTACGGAGTAGATTTTGCTCCAACTGACCGTAGATACTTACTGTAATAGTTAGTAGTCTCAAACCCCGCTTCTCACTGACAACCAACACACTACTAGACTACCTCCTTACTCTCTAATTACCTTCCTCTTTTTTGGCTTATTCCCTCGGCCCAGAAACATTCGATGGACCGAGGAGTCCCAAACCACCACAACCGATTGGCTCGGTCGGATGTTAACTTTCCTTTTCATTTCCAACAAAACCAACTGCAAATGCGGGGAAAGCTTTCCCTTCTTTTTCCACCTCATCTTACCTAAGGAGGAACTCGTAAGTGCCTTTCAAGTGTAAACCAATGGTAACTAGTATACTTAGACTTTTGGGGGACAACGGGTATCCCGGATTGAGCAGGGATTATGCGGTCCCTTGTCATTTCTTTTTCTTTGTGCTGTTGCTTACGTGCTGACGTGGATGCATGGATTGTGTTCCTCCTTGTTATGTTCCTTGTTTGTGGGGGACTTTGACTGGTCCCATACAGAGTTTATGAAGGGGAATGACTGCATAGGGGGAGGGGGAAGGGAGATTTGACTTCCCGGTGGGTATGTAGTAGCAGCAGTAGTAGTAAGATGTTATATCATATATACTACTACTACTACTTGGAACTAGAATCGCCTCTCTTTCTCCTCTCTCATTCTCTTTTTATTGCTTTCTTTCTTCTTGATTACAATCTGGCCATAGGAATTGTTCCATATTTCTTGGTATTGCAGAGTCCTACTATTATATACTGCAAGGTTTGGGTGTAAGGAGTCCCTATTACTACTAGTCATCATTCCCAACTCGAACACCGGATCACTGCGACTGTTATTCACGGCCACTTGTTATCCACTGTATGGGTCACAACAGGCTGTTTGAGTCGTTCAATCGGTGAATTTTTGTGCATTTCCACACATTTCAGTCATTATCCAGGATCAGTAGTAGTCTTACAGTGTTGGCAAACATGCCGTTCAAGTCGCGCTGGCAGATTGACATCCCCAATACCCATCTGGCCTCGGCTTTGCTGACTTCGCCGACTCACCCCCTCTCCAAGACGCACCGCTGCTTCTCCGAGGCTGCTCGTCCCGACACACACTACTTCACCCCTCACGTTTTCCGTCTATGGTGTCAACGTTTTGCAGCAGGCTTGCGCAAGCATGGCCTACAGCCGGGTGACCGTCTACTACTTTACTCCGGCAATGACTTATTCTTCCCCGTCGTCTTTCTTGGCACCATCATGGCTGGCGGCATCTTCACCGGCGCAAACCCATCCTACGTCGCTCGGGAACTAGCCTATCAGTTGCAGGATTCCGGTGCAACCTATCTGATCTGCGCCGAAGGCAGTCTGGACACAGGAATCGAAGCCGCGGGACTGGCTGGCCTCAACCGCGATCGGGTGTTTGTCTTTAGTAATGCCATATATGATGGCCAAGGAGGTGCTGTCAAGGGCTGCCGCTACTGGGGGGACCTGATAGCGTCTGAGGACGAAGGTAGCGGATTCGCATGGGATGACTTGTCCAGCGCGGAGTTGGCCGATCGGACTCTCGCCTTGAACTACTCCAGTGGCACCACTGGCAGACCCAAAGGGGTAGAGATCACGCACAAGAACTATGTTGCCAACCTCAGACAGTTCAACCACCTCTCCTACCTCAATCCGGATTGGAAGGACAAGCAGACTCGCACGCGCTGGCTCTGTTTCCTTCCCATGTATCACGCCATGGCACAGAACATCTTCATCGCGTCCGCCCTAAGTCGCGATATACCCGTGTATATCATGCCCAAGTTTGACTTTCTCAAAGTCCTCGAGTACACGGAGAAGTTCCGCATCAGCGATCTCATCCTGGTTCCACCGGTGGCGGTGGCACTGGCCAAGCATCCTGCAGTCAGAAGCGGCCAATACGATCTGAGTAGCGTGGAAAGCGTATCCTGCGGCGCGGCACCTCTAGGGAGGGAAGTTTGTGTGGAGGTAGAAGCATTGTGGGAACCTGGACGCATCAACGTCAAACAGGGATGGGGCATGACCGAGTAAGCTATCCACCCATTTCTTGTGTATATTCAGTGGCGAACAACCTGCAGGCTAACGAAATCTCTTTGTGTTTCTCCTAAAGGGCTACGTGCTCTATGATGGGCTGGGACCCCAATGAGATAAGCGAATCGGCGTCAGTAGGAGAGCCAAATCCAAACTGCGAGGCGAAGATCATGGCCGACGATGGCGTGACAGAATTAGGACGCAATCAGCGCGGTGAACTCTGGGTCCGAGGTCAAAATGTCATGAAGGGCTACTGGAGGAATCCGCAAGCCACAAGGGAGACCAAGACGGCGGATGGATGGCTGAAGACAGGAGACATCGCTTATGTCGACGACAGTAACAAGTTCCACATAGTCGACCGAAAGAAGGTGAGCTGAACGAACAAGAAAAAAAAAAAAAATCACTGAGTCGCCACCTGCGATGCAGGCCAATATCCAATACATTGCTTCTGTCTCGTGTTGCATGATGCTAACTGGCATGGTTTCGCTAGGAGTTAATCAAAGTCAAAGGCAACCAGGTCGCACCGGCTGAACTGGAAGCTCTTCTGTTGGAGCATCCCGGAGTGGCCGATGCTGCAGTCATTGGCGTTCCACGGTGGGTTAACAAGAGGGTTTCATCCTAGTGAGCAAATAGGCTGATGCGGTGTTGACGAATAGGAATGACGACGAGAGTCCCCGGGCCTATATTGTACTAAAATCCGGACAAACCGCCACCGAGAAAGATATTGTGGCATTCATGGATGGCAAAGTGTCTGCGATCAAAAGACTTACCGGAGGAGTGGTGTTCCTTGATGCGATCCCGAAGAATCCTTCAGGAAAGATCTTGCGCAAGGCGCTGCGCGATCGCGCTAAGGAGGAGATGCAGAAGGATACTGTCGCCGCTAAACTGTAGACGAATCCGCGGGGCCCTTCATTACATGCCGCACTTGCCCCAGGACGCCAAATTGCCCGTCTAGTCGCATTGGCTGACCTAACTGTAAGGATGAGAGTTGTCAAATTCGGATATCGCCATTAGTGGGGTACATGCAGCGTAGTATTTGGAATGGATATGGAAACTCTCTAGATCGCCGACGTGCGTTTGAAGCGAACCCGGTCCTTGGGTCGTGGGCTTGGAAGAATGGGGGTGGAGAGAGAGAGTCGATCAGATTCCGACGATACTCGGTGATAGTACTAGACCCATTCGAGCAATGCAGATGAACGAGCGAATGAATAACAGTGAATGGAGAATGCTTCCGGGGCCAAAAAAAATGGCGCGGCATGTTTAGTGTAGTTGGTACTGGAGGCCAGGCCGGCCGAGGAGCCTGTCAGAGGGCAAAGACAGGGCAAATCTAGCGCCACACTTGATCGCCGAGAACACCGCCACACTGGGGCGCCAGACGAATCTCGTTCCTGAGTCGCCCATCTTTGGGGGGGAAGAATCCAAGGGGGGCGGGAAGAAAAGACCGAAAAAGAAAAAAAGTGGCAGCCTGTCCAGAGTCAGATGTCATGACTGTCTCATAAAGCATGAATCCACTCTGCAAATGGCGAGCTGATGAGAACTATATTCATGAACCCCCACCGGGTCGGGACCCGGAAACTGTGAGAGTTCGAACTGGATCTGCGGTACTCCAGACGATCACTTTCATTTTCTGGAGGGGGAAATTGGGGGGAGAAGGCGCAGCTGAGATGGATTGACGGGCCATGAAGGGTAATGGGGAGCGATGACACAAATAAGTGATGAACAGACTGGCGAAATAGTTGAGAGAAAGCGAAGGATGTGTGAAGGGAAAGAAGGAAGGAAGGAAAGAAAGGGGAAAAGAGGCGTGAGTTCGTCGTAAACCAGCGAACTTCTTACTACATTCTAGATCACGAGGCCGGTAAGTTACAGGGGGGAAAAAGAAGACAGAATAGTATATGTGGGTGGGACAGGTAATAATACGCGCGGGCACCTGACCGGAAGAATCCCTAGTTGGGCGTGATTTGATTTGATTTGATTTTACTACGTAGTATGGAAAATTATAGTGATCAATGAACGGATGCATGGATTGTTTCACCCGCATATTAGGAGTAGTGGTAGTACTAGCTAGTAGTAGATACATACAGTAGATATGTTCAGTTCAGTAGTACCTGGTAGTCATGAGTATCTATCTACTACTTACTATATTCATCCCGTCCAACGACTTCTTTCTCCACTCGGTCTTGGTCGCTGCACTACTACTAAAGGGACTCCACTTCAACACGCTCGGTCTTACTCTGGCTTCAGCGGACAAATTAGATACTCAAGACGAGACTAGACTCTCTTCTCTTCAGTCCGCCATCTCTGGTCCCGACAAGGAGACTAGTGTTCGAGCCTCACCCGGTCCAGGTCGCCTTATACCGTCGATACTTGCTGATTGCTTGATCTTTACTGGGTCGGGAGCTTCTCGCTAATGAATTTAGCGGGCCCTTTCCCTTTCCCCCCCCCCCCATCTTTCCTCCACCAGCCGATATCCTGAATGTGGCGCTTCATCAGGACAGCTGAACCTGCCTTGCGTTGAGACGTTCCTGGTCCTATGACGGGGGTGCATTACAGTTGGAGTCCCCATTCCCGTGGGTTCAACTTCCCTTCATTATGCTCTCGTGGCTGAACATGACAGAGCTGGACCTGGAGGGGCCACTTTCACATTATTCCCACCCCCCCCTCTCTTTCTCTTTCTCTCTTCCCTGTCCGTAGATAGCTTAGATCACACCTGCTGCAATGCGAGCTTCAAAACACGCTGCGATCCCACTATACGGGGATTTTTTTACTGTAGATGTCCCTGCATGGTGGAGTCGCGCGCACCTTTCCTTTTCTCCCTGGATATAATATCAGCAACAGACTATGGGAATTTCCCTCACCGGATCATTCCAGGACTGGTGCTTGATTTTTTTCTTTTTGATTTAGTTTGATGCGCCGTGCTTGCGCCATGCTGGTCTTAGTTATAAGTACCTTCCAATTCGCATCCTTGCAAAAAGAAGAAGTCGTTGGATTTTTGAAATTGTAACCACTTGGCTTGTCTTTCATCATTACTTCCTCTCTTATACCTCCCATCCTCCAACTCCATCTGTGATATTCTGCGACTGCTCTACCACAACTGGTTTTGGGCGTAACTATCTGTCTCTCTATTGAGCTCTTCTACTGCAATCGTCGTCTCTTCACCTTCCTGGCACGGAAAGAAGAATACTATAGAGAGAGAGATCCCAACTATACTACTCGGTACAGAACCATTGTTTCCCCAATTGCGCGGGTTACACAGCTCCTCCCCTTCCCCAAAATAGATTTTCCTAATACTTACTGAAACACCCTAGAGAACAAATACATTTTGCATTATTTCCCTCAGCAGGAGAAAGGGAGCAAGCAGTGCGTGTGCGTGTGAGTGTTTGGTGTGCTGCCCTAGGACCCAGCACATTTAGGAAAACCCTGCAATGAGCTGCTTGGACAATGAATGGTCAATTCCGAAAAAAGACATTCGGATCCTCTCCCTCGCCATTCTATACGTGATTGTCAGCCTATTCTGCATTCTAGTCCTACTAGTTCAGCGTCTTCGCCGTCCACCACCCTATAGATCCTACGCCTACGTACCACAAGAGAGGCAAATGATGGACCCGCCACCATTTACGCCGTCCGAGAAGTGCGATCGTGGTGGTATCGTGGGTAGTGGTGGCGAAGAGCCCGTCGGCAGGAGTGCAGCAGTGGGCCTAGGCCTAGTCCAGGGCCACGGCTACGGCGTAGGCTATCTCAATGACCCAGCCTCCCAGGGCGTTGGTCCATTCCCTTCAGCCTGTGATGTCCTGCAGCCACTTTCCCAGCTGTCTCCCTTACCTTCTAGTGGTTATCTAGCGGCTGTCCTGGCCCGCGAGCGGAGCCATTGGACAAAGCAAGCATCTGGGTCGGATGGTCATCTGGTGCCGTTGTCGCCCGGGTGTGCCGCCTCCGCCCCTGCCCACGACCATCGTTCAGCTACACCCCCCGCGGTGAGGATGGATGATCGCGTCGGTGACTCGTCATCTGAAGCGCCAACTCATGGTTCCATGGTGGTGTCAGATCCTATGCGCCAGCCCGGGATTCCTGCGCCGGTTCAGTGCCATGCCAACCCTATTGCTACTAGCCACGAACAGGGGGTCCCCAGTATCGCAAACCTTATCGGATCCCATCCTTCCCAAAATTGTGGCTACGCAGTTCAATACCTGCACGACGCAGATGAGGAGGGGGTGCGCTCCTGGCGACGGTTGATGATCGAGTACAGCTAGCTAAGCTGACTGATGGTGTGATGTTTCCTCTTCGAGAACGATGCATTGTGGGGGGTTTTTTTTGCTCTTCCTCCAGGATTTGGCTTCCTCTGTTTACCTTTCCTCTTTTAGTTGTGGGCTTCGCTGTTCAGTTTACCTGTTCTTTTTTTTCTCTCTCGGGGACGGCTTATGAGGATTTTCGGGCTAGTACCATAGGGCGTCTGTCCCGAACGACAGCGCCCAAAAGGGTGGCAGTGTGTGCTTTAGTTTCCTTTATTTTTTTTCTGTTTTTGGCACCTACCTAGCTTAGCATTCAATGACGATTGATGACCTCCATGAAGATGATCATCTGGTACCTTTCCGAGCATTTTGTCGAGGCAGCGAGTTTCCCTCCTGCAAGAGCGAGAAGAGGGAAAGCGACTGAATCCCGAGACGCTCTATAGTCCCCGATTGCCTGATTAGGACTAGTGCAAACAACCCGCTCGATCTGGATGAGTCAGCAGAGATCTACAGGCCTCCCCGACACCACATGATGGAATGGCCAGAAGAGCTTCATGCCCAACCTTCCCCTCCTCTCTCTCTCTTCTCGCAGCACACCTAGCAGAAGCAGAGAAGATGACTCTCACAGACTACGCCTCATACCCGGACTCTCCGGATCTCGCTGCTTTGAACCTCTCGCGCCTGGTTGCTCGTTTAGAGCATAATCTCCTCTCTTCAGCCGCGGATCTGAAGCCATTACGCCGGTCAGAATACCAGCGCATGAGAGTCGGAGCAGTACGTCCTCGTGCCTTTCCTTTACCCGACACTATCCATCGTGTTGCATCGTGGGGAACACAGTCACAGCCAGCATCTTGACTATTGACTAACCTTCCACCAAAGAACCTAGAATACGCCCGCACCAATCTCCAAACCCTCGAACGCACCCTTCCCCAGATCAAGCCCACCGACCGTCGAAATGACCTGCAGACCGACCTCGCACGCCAACGGCAGATCCTCAAACAGCTCCAGAATGTCCTCGACGAGATCAGTAGTTCCCAGGCGGAACCTCAATCCGACGAAGAAGAGGAAGACGACTCCCTAGACGGTGAAGACCTCCTCGATACCCCAGAGGAGGGAAGCACCACCGACGAACAATTCGAACATGAAGAGAAGGAGCGTGATACCATAACGGACGACCATGAACCAGCAACAACAGCACCCACCACTACCTTACCCGCACCAACAACAACAACGACCGAACTACCTTCACAAACCCCAGAAGCAACTCCCGCCCCGACACAGGAACAACCTTCAACTCTCCGAAACAGATCACATGCACCCACTACCACCCCCTCCACCGCAACAGCCAGCGCAACCGGCTCCTCTATCCAGAAGAACCCTCCTTCCCCACAGCAATCCTCATCCACATCCTCAGACGCTCGATTACAAGCGACAGAAGAGACGCTCTCATCCCATCGCGCGGAACAAGAGAACTTGACATCATCTATGCTTGCGCTAGCAACGCAACTGAAGACCTCAGCGCAGACATTCCACTCCTCCCTGGAGGCGGAGAAGTCGGTGCTGGCTCGCGCGGTGGATGGGATTGATCGCACGGCGGGGAATATGAAGGTTGCGGAGCAGCGTATGGGGATGTTGCGGAGGATGACGGAGGGGAAGGGCTGGTGGGGACGGATGATGCTGTATGCGTGGATCTTCGGGATGTGGGTGGTGGCTATTCTGATCGTGTTCTTGGGGCCGAAGCTGAGGTTTTGATTTTGATGGGAGGCGTGGGTGTCCTCCATCGGGGAGGGAGTGCCAAGTAACAGTAGTAGATAGTACTATCCGCTGGGCGGAGATTGAAGCTGAACCTGGGTCTAGTCCTAGACACCTTGTGTAGATACATGCTGATAATTGATAAACTATTCCTATCTTATGCAAATATTTATTTAACGGATCAAGCATTTATTTTAAAAGTTCTTCCATTGTACACCGACTCTACGCGGAAACACGAATTTTTTAACAGAAGATATATTTCACAATCCTTTAACTCTGACTATAACCCAATGACCGACCCGGCATGACACATGAGAAAATGACATGAATATCAGCGTACCCTGTCAATCTCCCGTGCCCGTGGCCTTGTCGTCGTTCATTGCCCTCCAATGTACGTGAGACCAATATGGAAGAATGCGTGATATATGGTTACACACAGAATTGCGGACGAGGGGCACCAAGAGATGATGGGATATCCAGCTGGGGAAAAGAAGACACAGGATAGAAAAGGAAAAGCGGAAAGAGGGGGTGGAGGGTAACGCGAACACGGAGGGAGGTAGACCAGAAAACGACGCGGGAATCCCATATAAGTGAAAAGGAAAAAGAAGACACGCAAGCACGGGCTCTAATTATCTATGAATTCCGATGGAACCACAGATGACCCGCTGCTCACAGAGAAGAGAAACAGAATGGAAAGTGCAAAGGTAAAACAACTCCTGCTCTGTGTCATGGGATGGATATCGGTAATGCTGATAACAAAGAGCCGGCTAGATATCATTTCAAGACAAAGGAAATAGGGAATTAGTAAAATAGACAAGTGAATGTCTCAACGCCAGGATCTCTCAAAAGGGAGGAAAAAAAGAACAGATTGCGACATGGTATGGCAAAAAGCAAAACAGACAAGATTACAAGTCACATAGCATACGGTCTAAATGTCGAGAAGTTCTCACTCGAGCGAAATATACCGGTCATTAGATCAGACCACACAGTCTCAGGTTTTCTTGGATGATGATGTCTAGAGGAAGTCAGTATCTGGAAGCACGGAACAATTTAAAAGGGGCATGCAAAACATACCGTTAACTGCGGCCATAACGAAACGGATCTGTGTGGTATCCGTAGCACATGTGAAGTGAGTGTAAATCTGCTTCTGCTCGGCTTGGTTGAGAGAGACAAAGCGGTTGAGGATGTAGTCGCAGGCGGCGGCGTAGTCGGCACCACCCTCGTAGTCGGGGAAGTAGTTCTTCATGGGGCTGACGGGCAGCTTCTCCTTGAAACGATCGATCTTGTTCAGGAAGAGAATGATGGAAGTCTTAACAAACCACCGGGAGTTGCAGATGGAGTCGAACAAGGTAAGAGCTTCCTGCATACGGTTGACGGTCTCGTCCTCGAACAACAGCTGGTCGTATTCGGAGATGGCGACCAGGAAAAGGATGGTAGTGACGTTCTCGAAGCAGTGGATCCACTTCTTACGTTCCGAACGCTGACCACCAACGTCGAACATACGGTAGGTCAGATCGCCGATGATGAAAGTAGTCTCGGTGATACCGGTGGTCTTGACACGAGAGCGGAGGACATCCTGGTCGGTGGGGAGGTAATCGGGCTGCGCGATACGGTCGATGGCATCGAAGTAGCTAAGGAATCGGTTAACAAAGGCTCCCGATGAGCCCGAGACAGACGCGGGCACTTACTACTTGGCGGAATCGTTCAGCTGGTATTCACGAGACCGCTTGAAGCACTCCTGCACACCGCTGTCGCGCCACAGAGCGCCAATGGCATTGCCGACCTCCGGGGGCAGGTTGTCGCCCTCGATCTGAGCAGGCTGCATGAAGACGGTCTGCACGTGGTACTCATTGCGAGCATCCTCCAGAGGCAGCTCCAGCGACTCCATAGCCTCCAAGATGACGCGCATAGACTGGACGGTGTTGCTGTAGATGATTTCCTTGAAGGACTCGCGCTCATCGCGGGAGTAGCTGCCCTCATGGATCAGCTTCATCTGCTTGAGGATGGTCGATTTTCCGGACTCTCCAGCACCTGTTTCAAGACATCGTTAGTCTTGCGTCCCAGCGAAGGCAATGCGAAACATGCACGGGGAGAGGAGGCGCATACCCAGCAACAACATCTTGATCTCGTTCCGCTGCATCATCTTGTCCCGCTTGAGCTGGTTCTCAATCTCCTCGTTGCGGGCCTTGCCCTCCTTGTCTTCGGTACTCATTCCACAACCCATTTTGGCGGCTATTAATGAACGTGGGAGTGATGGATGAAAAAGTCTAAATGTGTAGCGGGGGGAAAAGGAGTAGGTGGGCGGGTGGTAGTGAACGTCAAGAGTAACGAGCCTGTCCGCAGGGAAAGATGTCAGTCAGCCATGGGAAGCGAATTCTCCGTGTATTGTAAAATTGGATTTCAACCAGCCCCTTGCCCCGTCGACCGTGGGCGAACGCGGAAAGAACCACAATCGGACACCCCAAGAAAAACAATCGAATGAACGATGCACGATTTTGATTTTTGAGTGTCGGAAAAGGATCAGAACCAAAAGGCAGCAGTCTCCCCAGAGATCGTGCTGACGCAAGGAGGTGCAGCTGATGCGTCAACCGGAAGGCTTGGGAGCACCGTTCACCATGAGGGAGGGATTCCGGGGCACAGAGGAAGCGCAAAGAGGAAAAGGAACAACGACGTGAAAGGGGCCACTCACTTTGCTCGAGAACTTGATATATCAAACTCCAACTGGGGAGGAGGAGAAAGAGAAGAATGGAATTAAACCGGGGATGATATTATTACTAAAGGCCAAGCGGACGCAAAGGAACGGGCGGCAGGGGAAAAATCAAATATAAGCGCGGAGCGTCTGGGACTAGTAGGCAGAAAGGAGGCGAAAGGAAGGTGGAACAGCGAAATACACCAATCGCGGTGATTTCAGCAAGGATAACCCAGAGAAGTTGGATGGAAGAGGATAGCGAAAGGAGAAGTAGTAAGTAAATAATAGAGAAAAGAATTGGATGGAAAAGTAAACCCAGGGATTCTTCGGGGAGATGTTGGTTCTATCCCGATCCGTTTGAAAAAGTTGGGGTTTGAAAGGAGGAGAAGGAAGAAGAAGAGGAAGAGGGAGGGGGTGGGTGGTGGGAGTAGATGAGACAAGAGATCGAAAGGGAAAAGAAAAGAGAGAGAGAGAGAGAGAGCGAGTAAAGCGAGCGAGGCTGAAGGGCCGGAGGGAAAGGATTAAGCTCAACAGGTTGTAAGGGGGGGCAGACTTTCAGCGTGAGTGAGTCGGGCAACGGAAAAAGAGGGGCCAAGACGAGATCCTGAGGCAGTCCCGAGAGCGTGCCAAAAAAGACGAGTAAGAGAGCGTGTGTGAGAGTGAGGGAGAGACTACGACGAACTAGCCTGGAGAGCAGACAGACCCGGGAAAAGGAGGGACTGATTGGGGGAAAACCTGAGGAAGAGGGGATTAACTAAAGAGAACGCAGCAGGCTGATACGCCGACTCCATCACTACCGGGTGCCGGTACCTGCTGCTGCTAGTCTACTAGTAAACTAAGTAGGTATTCTAGTACCAAGTGAGTATTGGGGGGGGGGTGTGGGTGAAGGCTGAGGAAAAGGTTTTTCCTCTTCTTTTTCGATTTCGATTTTGATTTTCCCTAATAAAATTTTTATAAACCTTTTTTTTTTACCCTTTTCTTTTTCTCCTCCTTCTTCTTTCTGCCATTGACCATTCCCGCTTTTTTCTGGAACGATAAGCTGACCCGGTTCCAACCTATGAGTGACGATAACTGGACCACTTCAATAGGGGCAGTGGAGTCGTCTCGTTTGGTAAAGGCGATGGCGACCCAGTCTTTGGTTGCTGATTGGCTCTGCTGGTAAGGGGTGGCAGTGGAGGAAATCCAGCACGATCCAATGGAATTGCGATTTTAATGAGTAGCTCTCCCCTTTTTCGACGTCCGGCTCTTCTTCTACTTTGTACCAAGTTTGTGGTGCTCCAACTTGGATTCTTCTCCCGATGGTAAGACCAGGGCAATTCGAAAAGGGCATAGCCTCTTACATCTTAAATCCGAAAAGCCCATCCCAGACACACCTATGACTATTTACTACCACACCATCCTCTACAAACTGGATACTGCGTTATAGATACTGCATGTCGGTAGCATAAGGCATGATCCAGCAAACTATGAGACATGAAAGAGGTTCAAAGTTAAATCCCATATAGAGTGCCAATCTACTTCCAAAGTTGTCGGTGCCGTAGATATTATGATTAATGATTCAGTTGCATGAATTAATTTCCGGATGACGCAGATCTGCAGTGCGCACCTGTAGGAGATGGCCATGGCGACCGGGATGCCATTCGACAGCCCATCAGGTGTTGTTTTTAAACTCTCCAAATCATATTAAGCGCTGACCTCCACTGGTGACGAAATCAATCCCAGATCTCTCTTGTCTCTGCTGCTCATCAGTAACGGACTAGACTAATCCTGCCGCAGTAATAACGACCACAGCAGCAGCAGGAGCAGCAGAAGACATCGTCAACAGTTCGTAGTAGCCGACCGTTTCTAAACCTGGTAAAGGGTGCAAGCTGGAAGGGCGCCTGCAGTTTCAGGTGCCCACCACGCGGTGGAGGCCCGGCACGCTCAGCGCCCGATCGCCAGGTACACCGCGCCATCATGGCTGGCTTTTCCATCACACAAAGTTACGCGGTCGGTTGGCTTGTTCCAGAATGTCTTGGGGGCTTGAGTTGGAAAAAGAGACAGTGACGCTTTACTCGTAGTGTCTATTCATAGACCGAACATTCTGAGGAATCAAACGTGGCGGTATCGTGCATGTCTGATGTGATGATATACGGGGTAGAATGCAACCAGCGGAGGCTACTACTGCAGCTCTACCATGTGGAAAAGGTGGATGGCCTCAAGATTGGGATGGGCATTAGCGTACGGAGGAATATTGTCGTTCCTGTTCCTACGGCCAGGTACTGTATGGTAAAACTCCACTTGCAACTGCCCGTCGATCGCTTCTCCGCACAAAAGGGAGAAAAATGGATAGGGAGATGAGAATCATGCATTCACAAAGACCCATTCGCTGCTCACCCATATCTTCTGAGTTCTGATACACGCTTGTGGTTTCGCCCTGTGGCAACATCGAATTCCAATATGTTCTCCTTCAGTCGCATCATCTCATGCTGTGACAACGTCTCCCATGGATAAAAGAAGGATTCAGCGACTTGTCTCCCATAACCACCGGGCATGCACAGGCGGAACGACCCGCCTGAATCGTGCAAGATGGAATCTGCTCAGATATTGCTTGCTGGAATGGAGGTCGGTAACCGAAATCCGTGGTTCTGCCACTCGACTAGAGACCAACTTCTCCACCGTCTAGTCGCCTTTAGTCGCTTGCTTTTACCGCCCGCGCTATTCATGATGATTGTCGTCTCCTTACCATTGCGTCTTTCCCCCTCACCCCCCTTTGACTTGGGGAAGGGCCTCGTGGCGAGCTGCCTGACATGTACTCTCCTACCACTCTGGGTTATACTAATTATGATGAGTAACTTAAGTTACATATCCCCTGGAGGATCGCAACTGCTTATAATCGAGAACTCCTGCCGCTGTCGACCGATAGCCTAAGAAGGCAGCTCGGACTGGACTTATCCCCATCTTCGCATGGAGCATGGCCAGACTATTGACTTGGTTTCCACTCTTCACTGGCTTGGTGACCTTGGCGTAGACACCTTATTATGTAGACGCTTTTACTGACTCGGTTGTATAGCCTGAAAGAAGTGCTGAGTACGGTCAGTGCTGAACAGGACTTGATGGAGGCGGCTCAGGCTGCAGAAATGCCGAATGGCAAAGGATTGGTGGAGGATGGTCTGGTCTGCAGGATTGTAAGTAAGTAAGTAAGCACGGAAATGGGCTGACAGGCTTTCCAAAGTCTCCCAGTCCGTTGCAACTCGTGATGGGGGTGGCTGACCGTGCATCCTGTCAATACGAAGAAAGAGATTGAGGAAGACCGTGCAGAGTAAGACACTCAACCCAAACCGATAACTAGACTATCGCCTACCGCATGAAGTTATCTAAGAAAGAAGGTGACCATGGATCTCCAATCCAGCCCAGCCTTTTCCCTGTGCGATTCCATCCACGATCCCTGGCTGGCTCATCGGCCAATCCGATCGCCGCTCCACTGATCCATCCACGGATCCAATCCCCGATCCATCTCCCAGGGACTGCAACATCCACTCGCGCGATCGGCCTTCCTTCGCAGTCTTCGCCTTTTGCGCTACACTTTTTTTGCGATCGAGGATATCGCATACAGACGATACCCGTAGGGATTGACTGTCCGTCGCAGATAAGCCATCACGTTATCATTACATCCGGTCTCATTCGATAGACACCCCTTATTCGTCAAAATGCATGAGCATGAAATGTCCTACATGGGCCCTCGGGGTATGATCCCTTCCTACCTTCATAGCCACAATCTCCCCATAAACTAACGGCACCGATACCGAAGCCTTCAGTCACGATCAGAGCCAAGATGCAGAGGCTGAATATGACCGACTCCGCAACCTAGCCCGACAAGAAGCTTCAAAGCGCAACTCATGTTTCCAACGGGTACGCCATTGACAACCACTGCCGCAACCACCCAACCGCTCGCCAAATTAGAGAAAGAAACAAACAACTAACCAATATTTAATGGTCAGTCTCAAGAAGCCTACTCCAGCGGCGATGGCGCCAAGGCCAAAGAACTCTCCGAACAAGGCAAAGCCCACGGTCGCAAGATGGAAGAATACAACAAGCAAGCGTCGGAGTTCATCTTCCGCGAGAACAACGCCAATGGGCGTGTCGCAGCAGACACCATCGATCTGCACGGACAATTCGTCGAAGAGGCAGAGGAGATTATTGAGGAGAGGATTAAGTATGCGAAAGCGCACGGTCAGGATCATCTTCATGTGTAAGCTTCCCTTTCACGTTACTCTCACATATTGTGGCTTCTTCTTTACCCTCGACACTGATCGCTAATTGTTATAATTTTCCCCAATCAATAGAATTGTCGGCAAAGGCAACCACTCCGCCAATCATATCCAGAAAATCAAGCCCCGAGTAGAACAAGTCTGCCAGGAACTCGGTCTCCAGTACGCGACTGAGGAGAACGCAGGGCGCATTTATGTGAATCTGACTGGTGGACCGGCGGATATGGAGACTGCGCCAACGCCCAATCATCCTCACTATCAGCAATATCCTCAGCATCAACAGCATCCGTCGGGTACCTATGCTCACCCGCATCAGCAGCAGCAGCAGCAGCAATATCCCGGTTCGCAACAGCAGCAGCAACAGCAGCAACAACAGGGTGCGGGCAACCAGGATGAGATCGAGCAGGTGGTTAATGCGGTTCTGCCTAAGATTCTCAATAAGCTGGAGAAGGCTTGCTGTGTGGTCATGTGAAAAGGGTTTGAGGGACACTGGGATAAAGATGTTGTTTGGGCAAAAGAGTATTTTTTGGCCTATACATGATATGATATGTGGTTGGTATAGACAAAGAAGGGTGCGTGAGCAGACACGACTGATCATTGGACTTTCGCGCAATTGGGCATTTGGCGGAAGATTACATATACCCCGGGCTGTGTGTTGGATTCAGTATCTAGACGGTGATTAACATGTTCTGGTTTCTTATCTTTCCCGGAGTAGAAGAGGAGAAGCTAAGTAAGGGAATAAGATCATTGAAGTTCGTATAGAGTCGCCATGAGTGCGCAATGTTTCAGATTATAAGGCATCTGATCAATAGGCTAAAATATATCACGTTTCAACATCCTGTATAAAATACGAGATCCCATCCAATCGACCAAACCGACCAACCAGGGATGGGCAGCGAATTATCCCCGAGCATGAGCGCTTAACCATCGCCTGTATGAACTCACTACTGGGGACCACACTCCCCCAGTGTCGACTCGGTGATCTTGTTGAGGATCGCCCGAACCATGGCGCCATCTTCGCGTCCATCTGCTTGGTCACCATCGATCGCTTGAATTAGGGTCAGTGCTTTGGCTCGCAATTCTCGGACCACGTCCCGCGTGTGCGCAAAACTGCCAGTGCTCTCCATGTAACTGACTGCATACAGTTTGACTTCGTCATCTTTCGTCTTTTGCTTGAGAATACTCAGGAGCTGGTGGTTTCCGGGGTTGGATCGGATACTATGAATGATGGGAAAGGAGAACTTTCCCTCCGTGAGATCTTCACAAAGACCTTTGTTCTTGGTGTACGTAGTGTTGGACAGGTTGAGGTAGTCGTCGCAGATTTGGAAAATCAGCCCCATGACGTTGACGAGGCTCACGCAGTCCTTTCCGGAGCTACTTTCAGCCTGCATCAACTTCACTGCAAGTCGGAACAAACCCCCAGTTTTGTTACCGACCATTTCCAAATATTCGTCCTCGCTGGGGCAAGTCAGAGTATCTCGCCAGAAGAGATCCATTCCTTGACCGCGGTGTAGGTTCAATAACTCTTGGACGTAGATGTCAATCGCAGCGGGGTTGTTCAACTTTTGCACCTCTTGCAGAGCAAGGAAATATACATAGTTCGCAGAGTTGATGGTTTGCGCGGTGCCGTATATGTTATGAGCTACGGGAATACCGCGTCGCAAAATTGAGTTATCCTCGACATCATCGATCCTGGCTCATACGCCATAGGTCAGGTAGGTGTCCAGACTAAACCGAGGCATGATGAAAACAGCTTACAGTAACGATGCAGTATGAAGCATGGCCACCACCTTTGTGATGATTGAGAGGCTCTCCGGGGGTACCTTCAACCATACGTTGAAAGCGTTGATAAGCTGCCGCCGTATGTCTTTGCCGGGGTGCTGTAGCATATAATCGTATGGCCCCAGAACGATTCTCTCATTATCTGGCGACCATTGTCCATCCTTGTATTTGGTTCCATCGACGCTGGAGCGATTACGATTGTGCATGCGCGAGTGGTTCGTGTTTGTTGGGAGCCCATCTTCATCCGGGCCTGTGTGGTCCATGGCTGGGCTCACCAGGAGATCAGGCTTTCCTAGGCTAGCTCCGCCCTTGCCGTCAATGGAATTGCCTGTGAGGGAATATAATCCAGGTTGAGAAGATCTGCTAGCAGAGAAATCTGGAAACGGCCCTGCAGACATGGCTTGATTGTTAACTGCTTGCGTGTTCTACAGGTGATCACTGGGGTCTCGTCGCGAACGGAGAGAGAGGGGGGGTCTTCGGCGAGCGGACAATGCTGTAACAACCAGGCAACCGTGAGAAAAGGGAGGAGTGAGCAAGCCCATCTTACAGGTATCAGGAATAGGGCGCAGTTGCACTAAGTAAGTTCCACGCCCTGCGAGAATGAAGGGAAGAGTAACCTTAAAAGGGTGGATTGCAGGCTGCGGTTGCTTTCGCTTTCGCTGCGGGGAACTCAGCCAAGTGACGAGGGAGCATCACATGCCAATATTGCTTTCCCCAGCTGGGGTCACATGACTCTGGGTCGGCGAAACTGGGAAACTCCGATCCGGTGACAGGCTGGAATGCCTCTCCTCACTTCCTCCCCCTCCCCTCTCTCTCTCAAGTTACACCAGATTCCCCTCCTGTGTGATTCCGTGTGACAAGTGTGACGAGTGTGACGGAATTTTTTTTTCAATTCCACTGTCTGCAAGGGGTGGTGACGTTTGAGTGGTTGCACCAGCCACGAGCAGCAGGTTGTCGTGGGCACGGTCGGTGGGCCTGTAAACATTCAGTCCCCAAACTATGCTGGAGACTGTTTCCGTGTTGGCTGTTATACTGACCGACTTCTTCAAGGAACTCTTTGCAACCCAACGGGTGACGGCATGATAACCATCAGGCCTTTATCATGGCCAGGGATTGACTTAGTGGCGTAGCTGAAAAATGGATCCCCTTTCTTGACATCATTAGCTGAAGGCTATCAAGGAGATCCTGTTCTTCATGGCGTCGACGTAGCACGCCTATTGGAACACGATCGTGCGTCTCCGGGACAACCATCGGGTGTTTTTGTCGGATGTGGGGGAGCTGCAGTCACTAAGGCTGGCCAGTGACCGAGTCTAAATCGGCTCGATCAGCTTCTCACGATGACAACAACTATTTCTTCGCTAGTTGATCGAGCCCACCGACTATCGCTCACCAATCACTGTAGCCTTTAATTAAGGCCCCCATTTTCCAAGCGCCTGGGCTCAGCCGTGTTCGATTATTTTTCTGGCTCCTCTCTCTTAAGTTAAGGTACTACATATAGATAGCGCCGTATCTCTTGGCCCAGGGTCCTTTGCGATTGACAGATCACGGCCCGTCCTTTTCTTTTTCACCCGTTTCCCTTCACCTGCAACCTAGTTCCTTTTTTCCCCTTGTTAATTCTGGAAATAGCCGTGCTACTCATCACTTCTGCCTTGTATTACCCATGGAGGCTTTGCTGGCACACTCGTTCGATTACCTTTCCTCTTACGAACCAAGCAAAGTTCGCAAAGGGCTGCGGCAGGTCGAAGGGCTTCTCGCACAGATTTGTTTATCCAAGACGAAACGCCCGTCGTCTGACAAACGGCGGTCCCTTTTGTCTTTTGGGGCTCCGCAACCGGTGCCCAAGTCTTTGGCCGAACTTCGAGATGATCCGGCCTTCAGGGAATTTTTCAAGCTCCAAGAGGGGTTTCAATGGAATGGTAAGTTTCGCTATCCGCAGACTCGCGATTATGTGAGTTCCCAGCACTAATGCACTGCAACCAGTCGCAATGCGCTTGGTGACATGTCTCGAACACCTGCTTGGGCGGGGGAGCAATGGCACCAATGACCTTCTCATCGTCTCCACACTCGATCTGATACAGGGCGTGCTCCTCCTCCACCCTCCATCGCGCACACTATTCACGCGCGAAATCTATATGAACCTGCTGCTGGACCTCCTCGACCCAATCAACTGCCCCGCCATCCAGTCGGCGACCCTTCTCACCTTGGTCACGGCTCTTTTGGACCATCCCGCCAACACCCGCACGTTCGAGGTGCTTGACGGACTGCTCACGGTGACCTCGCTTTTCAAACAACGTGCAACATCGCGCGAAGTCAAGCTCAAACTTGTCGAGTTTCTCTACTTCTACTTGATGCCGGAAACACCCATGATCCCCACCAGCGCGGCCAGTGCGCCTAACACGGCAGTCCTTGGACATCAACGGAGTCCAAGTAAACTTGGTGTTTCCCCGGTCTCCCGGAGTGTTAATGTTCCCGGCGCTCACGGCGGCGGAAAGGCGCATCGGGATACACGTACGACCGACGAGAAGCAAGCATTGCTGGGCCGGTACTTGAACAATGTGGAGGATTTGGTCGAGGATTTGAAAGAAACAGCACCCTTTGGAGCAACAGTTTATTAGCGGTGTTACGAGCGTCATTGGGTTCTGAATCTCTTTGTTTATGTTGAGCGTGCATGGATAACGGTATCATGGCTGGGGTTCTCGTTCTTCAATGGTTTCTTTTTTCTTGATATCCTCAAGTTTCTTTTTTCCTTTGTTCCTCTATTTCCTTTGTCTCTTGTTTACTCTTCTTCAGCCTTTCCCGTCTGGTACGGTCTATGCATCCGGCACAACAGCCTCTAACCTATTTCTTCCCTCATTTTTTGGTCAACGCTTTTCCTATATGACTCATGCATCCGCTTGATGTCTCATGTGTCACGTTGCGATCATGTCTTTATAATTTTATGCGACCCTGAATGAATTGTTATGAACGAGAATGGCTCTTTTTTCCCATTAAAAAGTGCCATGCCTGGGCCGGGCCAATGCATGTCTTAGACCCGAGCTCCGGCAACATCTCATCCAAACTTTCTGAGCCACATCGCTATGGAAACCACGAATCTCTTGTACAATCCCATATATACTTACTGATGTATATGTACAATATATCGCCTACCTACATAGCTGTCTATTTGAAGGTCTATGTAGTTATTCCAACCCAACCTTACTCAACAACCAACCTCCATTCTGCAAAGTCTGAAAGACCCCCTCGGGATCATACTTCCTCGCTACCTCCTTCAACCGTCTCACGTTCTCCGCACCATAGCTCGCCAACGGATCCTGATCCCACGCTGCATAGTTCGAATACTTGTAGGGGAGATACACGCCCGTTTGCTTTGCCGCGGATTCCGCCGCATCCACGATTTTGCGCACTGCCTCGCGCACGCGATCCTCATCTTGAATATTCTTCCAGTCTGCTCGGGCGAGGAACCCTGTACCACAAGAATAGATCTATTAGCTACCAGAAGGAAACATAAGACGTGTTCTCCCTTCGGGGTATACGTACACTGCTGTCCAACGGGCTCCAAACCTAGAGGAGTTCCGCCATTCTTGAGCGTTTCTCTCATGGCTAGCGAGGACATGGGCTGAATGACGGTTGTTAGGGCGATGCCTTCTACGTCCTTGAGAGCTTCGGCTTGCTCAGCATGAGCTTGTTCGATGGCTTTGTAGACTTCTAGACTGGGACGGCTGGACACGGTGCGGAATTCGTGGCTGCAAGAGTTCTTTGGTTAGTTTGTTTCTTTGATATACTTTTCATGTTTAGAACATGTAAAGGGAGGATATATGGCATACACAGTAGGCTCGGCTTCATTCACGGACGCCACGGCCTGAACTAGATCGTAGACGGTGCGGATTCCCGGGGGTACGAAGCTAGTGAGAAAAGGAATGTCATAAAAGGCCTGGAAGACGGGAGGATTCTCGACGGGCGCGCAGTAGAAATAGACGATGAGAATGATGTCGTTTGTGGCGTTCCAGATGAGAGATGCCCTGTTGTCTGTTTCAATGGCCTCGTGGTATTGCATTAGAGCGGCGCGCAGTTGGTCAGCTGCTGTGAGGGGGTAGATGCGAACTTCGGTCCATATCTGGTTGGGGATAGTGTTCATTTCGATCTTAGTGACAATTCCTGGAAGATGGTGGATTAGACATTTGATACTGAGTAGTAATACGACCGTAAATGCTGGTGTTGCTGGTCATAGATTAGGGTGATTGTGGGTGGTATAGTACCGAAGTTGGGCCCGCCACCCTTGAGGGCCCAGAATAGATCGGAGTTTTCGCGGGCATTGGCATTTATGATCTGGGAATTGGCGAGAACGACCTGTTCAGTGATTGTTAGCTCCTGTGTTCTTCATGGGATGAAGCGAGGAGATTATACTAACTTCGTAGTTGCAGACACCCATGGCACCGACGCCATACTGACTATTCTGGAAGGAGATGCCGCCGCCGAGCAACAAGCCGGAAACCCCCACGGTAGGCACTCTTCCTCCTGCAACCGCCACTCCGTGCTCTTCAAGAGCGCGATACACTTCCAACCATCTCAATCCGACGCCAATTTCTGCCGTGGATTTATCTTCAGCCACACGGACTTGGTCAAATGCTCCGAGGGAAATGACCACGCCGTCCTGGTTGCTGGTGAAGCCCGGAATCTGCAAATGGCCCCCACCCCGGATGGAGAACTTGACGTGGAAAAAGCGGCACAGCGCCAGCGCAGCTGCAACTTGTTGGGCAGATCCGGGACGGACAATTACCCGAGGTTGAAGCCAGCAGTTGGTAGACCTGGCTCGATTGTGGTGGTTGGTAAGGCATTCTTTTGGTGGTCGTTCCCAAACTGAAGACGTACCAGGGAACTATACGCTGCGGCTCATAGCCATTGGACCCGTGCACGACGGCAGCTGCGCCAAAGAACAGGGGGAAGACGGCAGCAACGTAAGAGGCCCGTTCCTGGTCTTGTTCTGCAGCTGACAGGCTGTCAAATCGCGATAAGAGGGTCTCTATATGCGTGGCCTTCTCTTGCTCTAGATGGCAGGCGTTGGCGACGATCTCCGCGACTACCTCAGCCATTGTGTGATCTATGCACGAGCTATAGATGCAGGTAGTTGTCACACACCAAATTTTGAGGAAGTAAAAGAAAAGAAAGGCGACGAAGACTGAGAAGAAGGCTCCTGTTACTTGATTTCCGTGATCCGAATGGTGGATATCGGCTCGGAACAGACAAGACGCTATCTGCGCCGGCGTCTTGAGCGATCCTGCCCCCAGGATTCAAACCCCTGTCAATGTTTGACAAGCCTCGAATTTGGAGCCTGAAAATCCTACGTCCGTGTTTCATTTGTACGTTAAAGGTATTGGCATCATCGACTTGCATTCCTTCGTGGTCCACAGCACCCCAGCCAAATAGTCTAGAAATGATGGCTCTCCCCGATTTTGCACTCTCTTCTCTGTCCATCCTGATGACCACCTCTGCTTTGGTGCGTGAGAGCCGGTCAGGATGGGTGGGTCTATCGAGCAACAGGACGATGTGCCAACATCGTCCATGACCATCGCGGTGCGAATTATTGTGTTGGTGCTGGCGATTCCGACAACCTTGGTGTGTGTGCTTCGAGTATGTTTCCTCGAAATTCCTGCAAGCAATCTGGAGGCCAAAATGACTGAGCTGTTGTAGCTGTATCTGCGCAAGTTCGTTCTTAATAACTTCGGACTTGATGACTGGTTGGTGCTGGTTGCTCTTGTGAGTTACGCAGCCGGTAATATTTCCCCGCGCATGATAACTGACTGACTAGATCGGAGTGGATCTGTTCTCTGCCCTGGCGTATATCATCACATACTATGGATTGGGCCGACCTATGAAATATGTTCCTACAGACCATCTGGTTGTGTTTCTCACGGTTCGTACATCGAGGCCGAGAGCTTTTACCCAAACTGATCTTTGCAGCTCGAATATGCCTCACAATGCGCCTACCTAGTCATCGCAGCGACTGTAAAAGCGAGCCTGCTCATCTTCATCATGCGTCTGTTCCCGACTCGTTTCGTTCACATTGCCGGGAAAGCTCTTCTTGGTATCATCGCGGCCTTCACCCTCTCGGGGACCCTCGCGCTGGTCTTTCAGTGTCGCCCAGTCCAAGCGGCCTACGACAAGGCTATCACCAATTCTAGCTGCTATCCCACTGAGACCTCGTACGCAATTCTTATGATGCAAGGTGTCATCATGTTCGTGCTAGATGTATCGATCCTAGTACTTCCGATACGGCCTATCTGGCAGTTGCAGATGCCGATAAGGAGGCGAATACTTGTGCTGGGGCTGCTCTGCATTGGTAAGTTTTCGAGGAAATTCAATAGTCCAATAATTAAGTATTGTCCAGGCTTCACCGCATGTGTTGCTGCCCTCGTGCGGTTCTCGACACTAAAATTTGCCAATGATACGACGAATTTCACCTGTATGGTTCCTTCCAATGTCGGCGGGAGATAAAAAACTGACTTCCCTCAGATTCAGCTTCCACGTCCCTCATTTGGATGGAGATTGAATTCAATCTCGGCCTTATGTCAGGGTCTCTCCCCTCTTTGCGAAAAGTTTTCAAGCTTGGCTCTCTTTTCCCCACGAGCCGCTCAACGAAGACACAGCAAAGTTATACATCGGACTTCGAGCTGCACCGGCACAGTTGGACAATAACTGGGATTACAAAGAAGACAGAAATCCAGAGGGCCTACGAGAGAAGTGAGAGCCAGGAGTTCATTGCCCCAATATATGGGCAGGGAGAATTGACCACAACTACCAAAGCCTATGCGGATGGGGAGACAAGCTCTGCCAGTAATGTTTGATGCCCGGGCCGTGATGGCTAATGTGTGGGATCTGTGACTCGACGATGTCAATGGAGACATCCAAAGTCAGAGAAGGTCGGATCAGGCTCGAGAATTCTATCCGTGAAAATTCGATGTATTGAATGCCTATTAGTGCCTCCGTTAATGCCGAGCCGGTCGGTGTATGAGGGTCAAGCCAACGTAATGCCCGTATATCCCGGATTGGCTTCCTATACGCGAATTGACCTTGGCTAGCGTGAAGGTTAATACTTTACCAGCCCACCCACTGGCAGGAACACAGACAGAGACTGGCCAAAGTGTTCCCTACATTATTGATATTGCTCGACCGGACCTTGTCCAAATGGTTTAATCGGGGTATATGACTATAACTGATTTCTTTGAGGCGGAAGCCTGTTTCAGTTCTAGTTAGGTAGCATTGACACATATAAGGTGTTATTGTACAGTAAAATTAGAGGATTCTGTCACAAATCCATCCGTCTAGAAGAACTTGAGGAGTCTGTCACGATGTTGTACAAGGTTCTCGTGTTGGCGCAGCAACTGTCCCAGCCGGTTCCGTCGCCACCCCAATTTCTCCTCCAGGATTAGGTGTGTGTATGCGAAAACACTAGCATCGAACAGACCCGGATTCGGTCGGTCGAAGAAGTGTTGGTTGTCGCCCAGTAGCGTAGACAGTGCCTCGAATGCATCGTTGGCTTCGGCTTCCAAGGCGCCCACATCGATATAAGATGACGTTTTTAGGATCTCTGTCCGGGCAGCTTGCTGGAGTTGCAGGGCGAGAGCGGTCCGCACGGCGGAATTCGTACTGGACGGGTTCACGTATAATGGTCGAGCAACGGCCTCGAACTCCTCAGGGTCCAGGTATAAGGTATATAGCTGCCCCAGTGCCATTTCAGTCAGTCACATTTCATCTATCGACATCTCATTCCGGGGGAGGGGGACCGCAACGCACCCAAGCATTTCGTATCCGGTGATCCAGCAACGACGCATATACCTCGAAGCGCAGATCCAACTGCTGCTCCTCCTCGCAGTGCACTTGCTCAATGGCCCATTTTTGGAGCTTGCTGGAAGGGATAGGGGCGTTGTTGTTGATGGGGTGGGCGGGGATTAAGAAAGGAAGGGCGCCAGAGGGAGATGCATGGTTGTTGGAAGGAATCACGTCGACGTCGATCCCAACGAATCTTAAGTATGCCTGAAGAGACGCAGAGGAATAACAGGTTAGTGATGATGTACTGGAGACGTGGTGTAATGCTGCATTTCGGAGTACGTACCTGCCACTTGAGACACTGTGGGTTGAACGACGGTCTGCCATGCCTGGCACTTGCGGCATCGGTGAAGACATACAGTCGATTGCCACGTTTATCTGACCATGGGCTGTGCGGGAGATCATTGGAGGGGTAGGTGACGAGGGGGAAACGGTCGAAGATGCGCTTGATTGGTGCAGGAACGGAGAAAAAGTCTCGAGCGCGCGACACCGTGCTCACATTGTCCGGTGCCTGGCCGGGGTCATCACGGTATTCGGGGGTCATTGGATTAATGGATGGATGGAGGGGACTGCGCAATGGGCTTAAGAGACACGGCGGAAGAGCTCGGGGCCAGTTTGATAAAGCCGGGGAGTTGGCGACAGGGCCAGCTAGAAGACCCGAGGTCGATGTAGGTTTGTTTGTGTTTGATGAACAGAGGAACAGATCCGTTCTCGCCCAACTATTTACTTAGTTAAATTCGAGTTGATCTTGTTATTCGCCGGCTGATAATCTCCGGCCGCCAAGCCCGCGCAGGAGCACCCTTTTCTATGCCTCAGGCATGAACAAAGGATAATGCTGCCTGAGGTTGCCAATGGGATGCCACGCGTTTGAAGCCTCTTATCGGCTTATCGCTAAGTTTTGCTCCGCCGTTCGGACGGCAACGGAGGCCCTCCATCACCTTTCTCTCTTTCTCTCTCGGTTTGATCTTCCCCACGGCATTCCCCTCAGCAATTCCAATTACTTGATCTCTTGCGGGTTTGTAATCACTTGCTGCAGCATTCTTCTTGTCCCGAGCAGCAATCCCTCGGCCACGCCGGGTTGACCTTCGTCTCTTCCCCGCCTTTGGAATCCATCCCACCGGGTGACCTTGCGCTCGTTCGAATCCGTCGCTGGTCCAACCCGTTCCAGCCTCTCTTTGTCATTCCACTCGTGGTGTGCATCCTGGTCCACCTTCGCTTCGAGGGGAAGAACTTGTTTCCTCAGGAGACTTGCGCCGCAATTACCTGTGCCCAACACACTGCTTATTTCTTTTCTTCTCTTCTCGTGTTGTGATTGACCGAGTTCTTACCAAAGCCTGCTTGCGGCCGTGGTACGATCAGACCTACCTGCGGGCGGGGTAAGGCCATTTGCACACTCATCTCACCTATAAGCCCAGACCCTCTGCTCGGTTTACTACTCGGCACACTCTCAGCTGATGCTGCTCTGGGCTAGTTATCATGCCTCTCGATGAAGAAGGGGCCAAATGGTCTTGGTATGACTCTTTCCGCCGGTGAAGAGGCTCTCTGCTAACCAGATTCTTCCACTAGTGAGCCATGTATCCGTGGCCATCGGTCCTCGAAATGCCAGCACTTCGACAGGATGATGATGAAGGTCCCAAAGGCCGGACGGCCGCTTGCTAGATGCCCTCATCCGAAGGGAACTTGCAGCTGCCAGAAATTATATGCGTTCATGATCCGCATTCCCAAAGGTGGGTAGATGCGACGGATATGGCCTATCGTTCATCCTTCGGTTACAGTCGCGTCTTTGGTGACTGACTTCGACTGTTCCATGTAGGCTCGACTTGCTTGTGCAGACCAGTGTACCAAGTACCTGCTGATGCAGCGGAATCTGCTTCAACCACCCCGATTCCTGCTCCTCCGATACCGATTGCTGCTCCCAATAAAATTCAGAAACCCATTAAACGACAGGTCAAGACGGCCCCAGAGAATCTTACCAAAGCCTTGAACTCCATATCAGAATTCGGAAACCAGCAATTGGAACATGGAAAATTGGGCCGACCATCCCCTTATACGGCTCAGGAACAACGTTTGAGCAGTTCATATGATATCATCAAGCAAGAACCAACTCCCTCGCACAAGGCCTTCGAGCGCGCTAGCGAAGATAAGGCGCCGCAGGGCGGCAGCTGTTGCTCTCGCAAGCCCCAACCCCCACAGACTATAACTCCGGATGTTCAAGCTCCCGCAGTTCAGCGTTCCTGTTGTAGCAAGTCCAAGCCGGCGGCACAAGACGTCGAGAAGGAAGGCAGCATTCTTGACAGTTCTGATTACTTCCACCCTCCAGTCTTTGACACTGATAACGCAAGATACACCCCGAATTCTATTCCTCAAGTTTCGACATGGCAGGATTTCCAAGCAGCGAAGCAGAGCCAGTACATGCAGCCTTTCGCATTGCCCGTATCCGAGTCCGGTTATCTTCCCATGGCCGGACCTGCCGCAGATATTCGTCCTAAGCCACTAGACTTCCAGCATCCGCATGCTTTCAACAACTATGATCTCTTCAGCAATCAGACTTCGCAGCCGCCGTCGGAGAATACGCAGAATGTCGTTGCAGATCCAAAATGTACTGCTAGCGAAGTCGCCCATGATTGTAGCTGTGGCGATGGTTGTCAATGTCTGGGCTGCGCGTCTCACCCGTTCAACAACACTACCCGACAGCATGTCCAACAAATGGGCCTCCTGGTGGCCCTGAATGATGATGAGCAAAGCCCCGAAAGGCTGAACAGTCATAGAGGCTCCCCTCTGCAAAGTCAACCACCGGACTTCTCATCATTACAATATTCGTTCACAAACTTCGGAAATCCTTTGGGTGAAGGCTTTCACCCCGTTGCAATGCACCCATATGCCCAACAGAGTACGGATCCGGGTCACGTAAATAAAGGCTATTCATCTCCACCTGCGGATTATCTAGGACAGCAGCTCATGGTGCCGTCAGAGTACTATACTCTCGAGTACCCAGTGGGGCTGCCTAGTGCTTGCGTCGATACAACTGGAAGTTGCCAGTGCGGGAATGACTGTACCTGTGTTGGCTGTCTCACCCACAGCGGACACAATGGGCTGCCTCTTGAGCCCGCCATGCCCGAGAGCAATTGGGACCACATGAATCTTCCAGGTTTCTCCATGGACGCCGCTGGGCACAGCACGTCGCAGATGCCCGTGATGGATAACTTTGTCGCTCATTCGAACTCGATGCTGTAGTACCCCGCTTTTCAGCTGCAGTTGGATGCAACGCGACTCCACCTTTCTCTCACTCTTATGCCCTTCCTTTGCTTTTCCTGCGATCAAGTTTTTACTCGGATGACCGATGCTTGTTCATGATACCCCTTTCACATAGACGTTGGATGATAGAGGATACAAAAGTCTTTTCGTCCTCTCTATTATTGTATATATTCCTGAGCCATTACTTGCGTTTGTCTAGAGTCTCAAAAGCACGGACCAATCTCCTCCCCCAGCTCTGCGAGCCCTTGTTTTTCTCTTATCGCCTTGTGTTCTATGCTGATTGGCACAACATCTGTAAGAACTATCGTAAAAGAGACTTAGGTCTGGACCTAACGCAGCAAACTGGAGAGAAGCCCAGGTGTCTTGTAGTGTGATCGTGTGATCAGACAGACGGTCCTTGATGCTAATGAATAGCTACTATAAAAGCAACATTACAGATGCCTCGACAGATTTAAGAGTGGTAGCATAACGATGAATTGGATGCTAAAGTAGGAAAAAGTCTAGAGAGACCATTTCAAACACGACGAAAGATGTTCTTGATGCAGCTCATTTTCCTTCCCAGCTATACAGGTATCATACAGAAATGGAGGCCGAGCTGCTCTACCTACGCAGGGCATCTCTGACCGGAGAGTCGCCCCGACGGAAGGAGGCTGCAGAAAGTTAGCTAGGACAATTCCTTCCCGTAGTGCGAGGAAAGGGATCTTGGATGCAGTTGCATGAACGTACCGTCAGCTTCCTCCCAAGCACGTCCGGCACCGAAGCCGAGACCAACCCACGCGGGCCAAGCTCTCCGCTTGAAGAGGAGCACGGAGAAGACAACACCGAAGGAGAGACCGAGGGAAGAGCGGATAATGAGGGAGGAGATGGCGCGATCCCACTGTGCATTGAGAAGTTCCGTATTAGCCCGAACACTACTGACTACACTTCCCGATGACATATGTGCGTGTGTCCCGCAGTTGCAATTTGCGGATGGGGTTGTTCAAGGGCGGAGAGGTCCGGAGGCTCCATGACAGGCCCAGCCAACAAGACCATTCAACATCCAGACGGAACAAAGCGATCGATGGGAACTTCAGATGGTGGTGTAAGTACCTTTTCGTTCAGCAGGGCCTCGCTGACGGGCTTGGTGGAGCGTGGGACCGGTGCGACCGGCTGGGATTCGTTGGAGTCGGCCATGGCGATAAGAGCTGAATGTCCAAGAGTTAATTCATAGACCCAAATTAGGGGTCAATTGGATCGACAGGGACTTGACTGACCTTCGGCAACAGACTACAGAAGGGAGGGTTAGAGATGCAAGCAAAGGAATGAGAAACAAGAAAGAGAAGGAGAGTCGATGGGCGGACGAACTGATCGGGAGGAACGTTTCGAGCTCTGCCGGGCTAAAAGGCGGTCGGAAAAACTAGGCAAAGCGCTCTCCGCTTTCTGGCGTCAGTCTTCAACTTTTTCGACTTTAAGGAATCCCTCACTGGTGGCCCCCCGCAGAAGAAACGTCAAAGACGAAACCACTTCCCTCGGACTATGTTCGATTTGTGTTGACGCGGTGGCACCGAGGATCTTGGGGAAACCGGTACTTTACGATCTGACTCGTCTCATCCGAGATGCCTTCGGTCGCGGAGGTATGTGTTGGCTCGCGGTCTTTGGAGCATTTTTTGGTTGTATGCAACTTGGGTGTTCGGCTAACCTGCTGGGATTGTTTCTCTCTATACAGCGCCCGCGCTCCTCCCAGGAGGCTTTACTCCGCCTCGAGAAAGGCACCGCGTCCCCGACCACACAGCTGGACGAAGCAGCTCAGATCATCGGCTTGGATCTTGCCCTGTGTGCGAGTCACCCTGAGATTAATAGAACCCCTCATGTTCAGAATAATGCCGCGCCGAAGGAGGAATGGGTGCTCCGGTGGTTGTTGAAGAAATTGCGAGCGGGCAAGAATTATCGCGTCGACTCTACCTCTTTTCTCCTCCTCCGACAGTTGATCGACCTGATTCCGCCAAAAACCCTGGCTACGACACTGAAGGACCAGAAATTCCTCGCGATTTTCGACCAAGCCGTTGCCGACCTGGAGGAGGATGTATTCGCTGCGTTGAAGGCGGGGACGACTGATCTACTGCCCTCCGATTCGGATTCGAGTCATACCTTAAGCGATTCTCCGCACCGCAATGGCGATTACGATAAGAAGGGAACGAAGAGAAAAAGGGCCGGCGACGATGAAGCAGACGCCATGGATGTTGACGACCAGCCACGCACGCCGATTTCGTGTTTCCTGGCTTTCATTCGCGCCTTGGATTGCCTGTATAGCCTGATTATGCTGGCGAATCGGACTCTGGGGGTGGATGAGGTTGCAAGCTCCCATCTGAAGCATGCTCTGAAGGGTGAGCCAGAGTCAAACGCAGTGACGCTGCAAAAGTCTTTCCGACTGGCTGCCGTGATTTCGACGCAATTTTCCCATGCGCGCAAGACGACGGACCTACAACACCTCCTATACGTATTTCCTGCGGTCTTGGAGCTGTGGGAGTTGAGGTCTTCTCGTCGGGATGACTCGGATAAGGGACTGAGTAACGAGTGCTTTGCAAAACATTGTTTCCAGAGCGCACTCAGACTTCAGGTCTCTGTTCGCTCGATCCGACTCGACACCGATGAGAGGGCTCACGTACTGCATGGGGTAGAGCGCTTGATCGCTCTGCATGTGGTCATACCGACACGTGGGGGATTCTACGAGCGAGGAGGTGCGGGTATTGACTATTCAGCCAGTGAACCGGATTGGAGTCCTGTTAAACCCATCTCTGATACGCTTAGACCTATCCTCTGCAGACCAGAATGCCCGACAGAGACTGCAGAGGACACCACTGTGCAGAAGAAAATCATGTGGAAAACAGCAGAATTACTCCCGGAATTCTTCGACATAGCGGTTCGTTCGGTCCCAAGAGATACTTTCCGGAGACAGACACACGAGGCGCCATGGCTGGAGACTCTGTTCGTTGCTATTGCAGAGCTGGCATTTTCAATTGTAAAATCTGAAAATACAACCACTTACCTTCCTGAATTCGTCGGCATTTTGGAGCGTCTCTTCCGTGTGGTTCTTGTACGCAACGTGCAGTTGTCTCTACATACGTTGCTCACTCACGCTTCTTACACCGGACTCCTCAAAGATGGTTTGTCGCAGATCGAATGGAATCTTACATCTCTACTTGTTGAGCTCGGTGTTGATATCTTCCTCCCTAACTCTGGTCTCAGTGACTCAACAAAATTGCTGAAGGCTCTGCTGGAGAAGATCTTCTCCCATTGGCGCAGCGGTACGCCCCAACGTGACGGCAGCTATGAGACCATCAAAAACGGCATTGTTATCCCTCTGCTGCGTGGTTTCGTAGCCGCTCGAGACTTGCCCACCTTCATGGAGTACTGGTACGAGCAGCTCATCGAGGTTGAAGAGGCACGGTCACAAAACAAAAACTTGGACTCCTTTATTGTTTGGGAGGACGATGACGTGTGCAATGCATATGGCGATGTAATGCGAAGTCCCCTCACTCACACATTTGCAGCTGCGCAGTTAAAGGCAGCTGCGGTGGAAATAAGGAGCGAGGATGGGAAGATTTCCGATGCGCCCGGTGCCTATGCGCAGTTCGTTATCCTAGAGTCTGGCTTCAGATATCGTGATCTGAGCTTCGCGGACAAGAACGAGTCTCTTAGCTCTGTCATTCAGACCGCGGCATCTACCTTGTCGTCGAAGCAGTCCTTGCATTGGCGATGGCGGCTGTGGCGCCTTGCTCGAAACCTTCTCGAAAACAATGTTCAGTCCACCGACAATGATCTCGGGGTTGCGATTATGCACCTGGTTGATACAGGTGCAGCGACTATTCGGCGTCACCATAAGGATCGGTTGCAGAAACCTTGGGCTCCATTGGAATGTTTCGAGGCATATCAATTTACGCTTGCCGCCATCAAGGGGTCACTGGACAACGATCAGTTCAAATCGCTTACCAGCCAAATTACAGAGCTGGTCAAATCCATCTCCGACAAAGATGCTTCGGATGCGATTGTATCACCCTGGAATGGGCGCATCGAGACTCTAAATAGGCCGGACACTCTTGCCCTGGCGTATTTTCTGACGCTTGTCAGAAGTCCAGATGTTTGGGATCGGGTTGAGCCTGAAACTAGACGCTCTTTGTTTGGTCATATCCTCTTTTTGGCAACATCTCAGTACAAGACATCACCGTCGGCTTTGGAGACTATTAGCCCTGAACTCAGATACCTTCAGGCCTGGGCTGGCGTTGTCTGCCATGAGTATCTGCTCAACGCTCCGGCCATCGCGTCTGATCTAATCTCCGTGCTTTCGAGCCGGGTTAAGGCGGACATCACGAATCGTAAACTCTATGTTGAGAGCTTGCAGAGGATTCCTGCCCCACTTATCGTGCGCCGTCAGAGAGCAATTTTGCTGGATCTCTTACAGGAGGTGATTGTCCAGGAAGACAGCACGCCTGAAGTCACTGTTGGAATGTTGTCATTGATGGCCAAGCTGGCTGATATGCCTAAATCTGCCGCGGCCGTCACCAGCAATTGGGAGCCAGTCTGGACGATTGCCAAGGCTGTCACCCTGCAGGGAAACGAGGTTGATCTTCAAATCATGAAGGCCTTCCGCAATCTGCACAGAGCAGTCATAGCTAAGCTGCTTGTTCTGTCCGATGAAGAGCGTCATAAGCTGTTCAAGAAGATGTACCGCAAGGTCTCATCAAAGGCATCTAAACTACAGAACCTTGACCGTGACTCCATGGATTGCTTTTATCTGAGGATCTCTCTGTCTCAGCTATGGCACCACCGTAAGCAGCTTGTGACTGTCTTCGACGAGACAGATCTTGCAGCTTGCCGACAGAAGGTATTTGACCTAGTGGTTGTGGAAGTGAAGTCAGTCAAGGATCAGTGCAAGAAACAACAGCTGGAGGAGACGATTACCCTCATTAAGATCATTGATGCGCTGGAAGACTTTGAGGACCTTGCTACGGATCATGCCGAAGTCGAAAAGTTCCTGTCAAAGATCGAAAGTTACGTGGAGAAGTCGGTTGATTCGGGCTCCTCGCTGAGAAGGCTTATAAGACGTCGCGTCCTGGCCGGGCGCGGCTCTGAAAAGAGTATTACACAACCTGTGATTCAATGTGCCGAGGCCCTTCCGCTGCAGCATATGTACAGCGAGGAACAGCGGCTCTTCATCCGGTCCACCTCTGGAAGGTTTCAGTCCATGTCCGTAGAAGAGCTGACTCGAGTGATCCAAGATGTGCGGGAATTAGGCTTTGTTGGCGAGAATGCGGAGTACCATTTGCTTATTGCCGGGTTGGCGATTGCCTCGTTGCCTCCAATCGAGGACAAAGAAAGCCTCACGGCCAAAGAATTATCGTTGGTTTGCACCGCAGTAACCGAATCTCTTCCCCGCAACAAATCTATCGAGCAGTTTACTCTTGCGTCCGAATGCCTCGACATCCTTCTTCGGAATTTCACTCGCTGTATCACGCAATGGAACGTCGATAATATGCTGGGATCCATTGCAGTGTGCGCTTCCAAGTCGGGACCTTGCATCGACCCCGAATATGCGGGAACCGTCTATATCCGCCTGTGTCGCCTGATGGGTGTTCTCTTGGGTATCCACCGTCAGAAGCTCGGAGGCCGGTTCCACCTCATCCTGCCTGCTGTCGAACGACTGCTGGACTGTTTGTTTGCTCGGTCTAAGAAGCGCAGTCGATCCATGATCCATGAAAAGAAACTCGGTCAACAACCATACTGGCTTGCTCCTTTGCAAGCCTCGCATGCAGTTCACTTCACCCGTCTCCTCACGTCATTGTGCGACCCTACCGTATCCGCAGTGTCAAGACCGACACAGGCCGCAGGTGGCTATGAGGGGCTGACCGATCAGACCAAAAAAGCCAAGCGAATCGCAGGACAGTACCTTCAGTACCTGATAATGGAGTATACGCAGAGCTCCCTGCGCGGCACACTTGCCCCCGAAGTGAAGGCCGCCATTGTCCCTGGTCTGTACGCAGTCTTGGATGTGATGTCGCGCGAAACGATGCGTGCCATGAACGCGGGACTGGACGTGTCTGGCCGGGCGGTGTTCAAGGCACTGTACGATGATTATGTGAAATTTGGCAAGTGGAATAAGGGCTAAGCGATGGCATAGATTCGGTGGTAGGCACGGCGGGTGTAGATTGCATATAGACACTTTCTTCTGTACTTAGTTACTTATTACAGCGGGTGCTGTGCTTCGCGCGCACCGCGAAATCCATAATTATTCTAAAACACATGGATGGTCTTCGTGCGATAGTATCTCTTTGTAAACTCAATAGATCATAGACCTCGGGGC